ATAAATTTTAGATTTTACATTTCTGAGTTATGGGGTTTTATTCATTAAAAAAGGGGGGATATTCCAGTTTTTGGACAACTCAAAAATGCTTGAAGCAGTTCGCATGAAACTTTGGTGAATTATTTATAGCTATTGATGTAATCTCCCTATTGATTTTCATAAATTTCAAATATGACATTGAGAAGAAATTGAACTTTATTTGTTTATAGTCTGGCAACAGATTCATTAAGTATTGCGCAACAGCACAGTGTATTGCACAACAGCAAGAAATCTTTAATTGAATATAAATTCAATTCATATAATCGATTTCAAGTTCTTTGACTACATTTATTCAGAAACTATAATATGTCAAATATTTAATTACAATCCAAATTCAGACCTGTATCAAGCTTGAATATTGTGTCCGCTTTTGCCCCAACTGTTCAGGGTTGGACCTCTGCGGGTGTATCCAGCTGCGCTCAGCGAATCAGTTTATTTCTTAATTAAGAACTCCTTTTTGTCACGCCTGCGACTTTTGTCACAGAAAGCTCGACATAGGGATAGTGATCCGGAGGCGGCGTTAGCTAACTTCTTAAAAGCTTTATATTTTAGAAGGTGGAAGGTCTGGATGCTTCATACTGTGTATATGGATGCCTCATGTTACGAAGTTTCCGTCAGTCACATGTCCAATGTCCTTGACCTCATTTTCATGGTTCAGTGACTACTTGAAAAAAAGTTAAGATTTTTTGTAATGTTAAATTCTCTCTTATTATAAGTAATAGAATAACTATATTTGGTATGTGCGTACCTTGCAAGGTCCTCATGCCCGTCAGACAGTTTTCACTTGACCTCGACCTCATTTCATGGATCAGTGAACAAGGTTAAGTATTGGTGGTCAAGTCCATATCTCAGATACTATAAGCAATAGGTCTAGTATATTCTGTGTATGGAAGGACTGTAAGGTGAATATGTCCAACTGGCAGGTGTCATCTGACCTTGACCTCATTTTCATGGTTCAGTGGTTATAGTTAAGTTGTTGTGTTTTGGTCTGTTTTTCTTATACTGTATGCAATAGGTCTACTATATTTGGTGTATGGAAATATTTTATGATCTATTTGTCAGTCACGCAGGTTTTTTTTTACCTTTACCTCATTTTCAAGGTTCATTGCTCAGTTTTAAGTTTTTGTGTTTTGGTCTGTTTTTCTTAAACTATAAGCAATAGGTCAACTATACTTGTTGTATGGAAGAATTGTTAGCTGTACATGCCTGCCTAGCATGGTTCATCTGACCTTGACCTCATTTTCTTGGTTCATTGGTCAATGTTTAGTTTACTTGGTTAATGTTAAGTTTATGTGACAGTTGTAATAAAGCTTTATATTTAGGACTATCAACATAATATCAATGATTAGTAAAGAAGGCGAGACATTTCAGCGTGTGCACTCTTGTTTCATTCATAAATTACTTTATACTTGGAAATATAATTTTGCTTGGAGTTATAGTTTCTAAAAAAATATTGTCATTGAAAGAGTTGACATGTTGCAATGTACATATATTCTACATAGTTCTATGGTACCAAATCAAAAGTTTATATAAAAGAAAGAAGTCAAAGGTTTCCCATCATAGTTTAGTTACATACATTTTTTTTGTACCTGAGGTCGTTGAATATAGATCATTATATAAATAAGGAGATGTGTTATGATTGCCAATGAAACAACTATCATCCATACATTGTACTTACCAGTAACAAACCACATTTACAAAGTTGAATAAAATACAGTTGATAACATTTACTTATTACTAAAAAGAAAATGCCAAACTATTTTAAACAGTATTTGACTATAAACATAGATAAAAAAAGGTACACACTGGACATAATGCACTAGTTCATAAACAAGTGAGAACAATCGCCTTCATATAGTGCTCAGAATATGACATTCATAAAACTTGTTCAATATCATTAGAGAACTCTAAATCTTAAATACTGAAAGCCACCTCTGATAAGTACAATGTACTATGCAAGATAATGATATAACTGGACTAAAAATACACACAACCTGTAATTAACTGCCTTTACAGCGCTTTCATGCTTTGATTTTCCTTTGGAATACTGGTTATTTCAAGCATTACTGTCAAGTTTTTTGTCATAATCAGTTCAATAGTTTGAGAAAAATCTAGTATAATGTAAGACGTCATCTACAGCGATTCAAACAAAATTTCTTCAAAAAATCCAAATCAAGCCGCATCATGATAGAATCAAGGGTCCGGAAACGATCATATTTGCCAGTAATGACCTAAGCTGAAAGCTATTTGTCCTAAACGGTAGATTGGGATTAAGGGTAAATTTTATTTTTTTACAGAAATAATTTCGGTCATTTCATTGAGATCGGGTTTCTTAATCGCCATTTTGCTTTTGTTTTTGTTAATCCCTTTCCTTTAATAAAACTGCCACTCCAGTATAGTATGATTATCCTGAGGGCCCTCCTAATAACTAGATTAATGCCTCCGGGAAATATTGGCTAATGATCCCTAATGACTTTTTACCTGTGTTTTTAATTCACACCTGACAGTGATCACACAAGCTCAGAACTTATATTATAAAGAAATTAAAATTCCATGACAACTTTCTTCGTTATTTAATCACTTTTCAGCAAAGACAATCGTCAATTTTGATTCAAACAGTAAAACTTGATTTAATTTACGTAAAAAAGTTGAACATGTGCTTTATTTACTATGAATTACGCATGCGTGAAATTGTCCTCACACATAAGACACTTTTATCGTAAAATACAAAATGATTTTATGCTAAATTATCAACACCTTTAAAGGTAATAAAATTAAAAATCCGGTGATTTCCTGTCAATTTGAAGGAGATCAAATCTCGGAAACTAATCTGGAATTAAAATGATCGAAAGAAACGTTAGCGATATATGAGATAATTACCATTTTGAGTCTAAACTCATTTTAATTTTGAACAATTGCTTTCCATCAAACTGTTCTTGAACGTTTTTAGAAAAACAGTAAGAAAATTCATGCAGTAAATGTGATGAAACAGTCAATACAAGTTCGTTGATGCTATGAATCCAGTGTGATTTCAAAAATATTTGAAAAAGGGCCCCAACTTTTAAGTTATCTTAAAATGACCGAAATTATGTGAAAAATTTCCGGATCCTTGGATAGAATATAGTGTGGACCAATAAAAGATCAAATATTTATCTTATCTGCCTATAAACAGTTGAATATAATACAAAAGATGACTCTAGGATGATAAATACCACTACTTGACCTGTTTGTCTTCATTATACGGTCACTTTTGGTCCATTTATACCTCTCATTTCCTTATAATTTCAACTTTTTAGGCCAATAAATAAAAATTTTGGGATAACTTTCGCTCATTAATGAAAGAAATGTGATAATAAATGAGTAATTGAAGTATTCAAGCTGAATGAACCATCCATATAAAAGTTTACTGACTCCATGGAGGTTTATATAAGTCTTTACGTAAAACTTAAATTTACACCGCGTTCCGGAGAGGGACATAAAAAGCTTCCCTTTTAGTGAATAATTTGTTGTAAATGCTTTAAAAAATAATTTCATTTACTTATAACTGTATATTTATTAAATTATTACTTAGGATAAAGCTTTTTGTTATAGCAAAATATAACAAATAAGGAGAAAAGGTCAGAAAAAGCTCCCCAAAACACTGAGTTTTGCTTGCTGTGTCTATTAATATTCTTGGTACAGGCTATTTCAAGGCAATTTTCTCATAAAATGTGTTTTTGAGACTCAATCCATTCAGAATATTTCATTTATCATTGTTTCAAATAAAGAAATACTTGGCATGAGTAAAGTTTTATCCTGTCCAGTACTAACTAAAAATTTCACATAATGTTTCATTGCATATAAGAAAATAACCATCACTGGAAGTTAACCAATCAAATTTTCACCCTTTTTCTTCCTGTGTACAAGCTTTAGTAACCATGTAACCTCAAGTTTCTGAAATATTCTATAGAAACACCAAATAAAAAAATAATGGTGCTTTGAAACACCCAAGATATATGTTTATAACTCCAAATTTATTTACTGCAATGAAATGTAGGATAAATTTCCTACAATTGTCAAATTCAAGGGAATATTTTTTTTCAACCCTTGTTCGTATGCAACCGGATGTGACGTACTATGATTTGGTGGTATTACACTTTAAATGATTTGCATGTTTACAAATACTTGAATGTGATTGGTATGTTTGAATTTCTTTCCTTGGTTTACACTTTGATAAGCAATATGGTCAAAACTACTTTCATAACCTATGTTAACCTTGTGTCTATTTCGCTGTGATATATTCATCCATGAAATACACATAGTGAAATTTAAAGAAAAAAGTACCAAACCTTAGGGTTGAGAATTATAAGGATTAAACCCATTCTCTGGAAATTATTGATGTGGAAACTTGGTTATTGAACTCACAAACTGAATATTAGTACCTCAGTATAGTTTGTGAGTGCATCAGCCCAGTTTACTTATCAAGAACCCGTAGAAAAAACGTATTTAAAACTAAATGACTGCAACCTTTCAGAAAAGTTAAGTACAATAACAGGCAAATTTTGCTCACAAGAATTTCTCATGAATCTTGCGTGATATGAGATTCACCTCTCATGTGAAATTTTTCATGTGAATTTTAAGGGAACTTTACAAAAATAAAAATTGGTATTTTCATGATTTAAATTAAACTTGAAAATTTAGATGTTATTTGAATATCTTTATTTTCACAATTCACAAGAATTTCATGTGAAAAAAAAACATGCAATTTTCACGTGAAATTCATGTCAGTTTCACATGAGATTCTCATGAAACTCACATGAACTGATTTCACGTGAGTTTCATGTATAAGCTTGTTTGAGGGGGGAAATTCACATGAATTTCAGGTGAGATTAACATTTATTTAAATTCATGTGAAATTCAGGTGAGTGAATTTGTCTGTGTATTGATATTATTTCCAGTTAGGTTAGAATATCCTAATCTTTATGCTGTTTCAATTGCAGAAACTAGATGAGGTGATAAATGTGAAACTTCCAGTGATGGGAGATAAACTATATCAAGCTGTCTTAGGAATAATAGATGGATTTAAGATCATTGGAAAAAATCCCAAATCAGCCATCTTTAAGATTGGACTGGGAGTATATCAGTAAGTTTTACATATTTCTTGTTATTAGTTTATTGGTAGTAAACTTATTTTATTTGCAAATTTATGACCACTAGTAACTAATTTTAGGTTTCACCCAGCTTTAAAGGTGTCTTTTGCATGTTGTTCAGCTGAAACAGTCCAGACAGTTGATTTCTTCCTCACATCTAGTTAAAAAAACTAATTTTTACTATTGAAAGTATTGAATCTTTTTATTTCATTGGGATATATAAGTCTTGACCTGATAACAATAATTTGTAATGGAACAGCTAGTTTGGTTCTATAGAAAAGCTATATACAACATCATAAGATGACAATAAAACTGCATAAAGATGTATTTAGTAGTTGATTGTTATAACATCTTATAAGTTTAATCTTTGTGTTGAAAAATAGGGTATATTCTACTTACAAGGAGGCAGTGATATTGAAAAATCAGACTGAAGAAGCTTGTTTCTTTTTGAAAGGTATATATAGTACTAAATACCTCAATTTAAAATGCAGTAGCTTTATGCTTGTCAATTTGTAAAAAAAGTTTGTTGACCCGAAGTCTCTGAAGTTTCTGTAAATGTATAGTGCTACCGTATCACCTATTTTTAAAATTCCTTAGAAAGCTGAAAAAGAATCCCCTTTCTTTTTATTTCAAATTTTTTTTGCTTTGATTTTCATATTTTTAATTGAGTTCTTTTAATGAAAATACTTATGACATACCATTTATATGTTGGATTTGAATTTGAATATATTGTAGAATAAAAACAAATAGAGGCCTGACTTGCTATTTTGATGATATTGAATTTGAATAAGAGAGAAATCACAGGGATCACACTACAAAATGCATTCTTCTTACACTGCATGAATGATTTTCTGCCACACATGGCACTTCAAATGTAGAAGGTCTTATAAAAGTTGATTATTTGAGAATTTATTATAAGACTTTCATAAACTTTCAGTTTCTCTTTGTCAAATTTCTATAGTTCATGCATATTAATTCTTTTAAAATAGTTTTTGAGAAATTATTTCTTTGCCTTATTTGATAATCTGTATATAAAAAATACATATTGTTGAAGATGAGAAGCCATACTGGTGGAATATCACTGATGAATATAAAGGGATAATTGAAGAGGCAGACATAGCTATAGAGACAGTAAAAACGGGAAGTCAAGAATGGATTGATGATTCCAAGGAAGATCCTGTGTCTACATTTACCAATGGAAAATACTCTATGGTAGGATGGAGTTTGGAATTTAAAGAACAATGTTTTTTTATTCACAGATCATCTTTCCACATTTTAAAAAATTACTCAAGTTTCAGAAATCCTTGCACAAAACCTAATAAATATACTGCCTGACTATTTCCTTGTATACTACTTGCAAATTGCCTCGTATAACAGAAAAGTTGGTTTCTTTCATGCAGGGTATGCCTATGATCAGATGCCTCTTTTATCATAATTAGTTTTTGTCTCGCCTTGACAGAGTCAAAAAGCGAGACATAGGTATGCTGTTTCCGGCGGTGGCCGCGGCGTCAACAATGCATTAGTTTGTGATTAGGTCTAGTTCATGGTGAATCACTAGTGGTAGGTCAATGATATTTGGTATGCAGTTGTATTAGCATTGGCACATCTCATTACCATGGGGATTATTTGGTCCCACCCTCTCAGTCAAGGTCTATTGACTTTGAAACTTTTCATAGTTTACATGTATTAGTTTGTGATTAGGTCAATTTATGGGGAACCACTAGTGGTAGGTCAATGATATTTGGTGTTCAGCTGTATAAGCATTAGCACATCTCATTTCCATGGAGAATATTTGGCCCCGCCCCCTCAGTCATGGTCTATTTACTTTGAAACTTTTGCTTAGTTTACATGTATTAGTTTGTGATTAGATCAGTTTAAGATGAACTGCTTAAGTTAAGTCAATGATATTTGGTATGCAAATTTATTGGCATTTGCAAGTATTGTTTCCATGGAGATTATATAGCCCCACCCCCTCTTCATGGTTCATTGACTTTGAAACTTTTACATAGTTTACAACTTAATGTTTGTGTTTAGGTTTGTTTAAAGGGAACGACTTATAATAAGTCAATGGTATTTGGTATGCAGTTGTATTAGCATTGGCAAATCTCATTCCATGGAGATTGTTTAGCCATGTACCTTCAGTCATGGTTCATCGACTTTGAATATTTGCATAACTTACATGTTAAAGTATTGCTATTTTAATTTCAACATTTGCATTATCAAAATTACAAAAAGGCGAGACATATCTCTGTGATAACAGTTTATTTAACCAACTTTCCACGAGTTAGAATATGGTGAACTTTGTCATTTTTTTTATGAAATTATACATGCAGTATATGGATTTGTGGCTTATTCTTCCTAAAAGTTCAAATGTTTTTTTGTTTTAGGCCAAATTGAAAGAGGGTATAAAGAATGAAATCATTACTACACTAGAGGAACTGATGAATCCCTTTGAAACAATTTTAAAAAATCTTGCTGGTCCATTTTTTGAAGCCTATGAAACTGTTTTTGGGGTCATCAAGTCAGTGAAAGAGGCTTATGCCACTTTAAAAAATGGGTAAGATATTTAGAACTTTTGATAATTTGAATTTATATAATACTCAATTTTAAAAAAGGACAAAAGGACATCATTAATATCCACATCTACACATTTTGATCTAATGATCAATGACACAACAACAACACTAGTACTTCATAGGATTGCGGGTTTTATTTATTTCAGATCAACATGTTTTTTAAAGTTCTTGTTGCAGTCATCAGGATAAATATATTGAGAATTTCTCATCCTGAAGTACTAAATTCAGGTACCTCAAGTATGACACCACAATTTATAATGGTTTCCCTTGGTAAACTTATAAATTAGTTTATGTAGTAAAATATAAAAATTTTATGAAAAATTTGTGGTAAAAGGTTTGAAACACAAAATAATAAACAAAATGTAATGTGTTTGTAAGGAATTCAGATTATATATTAAAAACTTTATATTATTTTTCTGAATTTGGATGCAACTTTTCTGGCAATTCCATATTCAATTTATCCTGATGAAGGCATTAAGAACATCGAAACATGTTGATCTGATATAAATAGTACCTGCATTTGTATGAAGTGTTATGTCCTTATTTATTTTTTTCAATTAGATATTTAGTTTTGACACCCTGCATACCTTTGGTATCCACATCAATGGAACCTGAAATACCTAGATTTACCAGGAATTGGTTCACAGGTTTTTTATTGTCATGCCTTGACCAAGTCAAAAAGCGAGACATAGGTATGCTGTTTCCGGCGTCAGCGTCAACAATGTATTAGTTTGTGATTAGGTCTAGTTTATGGTGAACCACAAGTGGTAGGTCAATCATATTTGGTATGCAATTGTTTTTCCATTGGCACATCTCATTTCCATGGAGATTATTTGGCCCTGCCCCCCTCAGTCAATGGTCTATTGACTTCAAACTTTTGCTTATTTTACATGTATTAGTTTGTGATTAGGTCAGTTTATGGGGAACCACTAGTGGTAGGTCAATCATATTTGGTATGCAGTTGTATATGCATTGGCATATCTCATTTCCATGGAGATTATTTGGCCCTGCCCCCTCAGTCATGGTCTATTGACTTTGAAACTTTTGCTTAGTTAACATGTATTAGTTTGTGATTAGGTCAGTTCAAGGGGAACCATTAGTGGTAGGCCAATGTTAATTGGTATTCAGTTGTATAAGCATTAGCACATCTCATTTCCATGGAGAATATTTGGCACCGCCCCTCAGTCATGGTCTATCGACTTTGAAACTTTTGCTTAGTTTACATGTATGAGTTTGTGATTAGATCAGTTCAAGGGGAACCATTAGTGGTAGGCCAATGTTAATTGGTATTCAGTTGTATAAGCATTAGCACATCTCATTTCCATGGAGAATATTTGGCACCGCCCCTCAGTCATGGTCTATCGACTTTGAAACTTTTGCTTAGTTTACATGTATGAGTTTGTGATTAGATCAGTTTAAGATGAACTGCTTATGTAAAGTCAATGATATTTGGTATGCAAATTTATTGGCATTTCGAAGTATTGTTTCCATGGAGATTATATAGCCCCTCCCCCTCTTCATGGTTCATTGACTTTGAAACTTTTACATAGTTTACAAGTTAATGTTTGTGTTTAGGTTTGTTTAAAGGGGACAACTTATAATAAGGCAGTGGTACATGTATTTGGTTTGCAGTTGTATTAGGTATCAAACCACTAATTCATAGCCCCATTGCTTTCTATGTTAAATTTTGCAATTTCAAGCATTAATGGCTTCTTTGTCTTAAGTTCAAATAAGGTGGCAGTCATTTCATGTCAAAACTATACCTTATCCTGACTTGTGCTGAAAAATTCAACATACCTTTAATTGCATATTAGAGCATACTGGTTCCCAGAAGTTAGATAGTACAAAAACAGGTATGTCTGATCTGAACAACAAGCCAAATGTGCCCTCCTATTATAATTTTATATACTTCTTTTTAAATCAAAAGAAACTTTTAACAAGGGTTCTACAGTGATCCAAAGTCCCCAAGGTTTCATTTGATACCAAAACTACCCAAATATTTCACATATTGACAAAGATACAGCTATGTGTAGGAACTATTTTGTTTAAAATATGTACTACTTTCTTGTATGTTCTTTCCGATCGGGCCTGAATTAGTGGTTTTATACCATTAGCATTGGCACATCTCATTTACATGGAGATTGTTTAGCCATGTACCTCAGTCATGGTTCATTGACTTTGAATATTTGCATAACTTTTGTAACATGTTAAAGTATTACTATTTTAATTTCAAGATTTGCGTAATCAAAATTACAAAAAGGTGAGACATATCTCTGTGATAACAGTTTATTGTATGAGATTTTTTCAATTGTTTTTTTTATGTGGTGATTCTGCCTCATTTAACACATTGAAGTGTTCTGGAATCATTTACCAGTATTTTAAAATTCTATTTGATGAAGGAAAACAAGTTTTCCATTGAAATGCTCCAAATAACAACACACAACTTTAAATTTACTGGAGTTTACTCAATGTTTAAACAAGTGACTAAAAGTTTTTCCCTGATTATGTTTGGATTACGATAAAATACACTTTTTATATCGATCATGCTTTATTAATTCCTAACAAAATGCCCTAGAAATTCTTTATAACATTAAAATAAAGCCATTTGTGGTTATTTTTTTATACTGTAAATTCAGAAATTGTTGCATTGTTTTTATTAATGCAATAAATGCAACTGAATGAGTATTGCAATGATTAGAACTTGCATTCTGATATATGATAATTGCATATGTATGCAGATTTTCCTGAAATCACAATAATTAATCTTGCATTCAAAGTCATCTATGTCCTTACAGGTATCAGATAGCTAAGTCTTTACTTAATGTTATTTTTGGAACCAAAGCACATCCCGATTTTCCGAGGACAATAAGAATGGACACTGATGGTTGTAGAGGAGAAGGATTTTATCCCTCTAGGCTAATGAGTGGTGACCCAGAATACTCATACAGTGGTGTTGACCTAGAAATAAATGCAGGAGATATTGTAAGTTTTATTTGTAGTGGAACTGGTTACAACCAACACACACACTTGGACAAAATTTAGATATTTTTGATTTAGACAGTATGGTGGTTTATTCCAGTTTCACCTAAAAATGAAGATTGATAGTTAAAAAAATGCATACAATCTTGCATGTGTACATTACACTTTAAAAAAAACCAGAAGCTTCTTCAATGTCAAAAAAGAGCATCTGGAGGATTTAGATTTGTATTTTACTAATAAATAGAGTAATTTTTTTGGCAGTCAACATTTCAGTTTTACACTGACAGTAGCAATATCAGGTGAAAGACATGGTTCTGAGGAACCCATTACAATTATTTAACCAATAGCTGTAGTGACATTTTTTTATTTCCTAGTCCAAGTTAATGAACATCATTTTGAAAGCTGTACTGTGCAGGCTTTTAATTATAATTAAAGTTTTATGATGTAAAAATTGTGAAGAACAACAAAAGGTGTTGGGAGGGGGTTTCTTAGATTGTAAAACTATTTTAACCCCACCACTTTTTATGCCTGTACCAATTCAGGATATGTGGATTATGTACTGTTATTTGTGTTTGCCCTTGGGTCATTTTTCACGAGGAGGCAGTTGTTGGTGTTTAACTTGTCCTTTTGTACTGTGTACTCTTTATGACGATTCTTGTTAATATCCAGTTTTTCCTGTTGCAAGGTTGTGCATGGTACATAGAAATGTGGGCATCCATCTTATCTTGTAAGTGATCTCACACATAAATTCATGTCAGTTTTTAAAAAAAAAATATATATAAAGGTTAATATCAGCAATGTCTCAGAACTATTTGAAATTCAGTGCTGATCAACTATTTTAAAGGATTTATGTCCCGTAGAAATGTAGATTCTATAGAAAATAGCATTGTAAGTGCTCTCAATACTAATCTAATGTGAATCCCTTAATGGAAAATTTTATTTTCATCGTCTTTAAGACAACTTTGCAAATCTAAACCAAACTTGGGAAATGTCTTCTACAATTGATCCATACTTGGTGCATGGTTTCTGAAAAAGGCAATATTTTGTTATGAATGGTCAATTTGATAAAAAAATCTCTCTGAAATTACAAAGTATTTTTACTTCTGCTGATGAATTTAAAAACTATCTGAAATTTTAACCAAAATCTCTAAAGTTTGTATGCTCATGCAACATCTTTTTAATTAATATTTTTTATTTTAACAAAATATTTATTTTGAACCTGGTATTTGAATTATTACTATACAGAAAGGAGATAATGCTTCAACAAAATTTATGATTTTGGGAGGTTATCTCCCTGTCATCTCATATATTTAGAATTAACAGATTTATAGGAATATATGAATAACCATTAAAACAATGCTGAGAAAATAATGTATGATCAGAATATCTATATCAAGGTCAAAGGACAAAGAGTTAATCCACTTCCATATTGTGATGCATATCTAATATTTTTTCGTAGCCATACATTCAGTAAACCGGACATCTGTATGGAGTCTCTAAACAAAAATAATATGTTTGTTATTTTCAGGTTGTTGCACCATTCTCTGGAGATATAATGTTAACTGACCGTCCAAATGAAGTTGTGATAAAAACAGACGATTCTTTTAAAAATGCAGAGGTTTACATCACTAATGTAAATCCAAAAGATACCATTCTACACCCTAGTGATGAAAATTACATAGAACATACGGTAATTAATTATTTCATACTAAATTAGAGTTTTGTTATTGTTTTTATTTCTTTATGTTGCACATATCATAATAATTAATGTCAGATGACTGGTAATTTTTACATACTGTGAATTCCTTTTTATATTTTTCATCAGTACCAACTTTCTTTGAAGGGGGGTGTCTTTACCTATATAAAAGTATATACAGACATGCCACTTGTATGGTTAACTTTTTTGGTATGTCAAATTTATCAGGAGTGCAATTTAAAAGAGAGGCGAAAGATACCACAGGGAGAGTCAAACTCATTAGTTGAAAACAAACTGACAATACTATGCCAAAAATTCAAAAAAACATTCAAAAGACAAACAACAGTCAAAATGTAAATCAAATACAGTAGACTCCACCTAATCGGATATCGGTTAAACGAATATATCGGCTATTGTAATATTATTTCAAAACACCGAACCATTCCCTATATATTTCAGCTAAATTACATCGGATAATCGAATATCGGATATTAGAATATATCGGCTAATTGGATAGGAATATTCATGGAAAATGTGTGAAAACCATGTACAATCGAATATTTTGAAATAATTTCAATTTTTTCTTGAATCCGGAAGTTACGCCATTACGAAGTTTAAGAAAATTGCAGTACAGAAATGTTTCATTTTATTGTCGAGCCTGCGACTTTTGGTCGCAGAAAGCTCGATATAGGGATAGTGATCCGGCGGCGGCGGCTACGGCGGCGGCGGCGGCGTTAGCTAACTTCTTAAAAGCTTTATATTTCAGAAGGTGGAAGACCTGGATGCTTCATACTTTGTATATGGATGCCTCATGTTACGAAGTTTCCGTCAGTCACATGTCCAATGTCCTTGACCTCATTTTCATGGTTCAGTGACTACTTGAAAAAAAAGTTAACATTTTTTGTAATGTTAAATTCTCTCTTATTATAAGTAGTAGGATAACTATATTTGGTATGTGCGTACCTTGCAAGGTCCTCATGCCCGTCAGACAGTTTTCACTTGACCTCGACCTCATTTCATGGATCAGTGAACAAGGTTAAGTTTTGGTGGTCAAGTCCATATCTCAGATACTATAAGCAATAGGTCTAGTATATTCGGTGTATGGAAGGACTGTAAGGTGTACATGTCCAACTGGCAGGTGTCATCTGACCTTGACCTCATTTTTATGGTTCAGTGGTTATAGTTAAGTTTTTGTGTTTTGGTCTGTTTTTCTTATACTGTATGCAATAGGTCTACTATATTTGGTGTATGGAATGATTGTAAGGTGTACATGTCTAGCTGGCAGGTGTCATCTGACCTTGACCTCGTTTTCATGGTTCAGTGGTCAAAGTTAAGTTTTTGAGTTTTGGTCTTTTTTTCTAATACTATATGCCATAGGTCAACTATATTTGGTGTATGGAAATATTTTATGATCTATATGTCAGTCACGCAGGTTTTATATGACCTTGACCTCATTTTCACGGTTCATTGATCAGTGTTAAGTTTTTGTGTTTTGGTCTGTTTTTCTTAAACTATAAGCAATAGGTCAACTATATTTGTTATATGGAAGAATTGTTAACTGTACATGTCTGCCTGGCACGGTTCATCTGACCTTGACCTCATTTTCATGGTTCATTGGTCAATGTTTAGTTTTCTTGGTTAATGTTAAGTTTATGTGACAGTTGTAATAAAGCTTTATATTTAGGACTATCAACATAATATCAATGATTAGTAAAGAAGGCGAGACATTTCAGTGTGTGCACTCTTGTTAATAAAAACGATCTTTCATAGTCAAATAAAACATATTTTTTCTCATTGTCTTGTTTAATTATATGAATTTGATATTATATTCTGACCAAGATGTGTTTGTTATGTGTTTATCCAAATGTGATCGTTATCCTTTACTTCAGACAATGACTCGATAGAAATGTTATTTTGATAAACTGTGCGTGATGTTCATGAATGTTTATTAAATATGAAAGAAATGTACCTCTCTCTCAACAATTTATTAAAATATATATAGAAGTCCCGTGTAAAAACGAGGAATCTTGTGTCAATATCATGTCCCAGGTGAAATAGAATTATGTAACTTGTCACGTACGCCATTTTCCTAATTTGCATAATATTCAGCCTTTTATTTTGAACCACGACAGATTCGATAGAAAATCAGATTAATTTACTCATCTTGATGCCCAATTTTATAATTATAAAAATAGTTGTTTTACTTGAAAATGAAAATGTGTTTCATAAACAAAAAACTGTAGAAAATTAGATCCGAGTAAGATTACAGTTAGAAGTTTATAGTCGGATGATTTACAGTGAAAAAATAATTTTCTGAACTTTATCCATGTACCAACGTATAAAATCTTAAACAGTTATAATGTAAAAAGAAAGTAAAGAGTGTTTAAAATTAAAATTTAAAACATATCATCATGTTGATTAGAACATAATTAGGGCTCGTTAAGGTCGTAATTGAAATCATAATTACTCATTAAAAGATCTAAAGAAAGCGACCTATTTGACCCTTATATGAAATATTTCTCAGCTTGATAATTATGCAAAGCTGTGAAATTTTTTATAAGCTTGGTGTACTCAGTGATTTGTCTTAAATAGAAGTTCTTGTCTGATTGTTGTCATTCTAAAAAGTGTAGTCTAACTATGAGTATCGCCAAACGTAAACGCAATGACCTCTCACTTGGAGACAAGTTTGAGGTAGTCAAGTTACTTGACAAAGGGCAAAAACAAACAGAAATATGCAAATTGCTAAACATATCCCAAGCCCAGGTATCGAGAATAAAGGGCAAGAAAGACGAAATATGTAAATCAATAGAGACCAACTCTAACACAAAACGCAAAAGGGTAGTCAGTGGCAAAGATGCCGAGGTTGAGAAAGCTCTTCTAGAGTGGTTTAAGAATGCTAGAGAGCGAGACATACCACTGTCGGGCCAAATACTACAAGAGAAAGCCAAAGAACTTGCAACACAGCTTGGCAAAGATGATTTTGTCGCCACCAATGGTTGGCTTGAAAGGTGGAAGGGCCGCAACAACATAGTCTACAAGAAATGCCACGGGGAGAAAAAAGACGCTGACACTGAAGCAGCAGATGACTGGGTTACAAATGTTCTTCCAGAAATACTCATGAACTACAACCCAGATGATATCTACAACGCTGATGAGACTGGCCTCTACTACCGAGCTATTCCAGATGGAACACTCACTGAAAAATTTCATGATGTTGCAGGCAGCAAAAAGTCAAAAGATCGCATCACCGTCATGGTTGCAGCTAACATGACCGACACTGACAAAAGACCTCTACTTGTCATCGGCAAAAGTCAACAGCCCCGCTGTTTCAGAGGTGTCCAACACCTACCAGTCACTTACAAAGCCAACAAAAATGCATGGATGACTTCCGAATACTTCAAAGAGTGGATAAAGGCATTTAATAATGACATGCAGAGGCAACGTCGTCATGTCATATTACTGGTTGACAACTGCAGTGCTCATCCCGAGTCAGCTGGTGCTGGTCTCCAACACGTCGTGCTGAAGTTTTTGCCTCCCAACACTACATCAATCATTCAGCCATGTGACCAAGGTATTATTCGGAACCTAAAAGCATACTATCGTAGTAACATGGTCAGGAAGGTGATTAGAATAATAGAAGCATCAGAGGTTAAACTGACTGCAAACGCTCTTGCTCGCAAATTAACATTGTTAGATGCAGTTCATTTACTAAAGAAATCTTGGAGTTGTGTCACTACCTTAACTATCATCAACTGCTTCAAGAAAGGTGGCTTCGTTGTTCCCGACCACAACCTACAAGAAGAGCAGAGTGAAGATGATACAACTACTCTCACATAAGACGACGAAGAAATACACCCAGCTGTACGTCCAACTTCATCAGACCTCCTGAATGCACTGTCAACAATTCGTCAAGGTTTGGAGTTCAGCAACGTGTCTGATTATTCCCATTATTATAAAGTGGAGGACCAAGTTAACAACCTTCTACAGTCATTGAAGAGACAGTCAGTAATTACAGAGTTTGTTCAGTGGATCCCATAAACATTATGACTCTTACTATTGTACCTAGTGCTATAGAACTTGTGAACATTAAACAATTAATTTATATGTAGTGCTGAAAAGATATCTTTATTTGGTGCTTATTATGTAATTGTTAGCCTATTGTTGTTATACATATATATAAATGATTATAACTGTAATAAATTGAATCATTTACATTCGTCTTTTTTTCTTTTTCATCCTTTACACATTGCAACTAAGTATGATCCAGGTTTTACCGTACATTTAGTTCTTTGAGAATTCGTAGCTATTAATAGCATTTACCTGTGGCCTACTTCCGAGAATTCATAGCTATATTTAGCTTTTACCTGTTTTAACACACAAATGAAACAAATCACGCGAAAACAATAAGTCACATTATTTAAAAGGTACATATTTTATTCAGATAATCATCACATAATTAATAATCAATAGACTGACAGATAAACAAAAATACATTATTATCAACTGATCGATCTGTTACTCAATCAACCGGTAATAATCCGAACTTGTACCTGAAAAAATAATGAGATTAGTTACAAATTTCCATTAATAAAGCAGCTATAATAGCTATTGGTATCTCCTGGTTGTGTCCTGGTTGTGTCTGTCAATTTTGAAAAAAAACTTGGAGGAATATACGTTCATCGGCTAATTGAATATATCGGACAATGGGATATTTTTAGCTGACATTTTGGGTATCCGATTGGCCGGAGTCTACTGTATATAAATTGGTATTGATAAGAATTTTTGAAAACCTAGATAAATTAATGAGGGGGATGGGATTTAATTTTTAAACCCCAGCTGCACGCCTGTACCCAAATTTGTTAGGGTGTATGGGGCAGCAAATTGCATGGATTTTTGCACTTATTTAATTATAAAGGTATGTCAAAATTCTGCTAAAAGCATTGATATATTGCAGAGGTGATATGTAGGGATCACTGTCTTACTGTATCATCACTTTATAGAAGGCATGAAGTAGAAATCAACCATAAATGCAGTATTTTTAGTAAAATAGGACAAATTATGTAAATTTTCATTTTTTTATTGATATTTTTTTTTAAAGTTATAGCATTTTTCAGAGTAGTTTGTATTTGAATAGTTTCAAGAATAGAAAATGTTGAAATACTTTATAAAAGTAATTGACTTCTTTGCTAGATATTTACTCAAATTTTTTCATTGTTGAATGCAAATTTTAAACCATATAGATTATAAACAAACCCCCACAAAACTTTCCCCACATATATAATGTTCTTGACCTGTCCATGCGTCTGACTGTCCGTCTATTGGTCAGTCCTGTTCTTGTCATCTCAGCTGCTCTGAAACCACACTACAGAATTTCATGAAACTTTGTAGATAATAAGGATATAGTGATGTGCATATCAACAGGAAATTATGATTCAATTTTTTTTAAGGAGTTACACCCCTTTGAAGTTAGAATTTTGACCTAAATATGCTATCGCAGCAGTTTGTCGTGGCAACTCTTCAGAAATGACACAACAGAATTTCATGAAACTTTGCAGATAAAAAGGACATACTATGTAGATGTGCATATGGACATGGAATTATGATTCATAAAAAGAAGAATTTTCAGGAGTTATGTCCCTTTGAAGTTAGAATTTTGGCCTAATTATTCTACTGCAAAGGTTTGTCATCGCAACAACTCTGAAACTACACATCAGATTTCTAGGAAATTTTGTAGATAATTTGGACATAGTATGTATAAGTGCATATCCACAAAAAAGAATTATCAGTTGACTTTTGTATGAGTTATGAATCTTTGAACTTAGGAATCTGGTTATCTATTTTTACCAAGTGACAATATGGAGGCATGGGGTATGTGAGAGGGCTCACAAAGGTTATTTTATTTTAGATGTCATGTGAAAGTCACATACATTTTGTAATCATATTTTTCTAAATTTATCAGATCTGGGCAGGTGTGACTATTGGAACAGCTACATCTTCACCATGTAAGAACCACATACATATTGCCATTAAAAAAGATGGAGGCTTTGTTGAACCAACCAGATTTCTTGAAAGTAGACGTGTAGAGTTACAGCCTTACATACAACATTGTAATGACTATAGGGTTGAAATAGTGGTATGTTAAACTGATTGATTTAAGTACTGTTTGCATGTATACATCAAAGAAAAATACTAATTTCCTTAAATTTCTGGATTGTGTTTTGTTTTATATACATATATATATAATTTTAACAGAAATATACTATATTTAACCATTTGCCAGCAAGCTAAGTCATTTGAGTCATCTCGATACATCTAGTTTGTTTACTGATTCTTATGATGATTTTTTGTTTCTCTGAATAATTATTGATGATTTTGTGGATAAGATTTATTATAAATAAAAGACAAAAATCTTTAAAGAATTTCTTTCAAGAAAAATGTTTTGCATGTCATCTTTGCGTCGGGTATGATGTTTTTGACCCTTCTGTCTGTCCATCCATCTGTCCGTCCGTCTGTCCGTCCGTCCATCTGTCTGTCTGTCTGTCCGTCAGTCCTGTTCTTGTCATCGCAACTCCTCTGAAACCACACAACAGAAATTCATTCACTTTGTAGATAATAAGGACATACTATTTAGATGTGCATATCAACAGGAAATTATGATTCAATTTTTTTTCTAGGAGTTATGCCCCTTTGCACTTATTGGCCTCAATATACTACTGCACAGTTTGTCATCGCAACTCCTCCGAAACCACACAACAGAATTGTAGATAATAAGGACCTACTATGTAGATGTGCATATGGACAGGAAATTATGATTCAATTTTTTTCTAGGAGTTAATCCGCTTTGAGGGCTGTTCCAGAAAACACTATATATCCCCCCCAGGGAAGGCAATTTTTTGAAATTTTATGTGGGTGGTTGTATTTGAAATATCAAAATGCAAAGGGAGTATTGTTCTAATTTATTTTTATTTCTGTGGGTGATGGGGGTTAAAAAAAGTGCCGTCCCTGGAGGGGACATGGTATTTTTTGGAACAGCCCTGAACTTATTGGCCTCAATATACTACAGTCTGTCAGTCCTGTTCTTGTCATCACAACCCCTCTGAAACCACACAACAGAATTTCATGAAACTTTGTAGTTAATGAGGACATAATATGTTAATGTGCATATCCACAAGAAATTTTTTATCAGTTGACTTTTGTAGAGTTATGAGTCTTTGAACTTAGAAATCTGGTGAGATTTTGTTTGTCCAGTGACAATGTGGGGGTGTGGGGTATGTGAGCGTGCTCACAAAGGTTCTTTAATTGGGTGTAGAAATGATAATACACCTTTGTAAGTATGTCCATCTGTAGGTTTGATTTTCAATGTTAGTCTTCTTCAAACTAAGTACATGTATACACAATCATCATGCTTTAGAAGGAAATATATTGCAAGTTTGCATTCTAGAAAACTACCATTCATATTATTTGGAATTTGCTATATCTTAAAGTGTATTTTTATAATGAACAGTATTCTCTATTGCAATTAAAGTCTGATGGAAAAATTCTTAATGCATTCAGTAAAGGTTAAAAGCCTAGATAATAGTACAATGTACCTCCACACTAATATAATGTATAGAAGTATATACCGGTATTAAATTTAAAAAGAATGGTAATTTCGTGTCAGGAGGCCCCGTTGTAGATAAATTTTGATGTAATTGGAGTTTACTTTTTGTCACAGGGGATAACATTAGCAGTTGGTAAAATACCACCTGAAGATGGAGAAGAACAAGTAGATGAAACTCCAGAAACAGAGAATACTGATGTTGAACCTATAGACCCTCCTGACGAATCAGAGGACCCAGGCACAGAGATACGGGCTGCTAAATGTGAGCAAAGGTTTCCTGTCTCAAGCATAAACTTTGACATTGCCAAAAAGATGTTAAATAGAATAAGTACCGTTAAAAGGCTTGTATAGTCCGCGGTTTTATTCTCCAAAATTGAACCTGCCAGAATGGGTGCGGACTATAGAGTACAATAAGCAAGAAATAAGAGAAAAAAAATCGTGAGGTGGTTTGTTTACGTTCTGCCATGTTTGTTATTGATATTGTAGAGGGCGCTCTTATCATTTTTCAAACTAGTAATTTTACCTAATCCATATTAATAAGTTATTTTTATTCAATATCAAATTAAAACTGATAAATTTAAAAGTTAAACACTTCATTACAAATTTCTTGTTTCTTTTCAATGCATTGATTAAAATAAACTAAATAAACTGGTATCTGCTTGAATGAAACGATACAAAAAAATTTACAAAAAGGCATACGTAAACCAGCTTACGATGTGTAAATTACCAAACGTAATCGGTTATTATTCGTTCCGTTTCCGTGTTTCATACTGACAAATATGTTTTATATTAGCTTAAAACCCTTCAAACATTAATGTAATAGATATATTAAACACTGTTCTACATAAAGATGGAACTGTTTTACTTTCGAAGTCGTATTATAGTGATATCTATGATGTACAGATTTCGACTCTCACCGTTTTTTTTATTCTTTTACACATGCTATTCAAACTTCTGGTTTAAACATACACAAGTTTTTAAATTGTTTTTTGTGTGATTTAGACTTATTTTAACAATCGTGAAGTGTTCTAGAATCATTTACAAGCAGTTTCAGCTTCTGTTTGATGATGGAAAACAGGTTTTTCCAAGAAAATACCGCAAACGACCATGCACGATTTGAAATAACTGGAGTTTCATTAGACCTTTTCTAACAGTTACAAAAAGTTTTTTTGCCTGAAATTTCGTGGGAAGAAGGGGGTGCGGACTATGTACCAGTGCGAACTATACAAGCCTGTTTACGGTAATTCCTTGTCACCGGTCAAGTAAAAATTCAAGCACTTTTAATTAAAATGCTTGATTAATCTTGAACTTTGAAATTCATTTATTGACCTAAAATATTTTACTACATGTACTTCAAAATGGTAAAAGTTTAGAATCCTATTGTCTGGATATATTAAAGAAAAAAAAACTTACATCTGCAAATCATATTTTTGTATGAATTTATGTTTTTGGCCATGTATGAAGTGTTTTTCTTCTGTCAGTCATAAACATTATCAATTTTGCTTTAAAAATATTTAAAGTAATTTCATTTTTTTAAGTGTTAATGAATGGAACACAAACTTGTACAGTTTGTACATTGTAAGTTGCATGCATAAGGATATGAAGTACACTTGAAATAGATATTTGATAATACAGCCAATTCAGTCTTTATTTTTGCTTAATTTAAGTTTAAATGAATTTACCAGCATATAAAATATATCTCATGATTCAATGACCGTTGTACGCTTTTATCAAAGACCATAGATGAAATATACCATGGAAATTAAAGGTTCCTGCCAGTCTATGATAATTGTAAAACTGGGTCAATGCAAAAAAATGAAAACAACACGTTATATAAATTTCATGTGTCTGAAGCGCATTTCTGGATTTACCTTCATCAGAATCGCTCAAAGCCAAATATTTGAAAGCCAAGGATTTATAAGAACTGAAACAATTGAAGAGGAGAGACAACACTCATAATATTAGAAAGCAGAAAGAGCCTAAATTTGTTAAAAATATCTTTACTGCTCTTTACTGTTTGTGTTATTGGACTTTTACCAGTTTAGGTCTTGACATGTTATGAACAAACTCCTTATAGACCATTTGCAAGATTGTCAAATTCCCTTCATCCATGCTACACAGAGAACATTAGCTTCACAGTTTATTGACAATCTCTGAATTTATAGAAGTACCTCACTTGCATTGAAATACCAAGAATTACTTGTAGCCATTAGAAGTTAACTCAGTAAATGGTGAAAACAAGAATTTAAATTTAAAAATTTAATCTATATCCTCTTAAAAAGGCAGTGTTGAAATCTAATCTTAAGTGTCTACCCAGCATGCAATATGAAATGTGAAATTAATTATATGCTTTTATTTTAGCAAATCCAAAATCATTGTTCTCAAAGGCAAAGAATGCAGTTTCTGGAATTGCGATTGGAGCAACAGGTTTAAAAATATTTCAATTTAATTTGATGAATATTCTACTGACATGGCTTTGGTATGCAAGTACTAAAGAAGTTGGTTGGCACATGTACAAATTACCAGTACTACACTATATATAGCACCAAACTTTTTAAGATAAGTAATATCATAATAATTTTGAAAAAATGTTTCAATTCATTGACTGCTACTTCATATCGATCCTAACAGACTAATCATGTTTTCATGACTTTTTTAATTAGTTTAAATGCTTCATCTGGTTATGCAATACTCTATGGTTGTTTTCAGTTCAACGGGCTCGGTAAACAACATCTCTGTAAAAATTAGGATGTGCTATCCTGTTGAATTACTGGTTAAAAGAGTACTTTCCATCATCTCGGGTCTCGAAATCTACCTTAATTGTTGAGAAAATCTTAAATGTATAAAGCTACCAAAATTACTGCTGAGAAAATCTGAAATATGAAATGCATTCCACTCAAGCAATTTTATTTTTTACAGATATGTTTACTACCCTCATGAAGAAAGCAGACAGTTTTTTCAAAAAGTTCTCGCTAACCAGACTAAAGCTTGGATCTATCATAGAGTTTCTGGATACCCTTGGCATGACTGAGAGTAAGCAACAGTTGGCTGAAGTTCTGAAGAGTATAAAGGTATCATAATAGTACTTTATACCGATTGTGACAGACATTGATATAGACTTTACACAAGTAATTTTTTTTGCCAGCACAGCTATTATTATCACTTGGTGTTTACTATCTGTACAAGTATAAAGAAAAAATAATTTTATAACTACTGGTCAGATTGAACAACAGAAGCGGATGCAGAGCTTAATTAAGTGGATATAAAATTTGAAGGAAAATTATGACTTTGAAATTTTATTGAAATTTTGCAATTCTGCTCGCCAAAATTAGTGTAAGATTTTCAAGTGGTAGGGCTTAAAAGTTCTAAAATTGGCTAACATTTGATTATTTTGTATATATATAGATAAAGTTTTTTGTTGGACAAATTTTATCTGTTATAGATCTTTTAGTGCATTATGAATTCAGATGTATCAACTTCATCTTATGAGTGAGTTCCTATGATGTAGCTTGAAAATTAGGACCTTTTTTGGCAGCTTTTTTCACCTTTGTCTATGGTCTTGTCTGTCCATGTATTTATGGTTTACTACCTTCAAATTTATTGGATGTTTATCAATTATTTATCTGTTATAAGAAACTGATAGATAACAGACCATGTTTGAACCCTGCTCAAGCTACAGAAGAAGAGTTGAAACAAGAACTATTTGACAGAGGCCATGCAACAACTGGAACTAGAGAACAGCTGATTACCAGACTTACTAAACCAGATAACAGTAAATAATGAGTTTATTATATATCATGAAGTAAAGTGTCAAGCTTCATGTTATACTATGTGATGCATTTTCAGATTTATTGCTTTTCCACTTCCTGTTTACAGAATACTTATATATTCTTACACTGATTTTCATCACATTTTTCTCAGTATCTACAAATCTGGGTTTCTAAAATTTGGAATCAATCTTAAGCTTCATGTCAGCATTCCTTACAATTTGATGCTTTCTTCACTCATTATCTTCCTGTTAACCAAAACAACTTATAGCTCGGGTATCATTAGTTAGCAAAAGCTCACAGTTAAACTTGTTTATTCAGTGGGGGTATACTTAGTAAATAACAGCTAACAGTATATCTTGTTATTTATGCTATTTCATAGATGGGTGACACTCAAAAACGTGTCCAATCCAATATGATGTCACTGTACACCCAAATAGTCTAGCTTGTGAAGGACATTGATACATACCCTTTCATTAATGCCTAATCATGTCCATATCTTAAAAACACCCAAACATGTCCACCCATATGAAAAAGTGAGTCATTATCACAAAGGTTTGAAAACATGTCAAGAAGAGATTATTACAGAGACCTTAGACCCAGTCTAAAAGTGCACAGGAAGAAAACATTTCATGTATTTTCAGGACGGGAACAAATTAACAATTAACACAACTTGTAGTTTTATTTAGTTTGGGCTGTAAACTATTCGTTTGTCAAGCATTTTATGTCACTAACATTAAGATTTTTACTGGGTCCTAGATGACTATAGCATCACCAGATAATGTGTACTCTATACATGTATATGAGTTTTATTTCCAGATGTCTGTGGATGGTTATGACAACACCAAACAATGTGTATTGTACTTATTACTTTTATTTCAGGATGACCCTGGATGGCTATAACAACACCATACAATGACTTTTATTTCAGGATGTCCCTGGATGGCGATAACAGCAGAAGACAATGTATATGTATATATGACTTTTATTTCAGTATGTCCCTGGATGGCTATAACAACACCAGACAATGTATATGTATACATAAATTTTATTTCAGGATGTCCCTGGCTGGCTATAACAACACCATACAATGTGTACTATATGACTTTTATTTCAGGATGTCCCTGGCTGGCTATAACAACACCATACAATGTGTACTATATGACTTTTATTTCAGGATGTCCCTGGCTGGCTATAACAACACCATACAATGTGTACTATATGACTTTTATTTCAGGATGTCCCTGGCTGGCTATAACAACACCATACAATGTGTACTATATGACTTTTATTTCAGGATGTCCCTGGATGGCTATAACAACACCATACAATGTGTACTATATGACTTTTATTTCAGGATGTCCCTGGATGGCTATAACAACACCATACAATGTGTACTATATGACTTTTATTTCAGGATGTCCCTGGATGGCAATAACAACACCAGACAATGTGTACTATATGACTTTTATTTCAGGATGTCCCTGGATGGCTATAACAACACCATACAATGTGTACTATATGACTTTTATTTCAGGATGTCCCTGGATGGCTATAACAACACCATACAATGTGTACTATATGACTTTTATTTCAGGATGTCCCTGGATGGCTATAACAACACCATACAATGTGTACTATATGACTTTTATTTCAGGATGTCCCTGGATGGCTATAACAACACCATACAATGTGTACTATATGACTTTTATTTCAGGATGTCCCTGGATGGCAATAACAACACCAGACAATGTGTACTATATGACTTTTATTTCAGGATGTCCCTGGATGGCAATAACAACACCAGACAATGTGTACTATATGACTTTTATTTCAGGATGTCCCTGGATGGCAATAACAACACCAGACAATGTATATTGTACTTATGACTCAATGTGTTTAGGTGTAGAATGTTGTCTTAATGTCAAACTGTTCATGTTCCTGTACACTGTTAAAGCCTATGCTAGATATGATCCATGTGACTACAGGTTGAGTGTTGGATTAGGAGACGACAGTTACTCAGTCCAATTTGATATGGGATATGATGGCAAGTCAAAAATAATGTTTTACCGTTAATTAGTTGATTTTGAATAGTTAAAATATGGATTGAAAAAGAAAACTTGCAAGAAGATAAAATTCATGCTGTTTGGCCATTTAATACAATATGTCTAGCTTTAGATTATTTTGTCAGTCTGGAATAGTTGCGTGTAGATCTAACAGTGTATATCAAAGATCTGCAATTTCTCCTATATTGTTCCGTCAATTCCAGTAGCTCCAATACTGTAACTGACTGTAATGGTAAAAAAAAATTGCAAAAATATTTTCCCACATTAACATTGCAATTCAGTTTATGCACCTGTTTTGTCACTAGATGTATTTTTTAAGTGAAACTATTTTTTATGCCTCTGCTGCATCCTGAGGGGGGCATTAAGTGTTACCCTTGTCCGTCTGTACGTAGGTCCCTAAAATTGGTTTCCATTCTCTAACTTTAGTTTGCCTCAACCAAATGTTATGAAACTGATACATAATGCTTATTACCACAAACACAGATCAAGTTTGATTTTGGGTGGCATCACTTATACCCGTTCTAGAGGTATGCCCCTGTTCAAATTGAAAAATTGCTGAATTTTTGTTTCCATTCTCTAACTTAAGTTTGCCTCAACTCAATGTTATGAAACTTAAAACACATTGCTTATTACCACAACACTCAGATCAAGTTTGATTTTGGGTGGTGTCACTTTTAACGTTCTTGAGTTATGTCTCTTTCTAACATTATATGCAAGAGGGGGCATTGTCTGTGTCCCATGGACATATTCTCCATTTTTTTTTTTTTATATTTCAGGAGTATCAGATGAGATAATTACAGGATTTGATGTTGATTTGCTGGATCTTGTTTGCTTGATAAAGTAAGAACATCATTAATTTATCTTATTGGTATATATCTGGTGATAAGAGTACAATATTCAATAAAATAGTAATTGTCTTAAGGTAGGATAGCCTGTGCATCCATGCCTCAGATTCTTCATTACTTCTACTCCATGCTTTCATTCAACATAGGGAAACATGTTTAAGTAGTGTTTCTTCTTCTTTTCTTACAACTTTGACATTGGCCTATGATATTTGTTATGTATGAGCTACAGCAAGTTTGTTTGACCCAATGAACCTACTTATATATAGTATGGAAAAAGAAGGGATCTACTGAATGAATTAATAACAAAAGATCACTAGACACACTTGACAAAACTCAAAGCAAAGAAACATCATTATAGTATACTGCTGATTCATTACTATTAATGGGATGCTGTTTTACATGGATTTCTTGAGATAGGTGAACCATAAAGTTAAATTTCATCAGAGAATTCTTGTTAAGCTTGTATGCAGACTTAAAATAAAAACAGGAAATCAAAATATCGTTGAAAGTACATTTTTATTTTTCAATCCACAAAAATTTCAATTGATACCCACCAAAATAAATGCATCCAAAGTACCACAAGAATATACAATGGCCTATTAAATAACAGCTTCTGCTGGTGTTTATATTTGTTTTGTATTATAGGTACGACATTCAGAAGACAGATATTGGACTAATTGCTTCAGTTGGTGTAGGGTTTTGTGACAGTTCTGACACTGATAACTGTGTGGCTTTCATTAGTCTCCTAGCTAATGCTGTATTGCCATTACCAATATGTAAAACTGATGGAACTATCACATGGCCTCAAGGTAGTGTATAAAGTCAATGTTTAAATGTAACCACATGGGTCTTTTCAGATTGTAAGTCTGTTGCTTCTGTAGATGTAATTTTTGTCATTGATGTCTTTTCAGATTGTAAGACTGTTGCTCCTGTAGATGTAATTTTTGTCATTGATGTCTTTTCAGATTGTAAGTCTGTTGCTTCTGTAGATGTAATTTTTGTCATAGATGTCTTTTCAGATTGTAAGACTGTTGCTCCTGTAGATGTAATTTATGTCTTTGATGTCTTTTCAGATTGTAAGACTGTTGCTCCTGTAGATGTAATTTATGTCATTGATGTCTTTTCAGATTGTAAGACTGTTGTTCCTGTAGATGTAATTTTTGTCATTGAAGTCTTTTCAGATTGTAAGACTGTTGCTCCTGTAGATGTAATTTATGTCATTGATGTCTTTTCAGATTGTAAGACTGTTGTTCCTGTAGATGTAATTTTTGTCATTGAAGTCTTTTCAGATTGTAAGACTGTTGCTCCTGTAGATGTAATTTTTGTCATTGATGTCTTTTCAGATTGTAAGACTGTTGCTTCTGTAGATGTAATTTTTGTCATTGATGTCTTTTCAGATTGTAAGACTGTTGCTCCTGTAGATGTAATTTATGTCATTAATGTCTTTTCAGATTGTAAGACTGTTGTTCCTGTAGATATAATTTTTGTTATTGATGAATCTGGCAGTGTTGGAGAAGATCATTTCAGAGATTCAATGGATGCCTTGGTAAATGCTGTTGAAAAACTGGCTATTGCTGAAAACTTTGTTCGAGTTGGTGTCAGTTTATTTGCTGGTACAGGAACGTCTAGGACATTGTTACAACTGAACTCGGAGTATGATAAAGAGGCTGTCAAACAAGTTATGAGTGAGGCAGTCTATCAGAAAGGTTCACACACAGAAATAGGGGATGCCTTCCAGTATGTCTGTGATGATATGTTTGTACACTCCAAAGGTGACCGATCCGATGCCCAGAACTATCTTATTCTATTAACTGATGGCAAATCTAATTCTGGTGCAAATCCAGTCAGAGTTCAGGCTGCAGCATGTAAAGATAAGGGAATAAGAATTGCTACTGTAGGGATTGGATCAAATACAGATGAAGATTTACTGAAAGAAGTTGCCTATTCTATGCCTAATTATTATCTATCAACTGATTATGATAAACTACCAGAAACTTTGCCTAATCTGGTTATTCAAACCATGGATTGTAGTACAGGTATGTATATGAAAGCATACTTTCATTCTGTGTGGAGTTTTCCCAGTTCATGAAATGCACCAGTGTATTTCTTTACACAAGTGTGTTTATCCTGTCTGAAATGAAACCCTAGGGAAAATACTAATTAACATTTTCACAATAGTGTATTTTTACCAAAAGGAAAGAATACACTGCTGGAAAAGATTCTTTGTTAAATATAGTATTTTAACCATATTATTTGAATTCATAAGCAATGTTGATTAAATTTTATTTAGTATAAGTACATTATATTCTTAGTTTTATAATCAGTTCTTTAGATTAAGAATTTAAATTAAGAAATCACATTTACAGTTCCAAGTTGAAGAATAAATATCATAAACTCTTAGTGCTCATTGCGGTTCATATATATATTTCAGAGTGGGTTTTGAACTTTGAATACAAAGACTATTTTGATCTAGATGCCATAAAATCTAAAATTGAAAAGGCAGCAAAGAACAAGTTACTGGATGCTGTAGGAAAATTACAAGAGGAATTATTTAAGGCACTTGGTCTACCAGAGGTATGCTATAATATATAAATATAGATTGAGGATTGTCTTAACCTGATAATCTGTAATATTCAAGGAAGATAGTGGAAGTTGCTAAAGAAAAAGGTACACTTATCTTATTTCTAACTTTTTATGGCCCTGCAACAAAGTTGTCCGGGGCATATAGTTTTACCCTTGTCCGTCATTCTGTCATTCCGCCATTCTGCAACAAACCATTATACAGACTTTTTTAGCTCACCTGGCCCGAAGGGCCAATTGAGCTTTTCTCATCACTTGGCGTCAGTCGTCCTTCGTCGTCCGGCGTCGTCCGTCGTCGGCGTTAACTTTTTACATTTTGAACTTCTTCTAGAGAACCACTGAATGATTTGAAACCAAACATGGCATGAATGTTCCTTATGCAGTGCTGACCAAGTGTTGTTACTTTGTAGCGGATCCATCATCCAAGATGGCCGCCAGCGGGGGACTTAGTTTAACATAGGACCCTATGGGAAATACATACAAATGTCTTCTTTTAGAGAACCACTGAATGGAATGAAACCAAACATGGCATGAATGTTCCTTATGAGGTGCTGACCAAGTGTTGTTACTTTGAAGCCGATCCATAATCCAAGATGGCCGCCAGTGGGGGACTTAGTTTAACATAGGACCCTATGGGAAATACATACAAATGTCTTCTTTTAGAGAACCACTAAATGGAATGAAACCAAACATGGTATGAATGTTCCTTATGAGGTGCTGACCGAGTGTTGTTACTTTGAAGCCGATCCATAATCCAAAATGGCCGCCAGCGGGGGACTTAGTTTAACATGGGACCCTATGGGAAATACATACAAATGTCTTCTTTTAGAGAACCACTAAATGGAATGAAACCAAACATGACATGAATGTTCCTTATGAGGTGCTGACCAAGTGTTGTTACTATGAAGCTGATCCATAATCCAAGATGGCCGCCAGCAGGGGACTTAGTTTAACATTGGACCCTATGGGAAATACATACAAATGTCTTCTTTTAAAGAACCACTGAATGGAATGAAACCAAACATGTCATGAATGTTTCTTATGAGGTGCTGACCGAGTGTTGTTACTTTGAAGCCGATCCATAATCCAAGATGGCCGCCTGCAGGGGACTTAGTTTAACATGGGACCCTATGAGAAATACATACAAATGTCTTCTTTTAGAGAACCACTGAATGGAATGAATCCAAACATGGCATGAATGTTCCTTATGAGGTGCTGACGGAGTGTTGTTACTTTGAAGCCGATCCATAATCCAAGATGGCCGCCAGCGGGGGACTTAGTTTAACATGGGACCCTACGGGAAATACATACAAACGTCTTCTTTTAGAGAACCACTGAATGCAATGAAACCAAACATGGCATGAATGTTCCTTATGAGGTGCTGACCAAGTGTTTTACTATGAAGCCGATCCATAATCTAAGATGGCCGCCAGAGGAGGACTTAGTTTAACATAGGACCCTATGAGAAATACGTACAAATGTTTTCTTTTAGAGAACCATTGAATGGAATGAAACCAAACATGGCATGCATGTTCCTTTTGAGGTGCTGACCAAGTGTTGTTACTTTGAAGCTGATCCTTCATCCATGATGGCTGCCAAATGGGGACAATGTTTAACAAAGGACCCTATGGACAATACATACAAATGTCTTCTTTTAGAGAACCACATACTGAATGGATTGAAACCAAACATGGCATGAATGTTCCTTATGAGGTGCTGACTAAGTTTTGTTACTTTGAAGCTGATCCTTCATCCATGATGGCCACCAATGGGGGGACTTCCTTTAACATAAGACCCTATGGGAAATACATACAAATGCTTCTTCTAGAGGTGCACTGAATGGAATGAAACCAAAACATGGCATAAATGTTTCTTATGAGGTGCTGATTAAGTGTTGCTACTTTGTTGCCGATTTACTGTTCAAGATGGCCACCAGGATTTTTTATAAAATTACAGGACCAATATTAAACCAAATTTGGCCTCACTCATTATTAGGGTATCTGTTATGATTTTAATCTATTTTTACATGATTTCCAAAACCAAACAAGAATCAGGAGAGCGACACAGGCTCTTGAGAGCCTTTAGTTTCTAAACACCTTCAGATATTGGGCTGATTTTTGGTATGTGAGTTAACCATGATGAGTTACAGATCAAGTTTAAGTTTCGTTCTGCTCTGCTTATTTTTGCCGAAATTATGGGCTTTGGACTTTGATAAATTGTTGAAAATCACAGTTATACGAACTTTTTTTCTTAACACCTTCAGATAATGGGCTGATTTTTGGTAAGTGAGTTAACCATGATGAGTTACAGATCAAGTTTAAGTTTCGTTCTGCCCTGCTAAATTTTGCCGAAATTACTGGCTTTGGACTTTGATAAATTGTTGAAAATCACAGTTATACAGACTTTTTTTCTACACGCCTTCAGATTTTGCACTGATTTTTTATATGTGAGTCTACCATGATGAGTTACAGATCAAGTTTATGTTTCGTTCCAATATGCTGATTTTCATGTCGTTTCAACACATCTTCAGTACATCCACTTCCTGTTTGCTGATAGTTTGAATTTAACTACTCATTGATCAAGGAAATTTTTCATCAAACCAGTATTGGTCTTGAGAGCTGGATACTATCCATGCATGTTTGTGTCCACATGTGTTGTTGAAATTGCATATTTTTCAACTTTTTGAGACGGGGCCATTCGTGTCGTTCCGACACATCTAGTTTTCATTGTTTCCTTTCAATGAGATAACATTGAATGTGATATTATTTTATTAAATCACCCAAACGAAGTTTGGGAAGACTTATTGTTTTTGCTCAGTTCTTATTATTTTTGTTATGGCACCCTCAACGTAGATGGGGTTACATATTGTTATTCTACGTTTCTTTTTTTTTTTATTATTTTTTTTCTTCCACTATTTTTGTCCAGCTTATATCTTGGAATTGTATGAAGCAATTGTAATGGAACTATACCATAATGTTAACCAGCATGTGCAGATTTGCAATCGGGGTATGGAATCAACAAGATGACTGCCGTTGCCATGGAAACTGCTAAAATGCGAAAAAATTTCAAAATTCTAAATCTTTTATTATAAGACCCAACTGGATGAAACTTTGGCGAGGTTGCCATTTGTTATTGCTAGCAATTACAAATCTAGTTATTCTTCTTTTTTTCTTCTTCTTCCTCTTCTTCTTCTGCCGCTTTTAAATTTGAACTTGTCCGCATCCGTTCTCCAAAACCGCTTGTCAGAACTTAGGGTTTCACAATATGTTAGACTAACATGTCTAGTGGTGCAATCAGGGTTTTGTTTGTGCAATGGGGTTTATAAAGGGGTACTTTGAGGGGCAAAAAGGAAGGAGGGGTTTACTATAGAACTCTATGGGATTTTATTTCTTTTTATTTTCAAATGATTATAACTTGAAAACAGTTAGGGATAGACACAATCTTTATAATTGAAAATGTTCTAAATGATAAAGCACATTAAATGAAATAAAAGGTTATTCCCAAGGGTTAACAACCACCCCCTGCCATTTGAGAAAGTTCTAATATCTTGTAAGTGGTCAAGATCCCCACCCCTAAACCATATATATTCTGGTTTGTCATGCCAAGACGATTTAAATGATATACATGGTAAGAACCAAAGGGTCATCCCCACCCCCTGTCATTTGAATATGTTCAATTATCTTGTTAATGGTTGAGATCCCCACCCCTAAACCATTTATATTCCTGTTTGTCATGTCATGAAGATTTGAATGATATATAGGAGAGGTCTCCAAGGGTTCCCCCACCCCCAATGTTATAATATCTTGTAAACGGTCGAGATCCTCACCCCTAAACTATATATATTCCTGTTCGTCATGTTCCAAAGATTTTAATAATATATAGGGTCAGTCCCCAGGGGTTCCCCCACCCCAAATGTTCTAATATCTTGTAAATGGTCGAGATCCCCATCACTAAACCATACATATTCCTGATTGTCAGGTCAAAAAGATTTGAATGATATATAGGGTCAGTCTCAAGGGGTTCCCCCCACCCCCAATGTTCTAATATCTTGTAAATGGTGGAGATCCCCACCCCTAAACCATATATTCCTGTTCATCATTTCATAAAGATTTGAATGACATACAGGGTCAGTACCTAGGCGTCACTAATGCATATCACTTTACTGGACCAAACCAATTTGTACTGGACTTTGCCCAATGTCAGGCGACCATGGGAATGACGAATTATGGGAGCTTCATTTGGGAGACTTCGTAACTTCATCCTGTTACAATCATTTCTTGTTAATTTTAGATTTTGTGTGATGACTAAAGTCTGTTTCTTAAATAAAAGTGTTATCTATTTTTTTCTCTTTTTTACACTGCTGTATTGTTCTTAGAAAATAATGAAAATAGCCTCATTCAAACAACTATGGTCTTTTAATTTAAAATATTTCCTTTCTTGGCATGAGCTGTATGAGCAAACGATATGATAACATGCATGTTCTGTTGATAAATTATACATTGAACTAAATTGTTTCAGTTATACACAAGTAGCAGAACCAAATTTGCTTATAATATAAGTGATTAAGTCCACATTTACAATGCTGTTTCGGAAAAGGGAGAAGGTTTGGTACCATTGAAACGTTTAATCCCGCTGCAAATGTTTGCACCTGTCCTAAGTCAGGAATCTGATTACAGTAGTTGTCGTCTGTTTATGTAGTTCATACGTGTTTCTCGTTTCTCCTTTTTTATATAGATTAGACCGTTGGTTTTTCCATTTGAATGGTTTTACACTAGTAATTTTTTGGGGCCCTTTATAGCTTGCTGTTCGGTGTGAGCCAATGCTCCGTGTTGAAGGCCGTACCTTGACCTATAATGGTTTACTTTTATAAATTGCAACTTGGATGGAGAGTTGTCTCATTGGCACTCATACCACATCTTCCTATATCTATTTAACATCAGTATTACATCATCATGTGTGCATATTTCACAGAATCAAGTAAATTGCTTATTTTTTCATCTCTATTTCTTTTTTTTAGAAACATCTGTGATAGCCAACAACTCTATAACAATTTTTGAGAAACAATCTTATAACTATTTAAACAATCTCTCTTTAGTTCAAACTTTATAAGTGTTTTTTTCATTACTTCACAAAAAGTGTAAATTTTGATTTTCTGCTAAAAATCTAAGAAAACTTAAATTTCAATGGGTATTTAGGACCTGAACATATATTGCATTTGTCCACTAAAAAGATGTTTAAATAATTTGTTTGTCATAAAGAATTATCTATCTGACTTGAATATTTAGTTTGTGGAACCTTGCACCCTATGTTTCTCAGGCCTAAATGTTGAAATCAAGACGATTTTGTCCACTTTCACTAAATACTCTATATTTGGACGGTTTTATATTTGGACGGTTTGGAGTGTAAATGTGAATGCTTCATTAGAAAAGCTTATTAAAAATAGTTCTTTTTCACTTTCTTACATATCTGGTCATCTTGTAATGTGAAGCAATAGACTCTGAGGCAGAACAGAGCCCTTACTGAACCTACTCCTTTCCTTATAGTTTGTTTGCATAGTTACTCACCATATTTGAAAAGAGGAGGTGCATTTCCGGCCATTTTTGAAATATTGAAGTCTTTTAAAATTGGTGAATTTGTGTAATGATAACTATTAAGTATGTGCAAAGTTTAAACCAAAAGGTCATTCATATTTTATGAATATTCACTGAGATTTTGCGATCAAAAGACAGCATAATGGATAGGGAGGGATAATGACCTCATTTGTGAAAAGTTGAGTTTTAAAATTTAAGATTTATATTCATGTCTATTTTAAGGTTGAGGTTATTTTATTTTTTGTAAAAAAATTAAATTTATGCTGTTATTCCACTGTAAAATCTCTGTGTATATTCATATTTGAGGGATTTTAGACTTGTAACTTTGCACATATATATTAATTATTAGGCATATATCAGCTGAATTTTCATTACTTCAATTTTTATGCCATAAAATGCCCTGAGCACAAAGGAAAAGAATCCTACCAAAAATTCAACAGAAATTAGCTATACTAGCAGGTCTTTATAAGCCCTTTCCCTTTATAAGGACCATTGGGTATAAAAGTTTTACCTCCATACTTCATTTTTCTCTATATAATTATGTCAAAAGTGTGATGAAATTTTTTTGTGCCAACAAAATGAATCCATTTCACAAAAATTAAGTTAAGGGTGACCCAAATAAATTTTACTGAGATGTGTATTGTCATCTAAGAGGGTTGTATTTATATATCAAAGATTTCTAAGAAATGAGCTTAATCCAAATTTTACTTAAGTGTACTAAGTATAAAATGTAGGTTGTAGTGACATAATTATTACTGAAATAAACTGTTTTGGGGCTCTTTAAAGCTTGCTGTTCGGTGTGAGCCAAGGCTCCGTGTTGAAGGCCGTACTTTGACCTATAATTATTTACTTTTTACATATTGTGACTTGGATGGAGAGTTGTCTCATTGGCACTCATACCACATCTTCTTATTTATATGTACTATATGAGGGAAATGTTATATTGAAATGTGTGGAATATGTTTCAGGGTTTCTTACAAAGCACTGGACCATGTGTGAGACCAGACAAAATGAAATTATCTCAACTTAAAAAGGAGTTGGAGAATAGAGGACTGAGTACAACTGGTTCTAATGGAGATCTTATATCCAGATTGCAAAGCAATGATAGAAGTGAGTATAATGCATAGGAACGAGAGCTTGTATATAGAATAAAACTCCCAACAATAGATAAGACTATAGTGTGTAGAATTGTGGATCCTGTCCTGCTTGTGGAAGAAAATTTGACGCCCAGGTTTTCATGAAGTCTTGATTTATAGTGAAATTATTTGACTTTTTAAACTGTTTTTTATGTGCTGTGTCTGTTTTATTTGTAAAGCGTTGCATTGATTCTAAAATCAATATCAAATTTTCTTTCATTACATCTTTTGAATTCCTCTCAAGGACAAAGATGTCTTTTGTTTTTTTTTTTGTGTCTGCAGATTGCCATCTCATATCCTTGTATACATATATAATAGTAAACAGGTGTCTCTCTGTATGTCTGGGCACATTTATTGATAACTTAAGTATGCTTTAATAAATCCTTTTAAGATAGAAACTATAAATCAGGTGCAGTGTACAGAAAAATATTCTTACCATCCAATCTAAGATTTACTTTCTGTTACATGAGAACCTTGGAAAAGCCAGACACCCAGGTACCAGGTGCACTTGTGTGAAAATGTTTTACTTGTATGTAGATATAATAAATGTTACTAATTCTAATATGATGTGCTTCTTTCGCTTTGTAAACAACACCGTGATAAAAATTCTCGATATATCTATACTTAGCGCAGACTCCGAGATGTACATAATAATGGCTGTTAAAATATACCTCCCACGTAAATCCACATGTATCGTAACCTATGTGCAAATGCTATGTCGATTTCGGTGTGTTAAAAATTACAATAAAAAAAAACCCTACAGAACCTTTATTCTTATTCTGAGGCATAACAAAAAGAACCAATGCATTAGAGATCGGAAAAATGTACAAAATCAAAATAAATTAAAATTCCGCGAAATTCTATGAATGGTTTTGGCGCATTAACGTCATTTCAAAACATGACGTCATACGAATGAAAACGACAAAGCTGAAGGGTTTTCCATTGCGTTTACCTTCTAAACTCGGATAATATTGCATTAAAAATAAAATTTTGTGGTAGGTGTTACTCTTTTTCTTTTCTATTGCATTATTCGCACATTTACTGATTTCAGCAAGTCAACATGGCGGCTCCTTGGTTACAAAATGTCAACAGTGAATTTGACGGTAGCTTACGAGACAAAAATGTAAATTAAAAATGGCAAATGTTGGGTTAGAGAATTAAAAGAATCAATCACATTTTTTCTAGCGGTTATTTAAGAAATTATTCATGCCAGCTACAGATTTATTGGATTTTTTTACATTTATCTAACAGTGGGTAAAAAAGAACAGCCACACACACTGCATACCCACCCTCGCTTCAGTTTTTTAATGACAGTATTTGTCCTATTAGAATCGAAATAATTCATGGAAGCCATAGATTCGTCATAAATTTACACATGGCCTGGGCCGTGATATTGGTTAATTTTATCCCTCGCTTACGCTCAGGATAAAATTCGAATATCACGGCCCAGGCCATATGTGTAAATTCCAACAAATCTATGGCTTCCATGAATTATTTCTTAAATGAACATACATATATGGTTATTGGGCAACTAAGATCCCATTTGTGTACACATAGACTGGCTAAATATATTATACCTCTCTCCCTTTCTAAAGCAGGCAGTATATAGTGATGGGGGAGTTCATCCTTCTGTCCATCTGTTCTTTCTTTCATTTTTTTGTCCTGTCCTATTTTTGTAACTGCAACTGCTCCTAAACTGCTTGACAGACATTTGTGCACTTTCTCAGAATCTTACTCACATGAATTTTCTGTTGCACCTCCTATTTCATTTCTTCATCTGAATGATTTTTGGGAGACATGGGCTTCGTCGTATAGTACACATTTGTATCCACTTCTCCTAAACCCCTAATCATGATTTGATGAAACTTTCTCAAAATCTTTACCAAATAATGCCATTGTTCACCTCTTATTTTGTTTTTGGATTATCATAGTAAATCACTGACTTTACAGGGGATGGGGGTATCATTTTGCTCACAGTACCTCAAGTTCATACTTATTTTTAGTTAAAATTATAGCTCTACTCCCTATAAAGAATAATTCAATAATATAATAATAATATATAATATGAAAGAGTTTGTCAATCAACCAGCAGCTTCCCTTGAATTGATCTTAAATGATCTTTTATGTCAACAATTGTAGGACTGTAACTGTAATTTTACCACTTTTGAATTTCAAATGTCACAATTGGAGCTTTTGCACAAATTTCACCAACTATTCTCATACCACAGAAAGTCAATTGGAATTGGATTATAACATTGCTTTTATTTGAAGACACTTTCTGTATTCTAACAACCTTTTACTAGCTACATGATAAATCTTTTTCACAAGTTTCCATAGTTTACAAGTACAATATAGCTTTGTAAGACAATAGAAATGTTTCTTAAAATACTAGATAAGACTTCAATCTTTTTTCAGGATGTGAAACACTTGGCACTACCTTGTATTTACCAGAAATTACCAATCCCTGGTTGAAAGATCATCTGTACTACTCAATATCTAATGACTGTCTACGTTTGGATGTCTGTGTCGACATCTCTTTTACTATTGGTAGCTTTGATTATTCCAAATCCTTCAATGCTTTCCTTGAGCTAGACTTCTGCAAGTTTTTGATTAATTATGGAATTGAGTCAGAGACTAAATCAGTAATTCTCATCAGCTACAACTGGGGTAAGTACAATTTATGAATTTTAAGATATGTTCCATAATTTTATCACTGTTAAACTTCACTGTTTAAAATTAGGTGACTAACATCTCAGTATACACACATATATTAAAAAACACAAAAACATTTGTTGAAAACCCTCTAGAAAAAAGTTTGATTTAGCGCTGTATTTAACCTGGAATAAACATAAGGGGAACTGCCTTCTTAGCTCTCCTGTCCTTAAATACCATTTGAAATACAGCCATTTAATACTTGGCGTCCATAAACTTTTCACTGTTCCATCTTTTTCTCTAAAACAACAATACCAATTTTACAAATTGAAATGATGTATGGAAATAATAAAACTCTCTTCATTTTGTTTCTTTCATTTTGGTTCAAAACAAAACTAGAGACAATAATTGGTTCTGATTGAACAAATTATATAAAAAATTATCCATACATAATAGTTCGGTGACCTGAAGTTGTCCATTATGGTATGGTGACCTGTAGTTGTCCATTATGGTACGGTGACCTGTAGTTGTCCATTATGGTACGGAGACCTGAAGTTGTCCATTATGGTATGGTGACCTGTAGTTGTCCATTATGGTACGGTGACCTGTAGTTGTCCATTATGGTACGGAGACCTGTAGTTGTCCATTATGGTACGGTGACCTGTAGTTGTTCATTATGGTACGGTAACCTGTAGTTGTCCATAATGGTGCGGTGACCTGTAGTTGTCCATTATGTTACGGTGACCTGTAGTTGTCCATTATGGTACGGTGACCTGTAGTTGTCCATAATGGTACGGTGACCTGTAGTTGTCCATTATGGTACGGTGACCTGTAGTTGTCCATTATGGTACGGTGACCTGTAGTTGTACCTGTAGTTGTCCATTATGGTACAGTGACCTGTAGTTGTCCATAATGGTACGGTGACCTGTAGTTGTCCATTATGGTATGGTGACCTGTAGTTGTCCATTATGTTACGGTGACCTGTAGTTGTCCATTATGGTATGGTGACCTGTAGTTGTCCATTATGGTATGGTGACATGTAGTTGTCCATTATGGAACGGTGACCTGTAGTTGTCCATTATGGTATGGTGACCTGTAGTTGTCCATTATGTTACGGTGATCTGTAGTTGTCCATTATGGTACGGTGACCTGTAGTTGTCCATTATGGTACGGTGACCTGTAGTTGTCCAGTAGTTGTCCATTATGGTACGGTGACCTGTAGTTGTCCATTATGGTACGTTGACCTGTAGTTGTCCATTATGTTACGGTGACCTGTAGTTGTCCATTATGGTACAGTGACCTGTAGTTGTCCATTATGGTACGGTGACCTGTAGTTGTCTATTATGGTACGGTGACCTGTAGTTGTCCATTATGGTACGGTGACCTGTAGTTGTCCATAATGGTACGGTGACCTGTAGTTGTCCATAATGGTACGGTGACCTGTAGTTGTCCATAATGGTACGGTGACCTGTAGTTGTTTATTATGGTACGGTGACCTGTAGTTGTCCATTATGGTACGGTGACCTGTAGTGGTACGGTGACCTGTAGTTGCCCATTATGGTATGGTGACCTGTAGTGGTACGGTGACCTGTAGTTGCCCATTATGGTATGGTGACCTGTAGTGGTACGGTGACCTGTAGTTGCCCATTATGGTATGGTGACCTGTAGTGGTACGGTGACCTGTAGATGCCCATTATGGTATGGTGACCTGTAGTGGTACGGTGACCTGTAGTTGCCCATTATGGTATGGTGACCTGTAGTGGTACGGTGACCTGTAGTTGCCCATTATGGTATGGTGACCTGTAGTGGTACGGTGACCTGTAGTTGCCCATTATGGTATGGTGACCTGTAGTGGTACGGTGACCTGTAGTTGCGCATTATGGTATGGTGACCTGTAGTGGTACGGTGACCTGTAGTTGCCCATTATGGTATGGTGACCTGTAGTGGTAGGGTGACCTGTAGGTGTCCATTATGGTATGGTGACCTGTAGTGGTACGGTGACCTGTAGTTGTTTACATACTTTTCCTATGTTCTATGGTTGATAGTTGTCTCATTGCAATCATACCACACCTCCATATTTTATCCTTTTTTTTGCAAACCAGGCTTATTACTAGTCTTCTGTCACTGACAAGGGGTATGGTAATAAAACTTTTGTTAGAGCAAATTCTTTTTAGTGACATGCTTACTAAAGCTAACCAGTCAAGTTTTTTGTATTGGAAAATAACTTGGAACATGTAACTACTTCACTTATAAATGGAAGATGAGAACTGGTGAATGTCCTAAGTACATTGAACAAGGAAGTGAAATTCTTGCTTAGAATTGAAAGAGGTGACAATATTGACAGCAGTGATGTTGGAAGTAAAATTTTTGGTAAAAAATGTTTTCCTATACATGGTTATTTCTAGTTGTATCAATATAGCAATATTTTTATCTGTTCTTTCTAGGTCAGATAGAGAAACTAACAGTAACAAAGGATTTTCAAGTACTGTAAGTCTTATTTTACATAACCTCTGTTTCATTTTTAATATTCATTTTTAGCTCACCTGCCCCTGAATTGGTAATTTTAAGGAAATTTTGCAGTTTTTGGTTATTATCTTGAATATTATTATAGATAGAGATAAACTGTAAACAGCAATAATGTTCAGCAAAGTAAGATCTACAAATAAGTCCCATGACCAAAATTGTCAGTCGACCCCTTTAGGAGTTATTGCCCTTTATAGTCAATTTTTAACAATTTTTCGTAAATTTTTGTAATCTTTTACAAAAATCTTCTTCTCTGAAACTACTGTGACAAATTTAACCATACTTGGCCATAATCATTATTAGGGTATCTAGTTTAAAAAATTTGTCCGAAGACTCCGCCTTCTAACCATCATGGCCGACTTGGTTAAAAATAGAACATAGGGGTAAAATGCAGTTTTTGGTTTATATCTCTGAAACTAAAGCATTTAGAGCAAATCTGGCAGGTGGCAAAAATGTTCATCAGATTTAGGTTTATCTGCCCTGAAATTTTCAGATGAATCCAACAACCCGTTGTTGGGTTGCTGCCCCTGAGTTAGTAATTTTACAGAAATTTTAGTTTTTTGTTATTATCTTAGATATCATTATAATATCTAATATCTAATACTATTAATTATGATTTTAACCTTATTTTACATGATTTCCAAAGCATCAGTAAATACAGGTGAGCGACACAGGCTCTTGAGAGCCTCTAGTTTTTTCTCCATAAAGATCAATCTTTAGATTTTTCCTTGGTTGTTGCTGAACCTTACACATGCATACTTGTCCTTGTGTGTGTGTGTGTGTGTACGTGGATACATTCAGATTTACTAAAGAAGTCATATCAATTAAGAATATTAGTGCCTAAAATAATCCATTAAAATTGTCCTATTGGATATAATCAGGCAATCTTCTATTTTAAGTATTTGTTATAAACTTATTGATTTGATATTTTTAGCTTACCTGGTGATGTGAGCAAATGTCTTTTCTTTAGAAACTGCATGGCAAAATGTTTTTCTAGTTAAGAGTATTGGTGATTGGAAGACCCTCTACAAATGATTCTCAATTATTATTGATTTGGTACAAACATGGTGGTATTGTTGGCAATCAGTTCCCATGACACCCTATGGAAATCACATTTTCATCTTTTCTGAAACTAAATTTTGTACATTTCAAATTTGATACAAACTTGGGAGGGGCGATTAATGGGAAGTCCATTTTATAAGTGGTTAACCTGCAGCAGATATTCAATTAATGTTTATGGCTGATTTAAACATTTGCATTCTCTTAAGGTTCATGTGGACCCTTTGGCTAAAATGGCTGCGTTTTTACCTTAAAATTTACTCTGAGTACAGACTAACCTGTGCATCTAGAAAAGTTTTAAGACATAGCATGCCGTAGATAAATAAAATTTAAATGCATTTCATGTTTTAGAAAATTTAACACTCGTCTTGATTTTGCTGTGCACTTTTTTCATCCCTACAGAAAGAGATAAAATCAACTAACAGTTGAGTTTCACTTGATATGGTCCACTCAGGTACACAGTTTAAATCACTAATTATTGTCCCTCTATTGTCCATGTCAATCAATACAGTTCACTTCAATTATTACCTGTGGGAAGTTCTCAAACCTCTTTCCCAACTTTGTTTATTTTGGCACCTTTTGAAGGAATGAAAAAAAGTGCACTGCAAAATCCAGTTAAGTTTTTGATTTACTAAAACTTAAAATGTATTTGAATTTTATTTATCTAGAGCATGCTATGCCTTAAAATTTTTCCAGATACTCAGGTTTGTCTGTACTCAAGAGTAAATTTTGAGATGAAAATGCTGCCATTCTAGCCAAAGGGTCCACATAAACCTTAAAACCTCAACATTTCCAGTTACTTGTCTGTTACTCCTCACTAAATGATCTTAATTTCTTTTGTAGACTTTCCGTTGATAAAGATACATACAAGAAAGTATTCAAACTAGATTTTGGTTTGAGAATATGTTTTAAAGGTGACTGTGTGATAGATCAGATGTTTTTAGAGGACCATGAAATACCAATTCCTATTTGTAATGAAAATTTCACATTCTCAGGTAAGTAAAAACTTCAATTTGTTATTACTAAAAGTGAAACTAGTAGAAAGCTGTTCTTATTATATGATTCTTGATTTTTCTTTGTAATTGGTTTATGATTTGATTTTCTTATTGAATGATTTTACTCAAAAAATAATGACAAAGACATAACTTTGTCTTGAAGAAACTTTAATCAGGAGCACATGAATAGAAATTAGATATAAAGGTTTATATTTTATATATCTTGTATACTCGATCTTTAATTAATGATAGCTAAAGCAATCAAACACTAAAAATGATTCACTAAACAGGAAAAACAAGGGTCAAAGTTAGACAATCCCTCTCAGATAGATGAGTAAGTAATCAAATAATCATTAGACAGTCCAAATATAGCTTATAGATACTTGAAATCAAAGCCGAATATTTGAAAGCCAAGGATGTATAAAAACCAAAACAGTTGAAGAGCTAAATGACCAAAAAGGACATAAAAAAGTAGTCAAATCAGTCTAAGGTCAACTAAAATACATCTGAGCTTGCAATAACATAAGATGTATTTTAGCATTAGCAATTCCAAAACAATTTTTAGTAAGATGCATTTTATCTTAATGTTTGCTTATTTTAAAAATCCCAATATTTTTTTCTAGAGTGTTTGTTAAAAATGGTCCCAGGTAATCATATACTGCACAGTTTACATGCATATGTTTTACAGGTAAAATATTTTGAACAAGTAGTAATAATTTTACATTTTCATCTGTAATTTTACAGGAGACTCAATCCTTGCATTAGTGCAAGCTATTGGAGGTAAAATGACTGAGGATGTTTTTGATATGGTTCTGAAGTATCTTGGACTTGATGTAAGTGTAGTTATAAATACATATCAGAAGCATGGTAATGAAAACCAGATATTTTAAATCAGCCTTACATACCTGCCAACCTCTGAAACTTTCAATGAGGGAGATTTTGCTCGAACGACATTTTCAAGCTAAATATTTGACCTGTACACTTATTCATCTACAAACCAATGAGAGTTAATAAATATACTTTATTTCTTAAATTCATTGTTTAAATTTATACAAGTTTTTGTGCCTTTTTCAATACCTCTGAGTCAGGAAAATACTCATAACATTTCATATTTTGATTTTGTTGTGAGTCTCACACTAAGCATGCTTTTAAACGTCCAGAAGCAACCGAAAAGTTGATTGAACATAATTTGCAAAATGAAGATTCATTGCCGAGAGAACTTGGTCATAAAAGGTGAAAATCTTTCATCCAATCTGCTTGAAATTTGCAGTTATGTTTCTTCTTTTTTACACTGCCGCTTGGTCCAGACAAAGACATCTATCTTGTTGGTGTTGACATAGCAGAAATGGATTTTCGATTACTTATAAATCTTACATAAAAACTACTGACCAAAGTTTTCAAATGATAGCCGATTGTTTGTTTATTGCTATTGAAAATAATGAAAGATCCAGAGAAATACACATACAGGTCATTCTGGGTTAAAATATCCGAATGCGGGAGATTATATACTCCCGCGCGGGAGAAGACCGGCAAACGGGAGATTTCCTGAATTTCGTCATTTGCGCGGGAGACTCAAAACGGGAGGGTTGGCAGGTATGGACTTATCCCAGCAGTTTTCATTAAATGTTATACAGTTCACTGTGAATAAAAACATCTAAAGAAGCAAGAAAAAAACAGTAGCCCAACTCAAGGACATGAATATTTCCTGTCAGTTTTGTTTGGGAAATCAGGAAGCAATAGTTTTTATGACCTGCCTACTACAGTAGTGGGGCACTATGTATTCTGGTCTGTGTGTACATCTGTTCATATGTCCTGTATGAGGTTAAAGCTTTTGTAAAGGTAGCTCGTCTTCCATGAAGTTGTTAGATTTTTGGATTAACTGAACATGTAAATGTGATAGTGCAAATGGGACAAGGTGTTCTATAGAAACATTTTATATATCCAGATATTTCATAGATATATTGTCTCATGTCCATATGGAAAATCCTTTTCAGATATTAATGCAAATTCTTTTTATTTTTCAGAAACACTTTAAAACTGGACAATGTAATGTTCAAGAAGGACCAAAAGGTATTTTATAGTTAGTAGTATGTAGCAGCATATGTTTTATGTTGTACATCACAGTGAATAAGTTCATTTTATTCTATTCATTATTGCAATAAGTGGGATCAGGAGGTATATATATAATTTTATGCCCCCGCCGTAGCAGAGGGGGCATTAAGTGTTATTCTTGTCCGTCCCGAAATTGGTTTCCGTTCTCTTACTTTAGTTTGCCTCAACCAAATGTTATAAAACTTATACACAATTCTTATTACCACAAAACACAGATCAAGTTGGAAATTGGGTGGCGTCACTTTTACGGTTCATGAGTTATGCCCCTTTATAAACATAAAAATTGCTGAAATTTTCGTTTCCGTTCTCTAACTTTAGTTTGCTTCAACCAAATGTTATGAAACTTATGCGCATAATCACAAAACGGTCTAAACCACATCTGTAGGTGGAAGTTTACTCATGCATATTTACAAGGGGGGGGGGGGGGGGGGGGGGGGGGGGGGGGGTGGGGGGGTGGGATCTGTGGCCCATAGACACATTCTCCATTTATTTTAAATATGTTTATTAAATACCAGATGTTGACTTTTCCAATATAAACCTTAATAGAAAGATTTAATATGTTAAAGCTGTGTTAATTTAGCTAACTATTTAATTGCAAATTGAGTAATAATGAGAGACAACTCTACAAAATGTATTGATATCCTGTCATATTTTACTTTTAAACTTTGGCTTTCTCTCCTCTAATTAACCATTGGTACCAGCTGTTTCATTGATAAACTTTACAATTAGAACATGTTTTAAAGTAATAACTTTTCCATCAGAAAAGTGTGTATATATTGGGAAAATAAGAGCAGCCAAAAAGATGGTCTCAAACTTGGGAATTATTTCATGGGCTAGATGAAAACTATGAAAAAATTTATGTCAGTGACTCTTGGACAGATATTTTTTAAAATAAGACCCTTACCTAAATTCAAAAATTATATCTTAAATGTTATTTAGTATGTACATATGGTTTTAAATCTTTCTATCATGAAATAGATACCTACACTTTATTCCTATATGTATTTCAGATTGTCCTGTGACGATTAACCCACAAAAGTATCTACCAGCCAACATCAGAACAATGTTACAGTGTGAAATGACAGAAAATTGTTTTGGTTTGGATTGCTGTATAGACTTATCATTCCAACTACCACTGGGAGATAGGATGGTCACCTACCATATGGTCCGAGTACACAGTTATTTCGTAGTGCATTTCTTTTAGACAATAAATGAAAATTAAAAAAATCCCACCTGCGCTTTCTCAATAATATTTTTACAGTGTGTTGTACTACTTTTGGGACAAATTATATCAAAATTATAGAAAACTTCATCGGCTCTAACTCAAAATATGGACAATTTCATGCTGAGGGGGTCTTCAAATCTTTTGACAGCCTCCGAAGTGCTAATTTTTAACATTTTTCAGCTGGACCAAATCACTACTTTACTTTAAAATTCATGACCCAAATTTTTTTACAGTGTCATTTCACCCCCCTACTTACTATTTGAGTCATAAAACATGGAGAAATAAATTCGGAAGGGGTATAAAAAAAATCGACAAGTAACACACTGTCCACACTAGGGACTATATTCGTGGACAACGAAAATCAAAGGACGATAACTGTGTACCCGGACCTAATAGGGTAGAAAAAGTTGACCAATCTTAATGAAACTTGGTATGACTAAAGCTTATTCAATTATAAGACTGCTTACAAAGTTTCATGGCAATAGGATATATATTATAGACAATATGACTAATTCTATATTCAACTTTGAGTGTTAAATTTAGACGTTAAAATTGAAAATTTTCAACTATCAACATTTGGGGCTTAAAAAATGTAAATATTGCAAAAAAATACTTTTGAAATGCCTTAATATATAATATATTATGTATTAAAAGCATTAGAGTACTCATTTGATTTATCAGACTTATCATAATTATTAAAAAGTCAAATTTATATGAGCCTGTGGCTAAAAATGGAGGTTTTCCAATGAAGGGGGGCCTTACATGAAGATGTAATATTTTCCAGCAATTTTAAATTTGTAAAGCTTTTTGGTTATAAATAATCCTTACATATGTATTTAATGTACTTTAAATGGAAAGAAAACTTACAAATAACATATCACATTAGTTTAAAAGGGTCTTAGGCCAAGTAAGACTGAAAATAATTTAGGGTCAATTTAGGCCGTATCACATATTTACATTTAAAAATGCATATTGAAGCTATATGAAATAAAATTTTGTGTCTTTTCTATCATTTCTATACTCAGGTGACATGATACAATAAATCTGAGCACAAAAAGACTCTTGCATTCAACTTTTTTTGCAAACAGTATGGTCTGATACAAAGATTTTTCACTTTTTAGTGAAAAACATGCATGCAATTTTAGTCTCAACAGGCTTATATTTGAACCACTTGCTATCCTACAGAAGAAAAGAAAGATATTATGTGACATAAAACAGGTACAAAAGACATTGTTAAGTGCTTTTTATACAAATTTAGTGAGGTCTTTATAATGGACTTCAACTTTTATGTTCCAAGCTCCTCACATTTAACTTGATCTAAACAGGGCGTTAGACGAGGACCATATATACAACACATTTTGAACATATTGTCTGAGATAATCTTCTTTTCTGTAGATTCAGAGTTCACAAAAGAGTAATACAACTGGATTGAAGCATAGAAACACAAATATTGACACATAAAAACCTGTCAGATAGAAAGTCAGAATGCCACTTATGCATCAAAATTGAAAAAGCTATGAAATGCTTATTTTGACCATAAAATGCCAAAATTGGTCATTTTTGCAGAAATTCTATCAAATAAAAGTTTAAATCCTTTAGTTTTATGCTATTTGAAAAATTGACACCATCAAATCATTCAGGGAAGTTGCCAAAGTACAGATTCTATATTTCCTGATTTCACCTCTTAGGTCCGAGTACACAGTTATTTCGTAGTGCATTTCTTTTAGACAATAAATGAAAATTAAAAAAATCCCACCTGCGCTTTCTCAATAATATTTTTACAGTGTGTTGTACTACTTTTGGGACAAATTATATCAAAATTATAGAAAACTTCATCGGCTCTAACTCAAAATATGGACAATTTCATGCTGAGGGGGTCTTCAAATCTTTTGACAGCCTCCGAAGTGCTAATTTTTAACATTTTTCAGCTGGACCAAATCACTACTTTACTTTAAAATTCATGACCCAAATTTTTTTACAGTGTCATTTCACCCCCCTACTTACTATTTGAGTCATAAAACATGGAGAAATAAATTCGGAAGGGGTATAAAAAAAATCGACAAGTAACACACTGTCCACACTAGGGACTATATTCGTGGACAACGAAAATCAAAGGACGATAACTGTGTACCCGGACCTAATACCATTTTGGTTCAAATTTGAACCATGTGACTTTAAAGTTGATGTCAGATTTGGTGGATATACATACAAGAAATTTATTCTAGATTATAACTGGGGTAAAATTACTTACTAAACTGGAAACTTTGTATGGTTATGTGCCACAGTTTATGTAGATTGATACATCTCTCTACACTTACAGATAAAGTCTGAACATTATTGTCATTTCCACTCATACTTATCATTAATAATTGGAAACTCAATGCATGTATTTCCTCGGGCTATGATTTGCATTAAGGTTCATTTCTGACATGACATGATTGCATATTGATCTCAAAGAGCTTTGCATTCTTTTATTGTATGAAATATCTGTTTTAATGCTTTTTAGACAGAAATGACATTTTGATATTAACAGATTGAAGTTTGAAGTTAAAATATTAAATTCTGTGAATATATTTAAGGTCTTTGTCAAATATTTGCTTTCTGATACTTCAGTAGAGATTAGACCTTTTGCTGTACAATCACTTCATATATGTTCAGTCACTGTTCAGGCATTTCAGTGAACACTGTGTAGCACAGATAAAAACGTGAAAATAAATCAAACAGATATTATTTTACTGTTAAAAAAATTTGGAACAATGCTGGAATTGCTGCAGTTGAAATGCCTGAAAAATTGATAAAATCTATTTTCCTATGACATTGCAGTGGTATCCATTAGAGAATGTACTATATGACTCCATTTTTTTGGTCTTGCTTTGTTTTGCTTCACTGAATCTGAGTTTTAAATGTTATGTATTTTTCATATGGGGTGTGTATGAATAAGTTCTAATAAAATTCCACTGATATTTTGCATAGTGTTGCATTAGCTTTCTGACATCAGTGTTGCAAGCAATATATAATATTCTCCATAAATTTTCATATAGTTTGTGCTTTAAAAAAAAAAAGAATACAATTTTTGTATTGAGTTTTCAGTGATGTTTTGCTACTGAATAGTTCTTGGAAAACAGCTGTGTCTATAGGAGATAAGAAGAATCTTGAACTTTTAAATTTTTGTTGATAATAAAAATATATTGTAGGTGAGAAGAATGTTCTTTCTATTGGAAATGGTGATCCAGCACCTGTATCTATTGAGTAAGTTTTCAGATTGTGGCTATCACACTTTACAGATTTTTATTGACCACCTTGAAGAGGGGGTATATAGATATGCTCCTGTCCATCTGTCTGTTAGTCTATCTGTCACAAGTTTGATTTTACGAATGATAACTAAAAAACCGCTTGACCAAATGTCTTGGACCATTTAAAACAGGTCAAGTTTGATATTGATGGTTTTGACATTTACTTTCAAGATTTATGCTCCATAGTTTCCTTAAAAGTTGGGTTTTCTTCTGTTTCTAGATGTTAATGGTAATACTGCTTGACCAAATCTTTATGTGGATTTTAGTGGGTTTGACTTTTACTATTCAAAATTTATGACCCTTGGTTACCATAATAATAAGATTTATTAATTTTCCATTCGAGAGTTATGCCCCTTAGTTTTCTTAAAACCTTTATTTTTTTGGTTTCCAAGTAATAATAAAAATTACCTTGGACAAAGTCTTTTTAGACTTTAAGTACAATAATAATAATAAATATATATTACATTCAATTTGAATTTTGGTTACCATTTAGAGTTTTCCTGCAAATAGGGGTATCTGGGATCCCTAGATTGCCTAATTCAAGTTTTGTACTTAATAAAGTCTTTAAACTTCCATATTTGACAATAAATTGTCATTTGCAGTCAAGATAATTGTAGAAATATGAAATGTTGTATTATTGCCAGTATGATAACAAACTGGTAAGAAAAAAAATACAAAATAAAAAAAGTTTCACTGTATCAATTTCAAGAATGAACACAAGCAATTACCTTATTTGAACCAATCACAAGAAAATGACAATGGTAGGACAACAAGTAAAATAGACAATTGATTGACATCTCTGAATTATTTTTAAGATATTCTATTGACAAGATGGAAGGCAGTCAGGGCTTCATCATTGATGCCAAGATCATGATATGTTTTCCTATTGATGGTGATTTGTTCTGTGCACCTGATGGAGGAATTCATATCTTAAAACAGCAAACATTACCAATTTGTTCTCAAGAGTTTTATGACTGGTTAAAAGGTAAAATTAACTGCTGTATGAAATAAAGTTGTGCAGCTCATAATCACACCTCTGCATATGGCTGAGTCACAAAGCTTTACTCTACTTTATATAATCACACCTCTGCATATGGCTGAGTCACAAAGCTTTGCTCTACTTTATAAAATCACACCTCTGCATATGGCTGAGTCACAAAGCTTTGCTCTACTTTATAAAATCACACCTCTGCATATGGCTGAGTCACAAAGCTTTACTCTACTTTATATAATCACACCTCTGCATATGGCTAAGTCACAAAGCTTTGCTCTACTTTATAAAATCACACCTCTGCATATGGCTGAGTCACAAAACTTTACTCTACTTTATATAATCACACCTCTGCATATGGCAGAGTCACAAAGCTTTACTCTACTTGATATAATCACACCTCTGCATATGGCTGAGTCACAAAGCTTTACTCTACTTGATACAATCACACCTCTGCATATGGCTGAGTCACAAAGCTTTACTCTACTTTATATAATCACACCTCTGCATATGGCTGAGTCACAAAGCTTTGCTCTACTTATATAATCACACCTCTGCATATGGCTGAGTCACAAAGCTTTGCTCTACTTGATATAATCACACCTCTGCATATGGCTGAGTCACAAAGCTTTGCTCTACTTATATAATCACACCTCTGCATATGGCTGAGTCACAAAGCTTTACTCTACTTGATACAATCACACCTCTGCATATGGCTGAGTCACAAAGCTTTACTCTACTTATATAATCACACCTCTGCATATGGCTGAGTCACAAAGCTTTACTCTACTTGATATAATCACACCTCTGCATATGGCTGAGTCACAAAGCTTTACTCTACTTGATATAATCACACCTCTGCATATGGCTGAGTCACAAAGCTTTACTCTACTTGATATAATCACACCTCTGCATATGGCTGAGTCACAAAGCTTTGCTCTACTTTATAAAATCACACCTCTGCTTATGGCTGAGTCACAAAGCTTTACTCTACTTTATGTACATCCTAACATGTATTCTGCAAACTTTCTCCTTCTTTTTGTGATATTCTGTGTTTTTATGCCTCTGCTGTAGCGGTGTTTAAGTTTAAGTTTTACCCTTGTCCGTCTGTACGTACGTACTAACGTACGTTCCAAAATTGGTTTCTGTTCTCTAACTTGAGTTTGCCTCAACCAAATGTTATGACACTTATACACAATGCTTATTAACACAAAACACAGATCAAGTTTGAATTTTGGTGGCATCACTTTAACCGTTCTAGAGTAATGCCCCTTTATAAATGGAAAAATTGCAAAATTTTTAGTTTCCATTCTCTAACTTAAGTTTGCCTCAACCAAATATTATGAAACTTATACACAATGCTAATTCCAACAAAACACAGATCAAGTTTTAATTTTGGTGGCGTCACTTTAACCGTTCTAGAGTTATGCCCCTTTATAAATGGAAAAATTGCAAAATTTTTAGTTTCCTTTCTCTAACTTAAGTTTGCCTCAACCAAATGTTATGAAACTTATACACAACCGTTCTAGAGTTATGCGTGTTTACAAATAGAAAAATTGCTGAATTTTTAGTTTCTGTTCTCTACTTAAGTTAGCCTCAACCAAATGTTATGAGAATTACACACAATACTTATTACCACAAAACTCAGATCAAGTTCAAATTTGGGTATCATCACTTTTACCGTTTTTCAGTTATGTCCCTTTATAACTACATGATATGCAAGTGGGGGCATCATCTGTGTCCACATGTGGACACTATCCACATTTATTTATTGTAATTCATTGACATTGTGAAGTAAGGAATCGAACGGTGTTTTTTGTAAGTTTTCAAAATTTACGATAGAGTTGCATTTTGCATTATGAGCAGTCAGCCAATTGACATACTGATATAACTTAAAAATCAGTGTGAAAGAGTTCACGTTTATTTCGCATGGTATTTTAATCTTTATTTTCATTTAAGATCGTTTCAGTCGTTGATATAACAATGAAAAGTTGACTGATCTATGCTTAGTTGCCACATGTCAATAATAACTCAGTTTTCTCGGGAATCTGATTATTTTTTTTATTTTTTTCATCAGAACATTTGGTACGTTGAATATTGCCGAAATCCGCCTAAACTAACAATATCCATGTGGAATTTATCGAAAACCAAAGCTGTTGTAAAATCATCTGACCTTCCGACATATCTATCATGTCAGACCCATTGTCAGGGACAATGTTAACAATTTCGATCTATAAGGTCCGATAAAAATATTTTTTTAAAATCCGAAACCAACAGTGCCAAAGTTTACCTGTCAAAAATGCTACCTCTATAAATTGAAAATGTAAAAGCCCGAGTGTATTTAAACGGCCCAACATGTCCAATTCTAATTAACAAGAGATAATAGTTTGATAGAACAATCAACAGGTGATCGAATATTAATTACTCGATACGGCTTCATTTATGGCACACGCAAAGGATGAATAAAGGTCAAATGAAGGTAAATACCGGCATTAATAGAAAAGTGGAATGTTGTCAAAAGTTTAAACACCGTCATCGATTGGAAGGTTTTGATTCCGAAAAAACATTGAATAAACTCTGCAAAGAAAAACTCACTATTTCACACTCCAGTGCGAACATTAAAGGACCTTCAGCATGATCGAGAAGTTGCGAACTGACAGCAGGGTCAATGACTCAAAGACAATACACATCCTCCCCAGTGTTAAGATTATCAACCCCACAAACTGTTACAAGGATCAGGATTAGTTTAGCAGGTTGGGGAGGTTCCTCTTAAATGGGTTAAGCCATTTTCAACTGATTTTTATACGCCCGTTTACTGGACGTATTATGGTATACTGTTGTCCTGTCCGTCTGTCCGTCCGTAGTCAACATGTCGGACTCAAAAACGCTTTAGATTTTACGTTTCCGAGTTGTGGGGTTTTATTCAATGAAAAAGGGGGATTTTCCAGTTTTCGGACAATTACTCAAAAACATTTTCACTGATTTGCAAGAAACTTTAATGAATTGTTTATATCTATTGACATGAGCTCCCTTTCAATTTTTATAAATTTTAGATTATATGTTTCTGAGTTATGGGGTTTTATTCATTAAAAAAGGGGGATTTTCCATTTTTTGGACAATATCTCAAAAATGCTTTCAGCAGTTTTCATGAAACTTTGGTGAATTGTTTATATCTATTGACCTAAGCTCCCTTTTGATTTTTATAAATTTTAGATTTTATGTTTCCAAGTTATGGGATTTTATTTATAAAAAAGGGGTGATTTTCCAGTTTTCAGACAATATCTTTAAAGTGCTTTGAGCAGTTTTTATGAAACTTTGGTGACTGGTTTATATCTATTAAGATAACCTCCCTTTAGTTTTTCATAAATTTCTGATATGACATTGAGAAGGTATTGAACTTTATTCTTTGAAAACGGGACGGGCCTATCATGTGCTCATGGCGCAGCTGTTTATTATAGTTTGTTCTTATGTTGTGCTGTTACACCACTGTCCCAGGGTAAGGGGAGGGTTGAGCGCCGACAAACATGTTTAACCCTGCCTTATTCTGTATATGCCTGTCAAAAGTCAGGAGCCTGTAGGACAATGGTTGTCGTTGGTACATGTCTGTCATACTTGTTTTTCGTAAATTGTTTTGTTTTAAATTAGGCCGTTAGTTATCTCAATTTGATTGTTTGATATTTTTCATGTCAGGGCCTTTTATAGCCGACTATACGGTATTGGTTTTTCTCATTGTTGAAGGCGGTATGGTTGCCTATAATTGCTTTCATCCACTTCATTTGAACTTGGGTGGATAGTTGTCTCATTGGCAATCATACCACATCTCCTTATTTTTATATTACATACATGACTTAACAAAAATATGGTAGTATCAGGCTTTCTCAGAGTTGGACATAGAAAATCACAAACAATAATTGGTGACCTGGCATGGTAATTACTTTTATTTATACTTGGAATTATTTACTTTTTTGCTCGGAATATTTTTTTGAAGAATAACGATTATCTGAGAAAGAGTGGACACTTAGAGATGCATTATTATATTCACACCAAACCATCATGACGAAATGGAATATTGGTTTATTTTAAACTCAAGGTGAATAACCAAAAATGATGAAAATTGAAATTGACCCTAAATATTCAAGTGCACATTGTTGAATATAAAACAAAAAATCTATTTGTTTGTAGAAAAAGTTAATCCTGAGTTGCTCTGTAGACGGTAACATTTTATATTAAAAGATATTTGTGCATTAATATACTCATACAATAATATGTTATTTGGAAATGCAATGTAGAATTATCATTTCCATGCCATAATAATTGAAAAATGTCTATATATCTGATGTTGTTAGCCTTTCCTGAAAAGTAATGTTTGATTATAATCAATCTGGGCTATAAAATCATAAATCCTGTAGGTAACTGCCTTTTCAGCCCATTCGCGCTTTGATTAAGGAATGATTCCTTTTGGTTGTGGACCAAATTATTTTCAGTAGTCCAAGCAATCACGATCTAAATCTGATAAACATGTAATTATATGTGTGTTTTTACAAATTATTCTGTTATTTAGAAGTCTAAATGAAAGCAATTTTAACTTTTGTTACTATTTTTTCTCATTTAGACTGTAAGACAGTTACACCAGCTGATATCATATTTGTTTTGGATGAGTCTGGAAGTGTTGGCCAGGAGCAGTTCACTTTGGCCTTGGAAGCTATATCAGAGACCACAGACAAACTGGCCGTAGGGGAAAATCTGATTCGTGTTGGGATGTCTATGTTTGGAGGAACTGGCACCTCTAGAACAGGTTTTGACCTGGATACCAGCTATGACAAAACTGTAATAAGTCAGAATATACTTAAGATATCCTATAATAAACAAGGATATACCGATATTGGTGATGCTTTGAGGTATGCATGTGAAGACATGTTTGTTTCCAGCAAGGGAGACAGAGGAGATGATGTAAAGAACTATGTAGTGTTGATGACAGATGGACAGTCCAATAGAGGGAGTACACAGACAGGAGTGAATACCTGTAGAAATAATGATGTAACAATCATAGCTGTGGGGATAGGTGATGGTATTAGCAGGACTGAGTTGTTATCTGTTGTACAGGATCCTAACCATTTCATCAATACAACTTATGTTGAACTACACGAAACTCTACCGGACATTGTTACAAAATATATAGACTGTAGTGCAGGTAGGTTAAGGTAGAAAGTTTATGATTCATCTGAATTTCGCATAAAATACTCAAACAGAATTCCGTAAAATGTATGATTTTTAACCAGGTTTTACAACAGAAATCCAATAATTAATTTGGGGTAGTACTGGGAGCAGACAGGTGTATGGGCTGGTAGGTGGTTCCAGCTGTTTCCAACTTAAGACTCTTCAACCAATGATATATTGTTAATGATGACAAAATGGTGGTCAAGTTCAATTTTGAAGATTTTCACTTTGTCATTTAGAAGTTATAGTCATTGATTGATTGGGGAATGGCTGATTATCTTGTTTCTGTGCAATTGCTTGTGAACTATTTAACCAAAGCTTTTAAAATTTTGATATATTGTGACTTGTGACAAAAATAGAGTTTGAGTTTGATATTGACCGTTGTCACTTTTGCTGTCCTTGATTTATTGGAAAGTGGCACATAATGTTGCTATGCTTGATTCAATTGTTTTCCAATTTGAATATGTTATTTTTCAAGACAAAATAGAGGTCCGGATTTGTCTTGATCACTTTCAGGTTTGCCATTCAGATTTTTATGCCAATCATTGCTTTGACAATGACACAAATAAATGTAAGAAAAACTTGGTTTTTTCTGTCATTTTAACAGCCTCTTGTTCTTTTATTTATATGCATCAGTAATGATATGCTGAAAAAAAATGCAGCAGCAGGTCCTATAATAAATCACTAGTCAAAGATTGAGATAAGAAAACATAAATAGGTTATGTATAAGTTATTTATAAACAAAAAAACATGGCCACCACTGTCAATCTTTGATTATGTCTAATTTATGATTTTTATACGCCCGTCTTCAAGCCGTGACGTATTATGGTATACCATTGTCCATCCGTGGTCAACACTTCACAATAACTAAAAAATGCTTTCACCAATTTTTATGAAACTTTGGTGAATTGCAATTGTTTATATCAACTGACGTAAAGGAATCATTCCTTAATCAAAGCGCGAATGGGCTGAAAAGGCAGTTACCTACAGGATTTTTATAAATTTTAGATTTTACTCTTTTGAGTTATGGGATTTTATTCATAAAAAATATTTCTGTTTTGTGTAAATGGGTACCACTGTGGTGCATGTTCTTAAAAAAAAAAAAAATTGGGGGGTGGGGGTGTCTATTTGAGCAGTGCTTGCTGTATTTCTAGTTGATCATACAAATTCATTTAAAGCATAAAGACAAGCTAAAAGGGCGACATGCATATCATGAGCTCATTATGGCACAGCTCTTTATCTTAAATCTTCTCATCTGATGAAGATTATAATTATGAGAACTGGGAGCGATGCTAATAGATATAGGAAGATGTGGTATGAGTGCCAATGAGACAAATCTCCATCCAAGTTACAATTTATAAAAGTAAACCATTATAGGTCAAGGTACGGCCTTCAACACGGAACATTGGCTCACACCAAACAGCAAGCTATAAAGGGCCCCAAAAAATTACTAGTGTAAAACCATTCAAACGGAAAAACCAACGGTCTAATCTATATAAAAATGAGAAACGAGAAACCCGTATGAACTACATAAACAGACGTCAACTACTGTAATCAGATTCCTGACTTAGGACAGGTGCAAACATTTGCAGCGGGATTAAATGTTTTAATGGTACCAAACCTTCTCCCTTTTCTGAAACAATAGTATAACATCACAACATAGAAAAACACACTATAAAATATCAATTGGAAGGCTTAACTCAATCAAAAAACGTAAATTAACACACAATGAACGAATAAATTTGACCTGTGACACCTGAATGCAAATACATAGTTAATAAAAAATTACAAGGGATAAATAATTAAAGTCAAAAGTAAATAAACAGGTTTAAACAAAGTTAAAGTATGATATCACTGTGAAATTTCAAACAATTTTTAGAAAATCATCACTTTTGAAGAAACCTGCGTCATATTATACACAGGTAAATGAAAATAATTTTGTTGTTAAGTATACTACTTCTTCTGTGTGTATAAAATTTTCCGTTTAGGTATACCAAGAAATAAGCATGTATATTGTGAGGTATTATCACAGTACAAAAACATTTAATTTCATTTCAGATATTTCATCTTTAATTTCTGATTGGTTAAAACAAGCTGATATGGAAGTTTTGGATGGAGTAAAAGAAGGTGGGAAACAACTGATACTAAAAAGGCTTGGCCTTTATGATTTTTTCAGTGGACCTTACTGTGACAGGGAGAGAAAACCCTTCACTCCAAATGTTGGCGGATGGAATAATGGTAATTTAACATGCATAAAAGGAGGAATAAAACAGTGGTTAAATACTGATCAATATATATTTGTATAGTGTTTATATTTATTTTCATACTAGTTTGGAATATGCATTATAAAGAAAAGGAAAGTTATTCTTTGTGACAATATTAAAGTTTAGGATAAAACAGTTATTATCTGCAAGATGAGTTCCATTGTCAGAAAAAAGAATTCTTTACAACCATAAATAAGGTGAAGCATGTCCCTATTTTTTTCCCCCGTGAGACGCGATGCGGGGACATAGAAAGACTGGGTGTCCGTCCATCCGTCAGTGCTTTTGTTCGACAGGTCTGGTTAGCGCTCTCACATATACAGTTCTTGCCAGATTTTTTTATCAGCAATGTCTTGGATAAGTTCTAAAATCAGTGTGCTGATCAACTATTTTTAAAAGAGTTATGCCCCTTGGAAATATTAATTATTTGGTAGATTTCATTGTTCTCTCATGTGTACAAAACTTACCAGATTTTATTGAAACTCATATCATAGATTTATATGAGCAATTCCTCCGACAATTTAGAAAATCAGTGCCGATCAAATATTTTTAAAAGAGTTATGTCCCTTGGAAATATTACATTTATTGGAAATTGCATTGTATTTGCTCTCAAGCCTTCATTTCTTTAAGATATTTATAAAAAAAATTAGATAACAACAAAAAGAAGTTTTTTTTAGTTATTGCCCATGGATAGATAAAAATATGTATATATATATAGGGACATTGGAACTCTGTTCTTTTATTAATAATTAAAATACCAGCACCTTGCAATTGTCTGTAATATCTTATGAATATTTACATTAAATTCACTTGAAAGAATTATTTTCAATTCATGATATGTGCATTTTTCATTATTTCTATACCAATAAGGCATATATGCTTTCTTATAGAATTATCTGTCTACGTCTTGCTGAACACTTGTTTAGCTCAACTTCCTGAGAGACCAGTATAGGCTATTGCTGTCACTTAGGGAATGCAATATAAGGGTAAAAATGCAATTAATTTCTGCTGGTATTATCTTGAAAACTGTTAAATATATAGAAAATCTGATGGCACAAAAATATTTAGAATGAATTTATTTCTACCAAAAACATCAGATGACTCCTCATAGACATTGTTGCCTTTAAATGATGATTTTGACAGGTCAACATCATACTTCTAACAACTAGTGTGTTATGACTTTGATCCATTGTCCAATAAAATCTTGAAAGTCAAGGTCATATATGACTACTCTAATGACATTTACTCAAAATTATCTTGATTCAGAAGGTCAAGGTAAAATGTAGTGCATGTGTTGAAACTATTACTAGTCTTTTTTAGTCAGCTGCAGTAATGCTTGTCACTATGTTTGTCAATGATCCCAAAAAATATATGTATCTTACCCTATATCATATCTGTTATTTCAAGGTCACACCTATTAAACTTATATATAATTAAAAAAGAGAGAGAAGATGAAAGGGGCATTCCAAAATCATAAGTCCAATAAAAACAGGCAATAGCATGGCAAAAAATAAAAACGACAAAAGAACAAACACCTATAAGAAACATTTCCTAAAAACATTAAGACTGAGCAACCTTCAATCATTGTTAAAATTACCATCATTATCATGTCATGCCAAATTAAAAATTTTATTTTGATTAACCTAAATAGGGGTTGATGTCTTAATTTATGGAGATTTCTAGTATATATTTAATTTTATCTTTATGTTACAGAGTGTCCATTAGGAACATTCGGAATACAAGACCTACCAGACAACATGGCATGCCATTTTAAGGACACTTGTACTGGAATAGAATGCTGTATAGATATTCCTGGTCTTGGTCTAACCTTACATCCATTTATCATCATAGACCCATGTGAATATACAGTAAACTATGGTGTCAACACAATTAATGAAACTATCAGGCTTATTAACTATGAATGGGGTATGTTTTTAATGTCATATGTAATGCTTTTCTCTGAAGCTTGTAGCAGGCTATGATAACCACTATATAACCTTCTATTTCAAGATTTTGTCTGTCTATTTTCATTTAAATTATAAAATATTTGATCTTTAAGAACAAAACATGTGAACAGTACTTATTTGTTGTGTTTATATTTGTAATTTTTTATTTCCAAAAGTCATTTAATGGCAAAATTTTTGTTGAAGGGGATTCAACTTGAACTTTACATGTTTTAAAATCAATGTTAATAGTTTGCTTTGTTTACATACATTATACAAATTTCATGAAGTTTTCAGACATGTTGCATATTAGGACAAATACAGACATTCTGTTGAAAGTCTTAATTTATACTATCATATAATAATAAGCTTATTCACTATGATAAATGTATTCCATTCATGAGTTTACAAAACACTTGAAACTCACAAGATCAGAGATATTGTAAAAACTACCTATTTCTAAATCTAATATCACAAATTAATCCTTGAAGTTATAAGAAAAATTTATTTTTAAGTTTTTATACGACCGCAAAAAAATTTTGTGGTCGTATATTGGTATGACGTTGGCGTCGTCGTCTTTGTCGTCGTCGTCATCGTCGTCGTCTGAAGACACATTGGTTTTCGCACTCTAACTTTAGTTTAAGTGAATGCATCTCTATGAAATTTAAGCATAAGGTTCAATACCACAAAAGGAAGGTTGGGATTGATTTTGGGGGTTATGGTACCAACAGTAAAGGAATTAGGGGCCAAAAAGGGGCAAAAAATAAGCATTTTTGTAACTTCCACACAAAACTTGTGTGTTAGTGTATGGATCTATCTGATATTGTATCACAAGGTTCCATATCACACAGGGAATGCTGGGATTGATTTTGGGGGTAATTGCCTCAAAATATTAGGAATAAGGGGCCAAAAAAGGGGCAAAAAACAAGCATTTTTCTAGTTTCATGACAATAACTTGTGTGTAAGTGTATGGATCTTTCTGAAATTGTACTACATGTACAAGGTTCCATATCACAAAGGGAAAGCTGGAATTGAGTTTGGGGGTAATTGCCCAAAACGTTTAGGAATAAGGAGCCAAAAATAAGCATTTTTCTAGTTTCCAGACAATAACTTGTGTTCAAGTGTATGGATCTCTCTGAAATTGTACTGCAAGGTACCATACCACAAAGGAAAGGCTGGGATTGATTTTGGTGGTAATTGCCTCAAAATTTTAGGAATTGAGGGCAAAAAATGGGCCAAAAAACAAGCATTTTTCTAGTTTCAGGACAATTACTTGTGTGTAAGTGTATGGATCTTTATGAAATGGTACTACAAGGTTCCATATCACAAAGGGAAAGCTGGGTTTGAGTTTGGGGGTAATTGCCCTAAACGTTTCAGAATTTGGGGCCAAAAAACAAGCATTTTTCTAGTTTCCAGACAATAACTTGTGTTCAAGTGTATGGATCTCTCTGAAATTATACTGCAAGGTACCATACCACAAAGGGAAGGCTTGGATTGATTTTGGGGGTAATTGCTTAAAAATTGTAGGAATAAGGGGCAAAAAAAGGGGCAAAAAACAAGCATTTTTCTAGTTTCCAGACAATAACTTGTGTTCAAGTGTATGGATCTCTCTAAAATTGTACTGCAAGGTACCATACCACAAAGGGAAGGCTGGGATTGATTTTGGGGGTGATGAATAATAAGGGGATTCAAAAAATTGGGGGAGGGGGGGGGGGGATTTTTTTTTCTTTAAAATTTTCCATTTTAAATTGGTTATTTCTGATTTATATATAAAAGCAAATAATAATGATATGGTTTGAATAGGTAAATTAAAAAAAAATTTAAGTTCTAAGACCACATTCATTCTGTGTCAGAAACCTGTGCTGTGTCAAATATTTAATCACAATCCAAATTCAGTGCTGTATCAAGCTTGAATGTTGTGTCCATACTTGCCCCAACTGTTCAGGGTTCGACCTCTGCGGTCATATCAAGCTGCGCCCAGCGGAGCATTTTATTAAATATATTTAGTTTGGGAAAAATCAAGTTTCTCAAACGGATTGATTATTTTTTTATAATCAATGAGTGTTTTGTTTGATTTCAGTTCTTCAATTGTCAAAATTAAATTATGATGTCAAATATCCTTGCTTTCCTCTTTTTTTGCCTGATGGAGTTGCATAGCAATTACACATTTTTGCAGATGATTGAAAAAGAATGATTAAGTTTGCATATCTTTTTAAAATAATTTAATAGAGAAACCAATTCCACCACTGAATCTCGTGCGAAACGACATTTTTCACCTGGACAGTTCAAATTTAGATATTTAAAACACACTGCAAGCCTCACGTTTTAAATTTATCCTAGCATATTCAGTGCAGTAGTATTTCAATGATGTGTTTAATCATTTTAGGAAAAACAGAAAAGATCAATCTTGCTGGTGGTGTAATACAATTACAGTAAGTGACTTCTTTATTGGTCATAAAATTTCTGAATTTGATTTGACCCTGTATATTTATATATGTTATTCATAAATATTTTCATGTGAAAATGAATAAAGGGCTGTACTGTTAATATTCATAACAGCAATGCTTACTTTTCATTAGCTTTACCCCATTGATAATCCTTATCTTTATCCAACAAAGAGTCTGGAGTTATTAACAAAATTTTGGTCCATTTTCAAACCATGGAAGAACTAATATTAAGGGGATATTTAACAACCTTGACTAACCATGAATGTCTCTCATGATTGGAAAACATGAAAGTCAAATCTTTTTTCAGGTGCATCTGGGAGGTGGGTGGGGGTGGGGGGAAAGACATAGTTATTTTGATTCTACAACATTTTATGATTGAAAACTCTCTCTGTTTAAATATACTATCATCATTGTAATAGCTTTAATATTTAATTCACTCTGAAAGTACTCGTACATGTGACAGAGTTGTCAATTCATAACTGGAGATTTGAAAATTTTCAGCTGGAGTTTGGGCCTAATAACTGGAGATATTTAATCAACATATTTATCGCCATTTTCAATGTTCATTTTGATGATAAAGCTGCATATTTCCCCCTTTTATTTAAGATGACAGTATTGCTATTAATGTATTCTCTCTGTATTGGTACCATGTGAAATATTTGTCAGCAGGAAGCTGTACTATTTGTATGTGATTTTTTACCTTCCCTCATCTTTGTCATTATTAGTGTGTTTCTCAGTTCCGTCATCCATTAATTATTTATGTGTTTCATAGTGTTATTCCTTTGTACTAGTTAATTTTAATTTAGCCAGATTTAGCATAAACGCTCTGGCATTGGTTTTGAGGATGGGAGTCTTTAACGACCATGACTGGCTATACAGCTCATGCACGGTTGGGTTTACTAACTGGTGGTGTTTAATGACCTTGACTGGCTGGTAAGCCCTTGCTCGGTTGGTGGTCGGGTTTGGAAGGTCAATACATTTCTTATAAATTTCAATTTAAGCATTGAAAAGAAGTATAGATCTCTCAAATAATTTTCAAAATAATATTTTTAGCTCACCTGACCTGAAAGGTCAAGTGAGCTATTCTCATCACTTTGCGTCCGTCGTCCTGCGTCCGTCGTCCGTCGTCCGTCGTCCGTAAACTTTTACAAAAATCTTCTCCTCTGAAACTACTGGGCCAAATTTGACCAAACTTGGCCACAATCATTATTGGGGTATCTAGTTTAAAAAATGTGTCCGGTGACCCAGCCAACCAACCAAGATGGCCGCCATGGCTAAAAATAGAACATAGGGGTAAAATGTATGGGGCTTATATCTCTGAAACCAAAGCATTTAGAGCAAATCTGACACATGGTAAAATTGTTTATCAGGTCAAGATCTATCTGCCCTGAAATTTTCAGATGAATCTGACAACCCGTTGTTGGGTTGCTGCCCCTGAATTGGTAATTTTAAGGAAATTTTGCAGTTTTTGGTTATTATCTTGAATATTGTTATAGATAGAGGTAAACTGTAAACAGCAATAATGTTCAGCAAAGTAAGATCTACAAATAAGTCAACTTGACCAAAATGGTCAGTTGACCCCTTAAGCAGTTATTGCCCTTTATAGTCAATTTTTAACCATTTTTCGTAAATTTTTGTAATCTTTTACAAAAATCTTCTCCTCTGAAACTACTAAGACAAATTTAACCAAACTTGTCCACAATCATCATTAGGGTATCTAGTTCAAAAAATGTGTCCAATGACCCCGCCCGCGAACCAAGATGGCCGACATGGCTAAAAAATAGTACATAGGGTAAAATGCAGTTTTTGGCTCATATCTCTGAAACCAAAGCATTTAGAGCAAATCTGATGAGTATAAAATTGTTCATTAGGTCAAGATCTATCTGCCCTGAAATTTTCAGACCAATCAGGCAACCCGTTGTTGGGTTGCTGCCCCTGAATTGGTAATTTTAAGGAAATTTTGCCGTTTTTATACGACCGCAAAAATTAAAAATTTTTTGGTCGTATATTGGTATGACGTTGGCGTCGTCGTCGTCGTCTGGCGTCGTCCGGCGTCGTCCGAAGACACATTGGTTTTCGCACTCTAACTTTAGTTTAAGTGAATGGATCTCCATGAAATTTTACCATAAGGTTCAATACCACGAAAGGAAGGTTGGGATTGATTTTGGGGGTTATGGCACCAACAGTTAAGGAATTAGGGGCCAAAAAGGGGCCAAAAATAAGCATTTTTGTAACTTCCAGACAATAACTTGTGTGTAAGTGTATGGATCTCTCTGACATTGTACCACAAGGTTCCATATCACATAGGGAAGGCTGTAATTGATTTTGGGGGTAATTGCCTTAAAATTTTAGGAATTAGGGGCCAAAAAAGGGGCAAAAAACAAGCATTTTTCTAGTTTCATGACAATTACTTGTGTGTAAGTGTTTGGATATTTCTTAAATTGTACTACAAGGTTCCATATCACGAAGGGAAAGCTGGAATTGAGTTTGGGGGTAATTGCCCGAAACGTTTAGGAATTGGGGGCCAAAAAGGGGCCAAAAATAAGCATTTTTCTAGTTTCCAGACAATAACTTGTGTTCAAGTGTATGGATCTCTCTGAAATTGTACTGCAAGATACCATACCACAAAGGGAAGGCTGGGATTGAGTTTGGGGGTGATGAATCATTAGGGGGTTCAAAAAATTTGGTGGAGGGGGGGGGGGGGGTTTTCTTTTTTTTTCTTTTTTTCCTTTTTTTTTTCTTTTAAAATTTTCCATTTTAAGTTGGTTATTTCTGATTTATATTTAAAAGCAAATAATAATGATATGGTAGGAGATACACACCAAACAGGATGTGTAAATTATTATACAATAAGTATTGTGCAACAGCAAGAAATTTTCAATTGCACAGTATTGCACAATAGCAAGAAATCTTCAATTGCACAGTATTGCGCAATAGCAAGAAATCTTCAATTGCACAGTATTGCGCAATAGCAAGAAATATCCAATAGCACAATATTGCGCAATAGCAAGAAATTGTCAATTGTACAGTATTGCGCAATAGCAAGAAATATTCAATTGCACAGTATTGTGCAAAAGAATATACTTCGTATAAATTGCTTATTTCTTGATCAATTTCAATGGGGTTTTATTCTTGAATTTTTGGGGTTCTTTAATATGCTGAATCTAACCATGTATTAAGTTTTTGGATTTTGGGCCCCGTTTTTAAATTGGTCCACATTGAGGTCCAAAGGGTCCAAAATTTAACTTTGTTTGATTTCATCAAAAATTGAATTATTGGGGTTCTTTGATATGCCAAATCTAACCGTGTATTTAGATTCTTAATTTTTGGTTCCGTTTTCAAATTGGTCTAGATAAAGGTCCAAAGGGTCCAAAATTAAACTTAGTTTGATATCAACAAAAATTGAATATATGGGGTTCTTTGATATGCTGAATCTAACCATGCATTTAGATTTTTGATTATGGGCCGAGTTTTCAAGTTGGTCCAAATCGGGGTCCAAAATTAAACTTTATTTGATTTCAACAAAAATTGAATATATGGGGTTCTTTGATATGCTGAATCTAACCATGTATTTAGATTTTTGATTATGGGCCCAGTTTTCAAGTTGGTCCAAATCGGGGTCCAAAATTAAACTTTGTTTGATTTCAACAAAAATTGAATATATGGGGTTCTTTCATATGCTGAATCTAACCGTGTATTAAGTTTTTGGATTTTGGGCCCTGTTTTTAAATTGGTCCACATTGAGGTCCAAAGGGTCCAAAATTAAACTTTGTTAGATTTCATCAAAAATTGAATTATTGGGGTTCTTTGATATGCCGAATCTAACAGTGTATTTAGATTCTTAATTTTTGGTTCCGTTTTCAAATTGGTCTACATAAAGGTCCAAAGGGTCCAAAATTAAACTTAGTTTGATTTTAACAAAAATTGAATTTTTAGGGTTCTTTGATATGCTGAATCTAAACATGTGTTTAGATTTTTGATTATGGGCCCAGTTTTCAAGTTGGTCCAAATCGGGGTCCAAAATTAAACTTTGTTTGATTTCAACAAAAATTGAATATATGGGGTTCTTTGATATGCTGAATCTAACCATGTATTTTGATTTTTGGGCCCCGTTATCAACTTTGTCCACATTGAGATCAAAAGGGTCCAAAATTAAACTTTGTTAGATTTCATCAAAAATTGAATTCTTGGGGTTCTTTGATATGCTGAATCTAACCATGTATTTAGATTTTGGATATTGGACCATAATAGGTGAATGTCCAATTTAAAATTTTTAAGTTCTTAGACCACATTCATTCTGTGTCAGAAACCTATGCTGTGTCAAATATTTAATCACAATCCAAATTCAGAGCTGTATCAAGCTTGAATGTTGTGTCCATACTTGCCCCAACTGTTCAGGGTTCGACCTCTGCGGTCGTATCAAGCTGCGCCCTGCGGAGCATTTTATTGGTTATTATCTTGAATATTATTATAGATAGAGATAAACTGTAAACAGCAATAATGTTCAGCAAAGTAAGATCTACAAATAAGTCAACATGACCAAAATTGTCAATTGACCCCTTAAGGAGTTATTGCCCTTTATAGTCAATTTTTTATAATTTTCATAAATTTTGTAAATTTTTGTAAATTTTTAAAAGTATTTTCCACTGTAACTACCGGGCCAAGTTCATTATAGATAGAGATAATAGTAAGGAGCAAGAATATTCAGTAAAGTAAGATCTACAAACACATCACCATCACCAAAACACAATTTTGTCATGAATCCATCTGTGTCCTTTGTTTAATATGCACATAGACCAAGGTGAGCGACACAGGCTCTTTAGAGCCTCTAGTTTTATTTGTCCTAAGACATTTAAAATTCATTACGGTAAATTACCATCCGTATATGATTCTTTGTTCAATTTGTATTTCATTCATATTCTTTTATCAATTTACATTATTTTAAGGGGGGTAACTTAAAACATGATAAAACAAGGGAAGTAACCCAAAATTTCCTTTAACTGTTTTCAAATACACAAAGCTTTTATTACATAACGGCAGTTAGCCTGAGGTAAAAGTCGTTGATTAACACCCAAGCTGTCAAGTGAAGCCATATAATTATCAAGTCCTTTGATTTACAGGAAAAAATTACCTTCATCAGTGACAAAAAATGTAATTAATGTTGACATCGATGGTAACAAGAAATAGAGACTGACAAATTTTTTGGGGTTCAATTTGAATTATTAATGGGAGGGACGGAAGAGGAAGAGGGCTTAAAAATTTGGAGATTTTGACTCCCGCCGGAAAATTCACCTGTCTTAGTACTTTTATTTGTGCCATGTGGGTCAAGAAAAGTTACATGTTCATAGATTCATTTATTTTTGTCCCCCGCACACGCTTTTGCATGGGACATAGAAATACAGGGCATCCGTGTGTCCATCCGTCCAGTCTTGTATGTGCTCTCACCTGTACAATTCTTGAACGGTTTTTATATAGGTTAATATCAGCAATATCTCGGACAAGTTAAAATGGTTGCCGATCGACTTTTTTAAAAGAGTTATGCCCCTCGGAAATATTAAATTTATGGAAAATGGCCTTTTTAACGCTCTCACGGGTACAATTCTTGCCAGATGTTTATAAATCTTATACTATAGGTTAATATCAGCAATATCTCGGACAAGTTCTATAATGGTGGCCGATCGACTTTTTTTAAGAGTTATGACCCTAGGAAATATTAAATTTATGGAAAATGGCCTCGTTAGCTCTCTCACAGGTACAATTCTTGCCAGATTTTTATAAAACTTATACTATAGGTTAATATCAGCAATATCTAGGACAAGTTATAATGGTGGCCGATCGACTTTTTTGAAAAGAGTTATGCCCCTTGGAAATATTAAATTTATGGAAAATGGTTTGTTAGCACTCTCACGGGTACAATTCTTGCCAGATTTTTATAAAACTTATACTATAGGTTAATATCAGCAATATCTCGGACAAGTTCTATAATGGTGGCCGATCGTTTTTTTTTTGACGGGACGTATTATGGTATACAAATGTCCGGCGTCCGTCCGTCTGTCCGTCCGGCGTAAACATGTCGCACCGTAACTTGAGAATGACTTATCCAATTTTCATGAAACTTAACATAGTTGTTTTTATACGCCTGTGAAATTTTTGACGGGACGTATTATGGTATACAAATGTCCGGCGTCCGTCCATCTGTCTGTCCGTCTGTCTGGCGTAAACATGTCGCACCGTAACTTGAGAATGACTTATCCAAATTTCATGAAACTTAACATAGTTGTTTCTTATGATGGTCAAACGATCTGTATACTTTTTGGTGAAAATAAGATTAAAACTTTTTGAGTTACGGGACTTAGTAACTAAAACAGGTGTGTGTTTTTTTTCACATGTCGCGCCGTATCTCAAAAACAATTTATGATTATTGCTTAAAACTTTACACACTTCTTAGTTATATTAATCTTAAGATCTGTATACTTTTTGGTGATGATTCAAAATTTTATTTTAGAGATATTGAGTATTTTGTTAAAAAAGGGGGAGGGGGTTTTCACATGTCGCGCCGTATCTCAAAAACAGTTTATGATTATTGCTTAAAACCTTACACACTTCTTAGTTATATTAACCTTAAGATCTGTATACTTTTTGGTGATGATTCAAAATTTTATTTTTGTGTTATTGAGTATTTTGTAAAAAAAGGGGGAGGGGTTTTTCCACATGTCGCGCTGTATCTCAAAAACAGTTTATGATTATTGCTTAAAATTTTACACACTTCTTAGTTATATTAATCTTAAGATCTGTATACTTTTTGGTTATGATTCAAAATTCTATTTTTGAGATATTGATTTTTTTTTTTTTAAAAGGGGGGGTTTTCACATGTCGCGCCGTATCTCAATAACGATTTATGATTATTGCTTAAAATTTTACACACTTCTTAGTTATATTAATCTAAAGATGTATACTTTTTGGTTTTGATTCAAAATTTTATTTAAGAGATATTGAGTTTTTTGTAAAAAAAAAAGGGGTTTTCTCATGTCACGCTGTATGTCAGAAACTATTTATGCGTATTGCATAAAAATTCACACACAAGACGATGGGCGTATCATGCGCTCATGGCGCAGCTGTTTATTTTAAAAGAGTTATGCCCCTTGGAAATATTAAATTTATGGAAAATGGTTTGTTAGCACTCTCAAGGGTACAATTCTTGCCAGATTTTTATAAAACTCATACTATAGGTTAATATCAGCAATATCTCGGACAAGATCTATAATGGTGGCCGATCGACTTTTTTTAAAAGAGTTATGCCCCTTGGAAATAATAAATTTATGGAAAATGGCCTCGTTAGCGCTCTCACGGATACAATTCTTGCCAGATTTTTATAAAACTTAAAGTATACTATAAGAAATGCCATTGAAGGTCTGTTTGAAATGTAATTTATTTTCTTTAAGATCATTAGGTCTCATTAGCGCTCTCACAGGTACAATTTTTGCCAGATTTTTTTTATAAAACTTATACTATAAATCAGTGCCTAACGACTTATTTTAAAAGGTTAATGCCCTTGGACTCCATAACATTTGACAGATGAAATATGAAATCGGTTGTTCTATTTTCCCAGGAAAGGAAGAAGGTTGATTGCTCCCTAACAGGTTAAACCCTGCTAAATTCTTTTATGTCCCTCTCTTAAACCAGGAATATGTTATCCAGCAGTAATCATTGGTTCCTGACTGCTATATATGTTTTTCATTTATTGTTGTACTATATATTAGGCCATTGGTTTTTGTCGAGCCTTCGACTTTTGTCGAAAAAGTGAGACATAGCGATCCTACATTCCGTCGTCGTCGTTGTCGTCGGCGGCGTCCACAAATATTCACTCTGTGGTTAAAGTTTTTGAAATTTTAATAACTTTCTTAAACTATTCTGGATTTCTACCAAACTTGGACAGAAGCTTGTTTATGATCATAAGATTATATTCAAAAGTAAATTTTGTAAAAAAAAAATTCCATTTTTTCCGTATTTTACTTATAAATGGACTTAGTTTTTCTGCCAGGAAACATTACATTCACTCTGTGGTTAAAGTTTTTGAAATTTTAATAACTTTCTTAAACTATCCTGGATTTGTACCAAACTTGGACAGAAGCTTGTTTATGATCATAAGATAATATTCAAAAGTAAATTTTGTAAAAAAAAAAAATTCCATTTTTTCCGTATTTTACTTATAAATGGACTTAGTTTTTCTGCCAGGAAACATTACATTCACTCTGTGGTTAAAGTTTTTGAAATTTTAACAACTTTCTTAAACTATCCTGGATTTCTACCAAACTTGGAAAGAAGCTTGTTTATGATCATAAGATAGTATCCAGAAGGAAATTTTGTATAATAAAAATTCTATTTTTTCCGTATTTTACTTATAAATGGACAGTTTTTCTGCCAGTTAACATTACATTCACTCTGTGGTTAAAGTTTTTAAAATTTTAACAACTTTCTTAAACTATCCTGGATTTGTACCAAACTTGGACAGAAGCTTGTTTATGATTAAAAGCTAGTATCTACATGGAAATTTTGTTCCATTTTTTCCGTATTTTACTTATAAATGGACTTAGTTTTTCTTCCAGTTAACATTACATACAGTCTGCAGTTTAAGTTTTTAAAACATTTATTAGATTCATAAACTATCCTGGATTTTTATCAAACTTGGACAGAAGCTACTTACAATCAAAAGATAGTATAGAGAGGAATATTTTTATTAATTTTTTTCCTCATTTTTGTTGAGCCTGCGATTAACAGCAAAAGTAGGCAAGACACTGGGTTCCGCGGAACCCTTACGAATTTTCTCTTGAATTTTCCCTTTTTGTTTTTTAAAGCCTAATATACAGTATGGGTTTATTCATTGCTGATAACCATAAAAGTCATCTGTTATTGTTCACATGTTATCTTTAGGTCTTCCTAGAAAGTTGACTCATTAGCAATTATGACAATTAAATAAGAAATTTTGATTGTAGAATGGTCATTAAAAAACCTCATGGGATGAAAAAGTTTATAATGTACCTATCAGCTAAAGCTTGCTTTGAAGAAAGATGTGTTCCAGATGTTAAGATATTTGATGGAACAGAGATTCCTCAGCCTATCTGTGATTTGTATGCTGATTACAATTTTAAAGGTAAAACTAAGTTACTATTCTATATGGTCATTTCATTAGGGAAATTAGAAACTTAGCATAACTTTTTCTTTTTACATTTTTTGTGGCCCCTTTTTTGTGGGCCTTTAAGATGTAGAAGAGAAGAAGAAGTCTGTTGCAGCAGGAATGAGATGTTGAATATAAGGGAAGTAATTTGCTGTGTTTGAATAAATCTATTTAAATAAGGGCTGTTCCATTTGAGCATACATTGCACTGATGGAAGGCAATTTCAAAATAAGGTAACCACACATAGAGGCAAGTTAATAGTTTTAATTACATTTTCACTGTACTTGACACCTGCCTATAGCTGAGATTTTAAAGTGCCTTTCTTGGGTCCCATTTGTGTTTGAATGGAATAGCACTGATCAAGAATTTTGATGCTAGGCTTTTTTGGTGCCCTTGTTAGCTCACCATATGGCAAAATCCTAGGTACTTTATTCATATGATTTGTACCATGTGACTTTGGCCCTTTTGATTAAATTACTTCCCTTAGTTGTATATTGAAACTATAAATTATATAAAATTTGCTGATAATCCAGTTTTTTTCCGTCTTGGATCTAATACTAACGTGTCTTTGAAAACTTCCTTTGGTGGACAAATCATGAACAATCTCTTCTTGTATCCTTATTTCTATTTTGAATCTTGCTTTTTTACGATTTTCGTTATTATATATAGCAATTATACAGTAACGCTTCCAATTTTCAAACTGAAAAGGCCGAAAGTTTTCAAAGTATACAATGTTCATTTGTACACGAACAGAAGGCAAAAACATGTACAATTCACCTATATGCGGTCAAATTGTTGATTTGACTTAGGAATTGGCATATTTGCATTTTTATTTTAGGGTCCTGTATAATCCTTTTGTAATGGATGTCGTCATGATAAGGCACTATGGCCACTAATGCAAATTTATAATAGCAAGGTACCCCAAATTTTGCCATATGCCTTGTCCAAACTGAAAATAGCCACTGTGAACTTTGGTATCACTAGATAATTTATTTTTCTGCTTTTAAACATACTGTTTTGTATGTTTTGTATTAATTTTGAGAGGATTAAATTGAAGATCACCTAATAAAGTTTTCATTTCATAGTCATCTGGAAAAAAAAACCATAACTGCTATATATAGTTCTCCATTTGATCTTTACAATGGCATTATGTTCAAAAATGTTTAATCTAAGTCATTACCATATATATATATTAGTAGATAGGTGGAAGAACCTAAGAAAAACACTGGAGAAAAAATATATGCATGAAGAAATACAGATTAAGCTATAAACTTATCTGTAAATTGCACTTTTTGTTGAATTCATATGACAAAATGATGTCTAGATTGGTTTAGATAATTTTCATTTTTGCCGATACAGAGTTTTGGCCTGTAAATTGCTTTAACAATGTAACTAGTAAATGTAAGAAAAAACAGGTTTGCTGTCTGACATTTTGATAGCCTCTTAACTCGTGGCTATTTCAAGCATGGCATATGGTATAGACACCTCTATTGTTGAACACCACATGTTGACCTCGAAATATATTTTCTTGATTTATAACATTGTAAGAGTTGCTTTCTTATTAATAGCGACCCCCCCACATTTCCTTTTCTTTTATTCATATTCATTCATTGTTTATGTTTTAATTTCTATTATTTTTTTTTTCTAGAGTTTTCATTGTCTGAATGGGGTGGTCGTGTAGGTGCTGATATAAAAGGACAGTTGAAGACTGAATTCCGTACACTTTTACTGGAACAGTTGGGGCTGGATGTTAAGCTGAAAAACCCATCTTGTAACAGGAGTGATGATACGTATAGCCCAGCTGTAAATGGTTGGAATAATGGTAAGCTATGTTAATTGGTATTTGAATAAAAGGAGTTGTATGGTATATGTCAATCAGGAGATAACTGTTCTGTATTTTAAGCTTGGCCTATATAAAACTTATTTTTTACTTAGGCCAAGCTTAAATACAAAAAATTAAAATAACAAAAATACTGAACTCCAAGGAAAATTCAAATCGGAAAGTCCCTTATCAAATGGCAAAATCAAAAGCTCAAACACATCAAATGAATGGAAAACAACTGTCATATTCCTGACTTGGTACAGGCATTTCTTTATGTAGAATATGGTGGATTAAGGTAGCAATACACAGTTAGAAGTTTCGCATTATGGCCATGGTGAATTTTTTAAATATGAAAGTTTTTGTACAATAAAATTGATTTTTAGATAATATAGCCTTCGCAGTGGGTTTATATGAACATTTAGATAGTTTTTAGCATGTTTTATCTGCCATTTTTCTGTTTGACAGTCCGTATTTTCCTATCCGTACCACCCATAGGTCAAGAAATTATTGTAGTGTTTATCAACAAAGATTTGACGCTCGATCTTTTCAATTCAATTTTATGGAAAAACGAGCAGAAAGGCATATGAATTTTTTTGGACCTCTTGATAGATAAATGTCTATGGTTTCAGGAAAGGTATCACTCTTATTGATTGAAATTTTCCTTTGGACCAAATTTTGGAGACTTTTGTGACATTTTCACCCCCCTTTTTGCGATATTTTGTATCAAAGAAATGCAGATTGATGCCATGGTTACACCAAAAAGAGATTATATTTCACCTTTTTAACTATTGAAAATGAAATCTATGGAAGATGCTCTTTCTAGAAATATACACATGCATAACACAAATAGTAAGCCCTATTTATTAGATAGGAAGGAAAAGAGGGTGGTTAAAAATTATGAGTGTCAATTTTAAGATTTTTTCCTAACTGTGTATTGCTACCTAAACCCCGGTTTTATAGCTAGCTAAACCTCTCACTTGTATGACAGTCGCATACAATTCCATTATATTGACATTAATGTATGAAAAAAGCTAACAGACATAATAGGTAAAAATGTCAAAAATAGGGATACAGCAGTATATTACAAAACAGTCATTTCCATTCAAGTGCAAAATTAACAAAACATTGCATTTCAATCATTATTTGGTGTAAAAATTAATAGAAAATTTATTCAGACATAGTTTTTCTTGTCTTTGGCACCAAAACTGTCTAAATACATGGTGTTGTAAATGTGTGTATTGGTTATTTCCAAGTAAAGAAATATTGTTATTATTGTATTAAGAGAGTTTATATGAGTTGTCAGAAGTTATTTCTAGTATTTCTAGTATATTGAATGAGTAATTAATGTACGTTTTACTTTATGTTATTAGATGTATCGATAACGTCATATATATGGTGCAAATTTGTCATGTATTATTCAGAACGTTACCGTTGGGTAAATATTGTAATCGTGAACCCAAAAGTGTTCATTTGTGAGCTCTCAACTGGAAGAAATAATATGTCTTGATTGTTTTAGTAACAAAAGTGTATTATTATAAGCATTTTGAGTCGAGGACTTGTATATTTTATGTCAGCGTTTGACATTATGTTTTTCTTCCTGCTTAGAATATTTACTTCCGGGAATTTCAAATAAATACCTGTGCAACTTCACGTTCGTCAGTCTTTGCTGTGTTTACATTTGGCTTGCAGCAAGGCTCAGCCTGGGGGTTCCTAGAGGTCAGAAGCAGCGCATTTAGCTGTATGCCTCGCAGTTTATATTATAAGTAAGGGTCGTAGTTTAGAGGTAAGAAGCAGCGTAGATAGCTGTATGCCTTGCATTTATTTACGTTGTCATTGTAGAATTTATTAAGATAATACCGTTTGGTCTGTACAAAAATACAAGAGAAAGAATGTTATTTTAGTAGCTCCGCCCCGTATGTAAATTATATAATTGTTGCTCGAATATTGTACATGTATGGAAATATATCGGCTGTTCTAGAAGTTTAATAAAAGTATCATTTTCTACTATTGATTATTTATTCACGCTACCAATGATGAGAGAGAACAGACAACAGATTTGACGGCCGTATTTATTTATCCCTTAGTTTAGTCACAAGTTTTGTGATTTTTTTTATATTTGCTGGCTTTAAAACTATACAAAAACAAGCAAATATTACAGCTATCTTAAAACTTAAACTTAACCATACATCAACAAACTACTGCGCCTGTTTATGTCATAAAAACTAATGTCTGTGTTAACAAACTAATGCACCTGTTAATACTTAAAAGGCAAAATATACATTTTTCTTCATTGTGTCATTATCGAAAATATAAAATAAAAGTCTATTTTTGCATCCAGTTACAGCACTAATACCGTATACTCCATTTAAAGTTCAATCCAAGATTCTCCATTCTATCAGACGCTGGAATAATAAACATCATGAAGCTCAACTTCTTCTAAACACCAGGCATACAAAAAACACTTCAAGATTGAACAGAATTTGCCAAAAAGAAAATTCTTGCAGTAGAAATATAACAGTTGTGTTTATCACATACAAATAAATTGTTATTTTCAGAAATTTTTGTTCTGACTCCCCTGATTTTTCAGGTCCTGTCAGCTGTTATATACCTGATTATTGTAATTTTTAGAAATATCAGGACTAACTCCACCTGATTTGTCAGGCCCAGTCTCTTGTTATATACCTGATTATTTTAGTTTTCAGAATGTTCCACACTGACTTCCCCAGATCTGTCAGATCATGTCACTTGTTATACACACAATTATTGTAATTTTCAGAATGTTTCACATAGACTGCCCATATCTGTCAGGTCATGTCTCTTGTTATACACACAATTATTGTAATTTTCAGAATGTTTCACATAGACTGCCCATATCTGTCAGGTCATGTCTCTTGTTATACACACAATTATTGTAATTTTCAGAATGTTTCACATAGACTGCCCATATCTGTCAGGTCATGTCTCTTGTTATACACACAATTATTGTTATTTTCAGAATGTTTCACATAGACTCCCCAGATCTGTCAGGTCATGTCTCTTGTTAAACACACAACTAGTGTAATTTTCAGAATGTTCAGCACCGTCTTCTCCTGATCTGTCAGATCCAGTCTCCTGTTATATATCTGATTCTTTTAATTTTCAGAATGTTCCTCAATGTCTCTACCTAATTTGTCAGGTCAAGTCTACTGATATAAACCGGATTATTGTAATTTTCAGAATGTTCGACACTATCTCTACCTCATTTGTCAGGTCAAGTCTACTGTTATATACCGGATTATTGTAATTTTCAGAATGTTTGACACTATCTCTACCTAATTTGTCAGTTCAAGTCTACTTTTATATACCGAATTATTGTAATTTTCAGAATGTTCGACACTATCTCTACCTAATTTGTCAGGTCAAGTTCCCTGTTATACACACAATAATTGTAATTTTAGAATGTTCAGCACTGTCTCCTCCTGATCTGTCAGGTCCAGTCTCCTGTAATATACCTGATTATTGTAAATTTCACAATGTTCACAACTGTCCCCACCTGGTTTGTCAGAGACAGACCCAGTCTCCTGTTATATACCTGATTATTGTAATTTTCAGAATGTTCCACACTGACTCCCCCAGCTTTGTCAGGCCCAGTCTCCTGTTATATACCTGATTATTGTAATTTTCAGAATGTTCAGGGCTGACTCCCCCAGCTTTGTCAGGCCTAGTCTCCTGTTATATACCTGATTATTGAAATTTTCAGAATGTTCAGGGCTGACTCCCCCCAGCTTCGACAGGCCCAGTCTCCTGTTATATACCTTATTATTGAAATTTCAGATTGTTCACAACTGTCTCCTCCAGATTTGTCAGACCCAGCCTCCTGTTATATACCGTATTATTGTAATTTCAAAATGTTCACAACTGTCTCCCCCCGGTTTGTCAGGCCCAGTCTCCTGTTATATACCTGATTATTGTAATGTTCAGAATGTTCACAACTGTCTCCCCCTGGTTTGTCAGGCCTAGTCTCCTGTTATATACCTTATTATTGTAATTTTCAGAATGTTCAACACTGACTCCAACAGCTTTGTCAGGCCCAGTCTCCTGTTATATACCTGATTATTGTACTGGAATTGATTGCTGTCTTGACTTTGATTACCTGGATTTACACCTGAATTTTTACCTGTATGTTGACCCCTGTAATTATGTCATCAGAGGTGGAATAGAAACATTTACCTTTGAGTATCAACTACTGGATTACCATTGGGGTAAGTATTACTCTAAAATTTTCACTGATTAATTACTTAATTAAAAAGAATTTACTGTACTTATTCAAGAGGCTTTGTCCTTTTACAATACCAATGTGTTACATTTTAATCTTACAATTCAGAAGATTAGGTTTTTATACCCCCGCTTTAAAAAAGTGGGGGTATACTGTTTTACCTCTGTCTGTCCGTCCGTCCATCCATCCATCCATCAGTCCATCCGTCAGTCCATCTGTCCGTCCCATAAATATTTTTCGTCGCATCTTTCTCAGGAACTACATTACAAGGATTTCTGAAATTTGATTTCAGGGTTTATACGAGTCAGCTATACCGTGTGATTCGTTTTCAGATTCATCACTCAACAACTTCCTGTTTACCTTATACTTTTAGCAGGCCAGGCGTATCATTAGTGATCAGTAGCTCACAGATTCACTTGTTATTTCTTTTAGGAATGATGACAATTGATAAATATGATAGTTATGTGACCCTCTTTTCTCCCCACAGTTACAATAGCCATCAAGCATTCCCATCTTGATTTGATGAAAAATTTAAGAAATTATTTTGAGGAATTCGACAAGGGGCAAAACAATACTACATTTATGGAAATATAAAAATAAGGAGATGTGGTATGATTGCCAATGAGACAACTATACACCAGAGTTCAAATGAAGAGAATAAAAGCAATTATAAGTAACTATATGGCCTTCAACAATGAAAAAGACTCATACCGTATATTCGGCTATAAAAGGCCCCCATATGAAAAATGTGAAACAAATCAAACAAGAAAAACTAACGGCCTAATTTATAACAAAACAATTTTCGAAAAACAAATATAACAGACATTAAGCAACCAAAACCACTCAGTTACAGGCTCCCGACTTGGGACAGGCACATAAAGAATGTGGCGGGGTAAACATGTTTGTGAGCGCTCACCCATTCCCCTAACCTGGAACAGTAGTGTGGCAGTACAACATGAGAACAAACTGTAAAAATCTGTAGCATTTGGCTGAACTCAAAAAATCAGTAGAAGACACAAAAAATAATTAACATTAAACAATAGACAGAAGTCAGAGTACTGCAGTTATTGAAAGCTAATTACAACTGATAGATACTTCATTTTCTTTCAGACTAAATAGTTGTTTTGTGATCCTCTTTTAGAATTTTGGTTTATATTAGAAAAAGTAGTTACCGATATCTTTGTTTTTTTTTTCATTTTGCAGAAAAAATATAGCACTTAATTATAGTCTAGAAGACCCTTGTACTTTGCAGAGAAATAAGCTATTTCTTTTAAAGTATTGAACAGGTTGTGAAATGTTAATTTGTCCAAGATACATGTATTTTTATTTTATCTAGTCATATATCATCATGCAAACCAGAATACTGATTAACATTGTTGTATCTTTGATTATACATTTTTTGTTTATTTTTAAAACTTTTTTGCAAAATAGGTGAAGTAAAGGAAGAAAAATTAGTAGAAATAATCAGAATAAAGTAAGTATTGTACATAAATTACTTTGCAATTTCAATTTTATTGCCCTTTTCAGCTGAAATTTTATAAAGTTGATATTTAAACATAATGGATGTTCACCACATAGCCATTCTTGCTATTGCTTTCTGATTCAAAAGATTAATGTAAGCAGTTTAAAATTCTACAAACACAACCATATTACTTCCTTTACCATATACATTGTAGGTATAAAATAGACAGACTAGAAGAACAAAAGAAACTGATAATAGATGCTGAGTTGAAGATTTGTTTGGAGAAAGAAGACTGTAATACAATCGTTAAGTTATTTGATCAACAGCTCATTTCACAACCTCTATGTGACATGGAGATGGGTGGACAACTGTTAAGTATGATTATTTAGCAACTGTTCTATTTTAAATTTTATCAAGATAGGTTTAAAGACAAATTAATGTGAATTTTGTAGGCCAAACAAAAAAGTTAATACTTTTTTTAATTATGATACCCAGGTGTTATAATAGTTTTTTGTCTCGGCTTGACGGAGTCAAAAAGCGAGACATAAGTATGCTTTTTGTGGCGACAGCGGCGTCAACAATGTATTAGTTTGTGATTAGGTCTAGTTCATGGTGAACCACTAGTGGTAGGTCAATGATATTTGTATGCAGTTGTATTAGCATTGGCACATCTCATTACCATGGAGATTATTTGGCCCCTCCTCCTCAGTCAAGGTATATTGACTTTGAAACTTTTCATAGTTTACATGTATTAGTTTGTTATTAGATCAATTTATGGAGAACCACTAGTGGTAGGTCAATGATATTTGGTATGCAGTTGTATAAGCATTGGCATATCTCATTTCCATGGAGATTATTTGGCTCTGCCCCCTTAGTCATGGTCTATAGACTTTGAAAATTATGCTAAGTTAACATGTATTAGTTTGTGATTAGGTCAGTTCAAGGGGAACCATTAGTGGTAGGCCAATGTTAATTGGTGTTCAGTTGTATAAGCATTAGCACATCTCATTTCCATGGAGAATATTTGGCGCCGCCCCCTCAGTCATGGTCTATTTACCTCGAAACTTTTGCTTAGTTTACATGTATTAGTTTGTGATTATATCAGTTTAAGAGTTTAAGATGAACTGCTAATGTTAAGTCAATGATATTTGGTATGCAAATTTATTGGCATTTGCAATTATCGTTTCCATGGAGATTATATAGCCCCACCCCTGATCATGGTTCATTGACTTTGAATCTTTTACAAGTTAATGTTTGTGTTTAGGTTTGTTTAAAGGGAACGACTTATAATAAGTCAATGGTAATTGGTATGCAGTTGTATTAGCATTGGCACATCTCATTCCATGGAGATTGTTTAGCCATGTACCTTCAGTCATGGTTCATCGACTTTGAATATTTGCATAACTTACATGTTAAAGTATTGTTATTTTAATTTCAACATTTGCATTATCAAAATTACAAAAAGGCGAGACATATCTCTGTGATAACAGTTTATATTGGGCTAATTTTTCTGAATTGGATTTTTTGAAAGAGTAGTTTTTTAATAGTGGAATAACTTGCTTGATTGTTGTCTACAAAAATATCATTAGGCATGAAAACTTGAAAACCATTAATTTCTATTTCAGATTTATTTGAAAAGCAAGATTACTACAAACTAATATTCTTTCACTCAAAATGTCACTGTTAATACTATTGTTAAGACTTCCAAAAAATGATATGGAATGCAAACTTTCTTTTTAAGATGTATGTTTAAAAAAAAGAAGAGAAGTTGTAGCATTGATATTATAAATGGATTTATGGAATAAATCTCACAAAGCAGCACTTTTATAACACTGTAAATTAAGCAAAAAAGTCATAGAATACATTTTAACTTCTAGATATATCATTTACTGACTGGGTAAAGAATACAGGAGAAAATGTTGGCAATACTTTAACCAGTGCTGTTGCTGATAAATTACTAGATGAATTAGGGCTTACTAAGTTCATGAACTCAGTTCCCTGTGATAGATATGCTGGAATATTTGCAGACTCTGAGAATGGCTGGAATAGTAAAGGTAAGAATTTTATTATATTTTGAAATTGTTCAAAGATTAGTAGTTTATTAACAGCTAAATGAATTAATTTCATGGGCAAAATAAAATGGTGTTGTGGTAAAGTCAGTTATTGTCTTTGACTAATTACTTTCTGCTGGCTTTTATCAAATTGATTCTGTAATATGACATACTGCTGTAAACCTCAGACTTACACCTGTACCAAGTCAGGAATATGGAAGGTGTTATCTACACTCCATTTCTATGTATGTTGGCGTTTGCTTTTGTTGTAGTTCACTGTTTCTGTTGTTCTGTTGTTTTCCTCTTATAGTTGATGTGTTTCCCTCGGTTTTAGTTTGTTACCCAGATTTGTTTTCGCTTTATTGAATTATGAATTATGACAGCGGTATACTACTGTTGCCTTTATTTACAAACATTGCTATCGAAGTGCATATACATTTAAGTGTATGTTCAGAGTCTCCATGACCTATATTGAAAATATTAGTTTCTTGTTATTATTTAAGCTATATAAAGATAAGGAGATGTGGTATGAATGCCATATGTAAATGTGAAATGTAAAAAAATTCTGACTAATTACTGATCTAAGAGTACTCACAGTTACTTACATCTAGTTCAAAACCAACATACATGTGAACCTCCCGACGGGAGTACAATAATCCCGTTTTCAGGGGTCTCCTCCCGTCCTCTTGTTGAAAGAAAAAAATCCCGTGTATAAAATATTTCATGAATGAAAATTTTCAGGTGCCATTTTTTTTACTACAATGTTTACAAATGTTTGTTATTGAAGACGAAAAAACCCGAGAGTACCGAACATATCCGGTGTCACTGACATTACCTGATTTATACACAACACATGTAGATTTTTACCTGGCGGCTAATTACATGTAACAAGTGATAATAGTTTGATTGCATAATAAACAGGTGTCAGCTCAGGTGATAGAATATTAATTAATCAATATGGCTTCTGTCTATGGCACACGCAATGGATGATTAAAGGGAAATACCGGCAATGATCTGCTGATGATAGAAAAGACATTTGAAAAGTGGAATGTTGTTGTCAAAACATTATTGCCAATATTGGAAGGTTTTGAAGCCGAAAAAACATTTAATTAACTTTCAACTCATTAAAAAACCAAAAAAACAACCTATTTCGCACTCCAATGCGTACATTAAAGGATTTTTTTATCATGCTCAACAAACTGACAGCAGAAAACATTGACCCAAAGACAATTCACAGCATCCTCAGTTTAAAAATCAACAAACTGTTACCAGGATCAGGATTACTTTATATATTTAGTGCAGAGTCAAGTTTATTGAAAGCAGCCAAGTCAGCTTGTACAGTTGTACTTCTTACATGACCCAGTGTCAAAGACCAGTGATTCAGTTATTAAATAATATTTGTCAATGGTATATAGACAGTGATTTAGCTAAAAATAGTAAAATATTTTACACTGTTTGAGTCTTAAGTTTTCTAGAAAAATGACTTTCTTAATGCTTAAAAACCATGCTATTGTTATTGTTTGTTATTTTTTTTCATTTATTTATCATGTTATAAATGTATAGCATATTTCTTTCTTATTTATCTATACCAATGATATTAAATACAAATAAAAGGAGATGGAGACATGAATACAAATCTATACACAAAGAAAAGGTCATAGCGCTTTATTTACAAGCAGTCAACAATCAATTATCAAAAACAAAACAAGAAACAGAATCTTCTCAATATTTCTTTCAGCAATGTGATATCATTTAAATAGAAAGGCTACAAGGGTACTATAAATACATTACATTCGGATGGAAGGTTGAAGAAAAAACACTTTAAAAAGACAATTTTCACATCAGACGGTTACATTAACGACAAAATTTATGTTGATAAAAAACCTCCTGATCTGAGTCCTAATCTCCTGACCAAAATTTCCCAATCTCCTGATCTCAGTTTCACAGTCCATCACATGTATGAACCAATAACAACTAATAAATAATCGTGTTTTCCTGGATGAAATATTCATATTTGAATAAAGAAAAATTATTGATTAATTGTATTATTAAAAAAAGACTGTTTTTACAAATAATGTTTTTGTTTGATTCAATTTTCACAACTTATCCATATAAGGGGAAATAACTCTTGTGTAATAAATGTATAAAGGAATGTTAATAAAATTTTCCTTTTTTTACTTGTAGCAAGTCCTGTGACTCTATTTTTTTTTTATATTCTAAAACCATATTATAAAAACTATCTTCTCATATCTTATGACCCATACTTTTAATTATATTTTTTGCCAAGTATAAGAAAATTCTATCTGGGGAAATATTTACTGATGATCCACCTTAAGGGTTTCCTATCCTAAGAAAACTAGGGTTGGTGTGTATGCATTTTTTGGTTTGGATTATATTTTTTTACATTGAGTATAAGAGGTCAGCTGACCTGCAATATTGTATTTTCATACTTCCTTGAGCCTATATCACCCTGCTCAGTTACTCTGCTATTCTCATATTACAGCTGTAAACTATGAGCAGAACTTATCAGCAACATCGCAATGTGCAATAAATTATTTAGCAAAATTTCAATGTGAGAACAGAATTTTTAAAGCATACTTTTATTAGAACAACCAAGTGTAAAACTGTCTATTAAGGAAGAGAAAAAGAGAATGATAAACAAATTTAAATGGTTTTCATCAGCTAAATGCGTTAAGATATTTCCTGCTTGACACAATGTGAAGCTTTTGGTCCAAAAAGGTTGACATTGCAGCTTTAAGCTGATACTTTTGATATCACTGTGCAGAAAACCTCATAATCTATATTGAATCACAACAAAAATGCCAATAAAAACTATTGGATAGGAATTTTCAGCCAGAAAAAAATGGGTTGGTACTGTTAGAGAAACCCTAAAACACAATTAATTTTTATATTGGCCCTATTTATTTTTTTCAGATTGTCCATTGTCAACTAACCTGCCTCCAATAGAAACCTCAATGACTTGCTACATTCCAAGTTATTGTACAGGAATAAACTGTTGTATAGAGGTGGATCAGATTGGTAAAACTTTTAATGTCTATGCTTTGTTAGATGGCTGCAACTGGAGGCTCACTTTGGGTATTGAAAGAAGAAAAATTGATATTTCACTGCTAGATTATAATTGGGGTAAGACTTTTATAATACTGTAAATGTTAAATTTATCTATACTATAAAATAGGAATGATTGCCATGTACTACTTTGGGTAATTCGTTGGTACTTAATGTCAGGTAAAAAGTACTTGACAAACTATTGTATATTCAGTTCTCGTCAAGATGATCATTGTTGTTCAAATACATGTATAAAAATGAAAGTTGAAAATTTAAGAAATCTTTCAATTTAGAACTAATCTGTTTCTGTTAAGAGATGATAAATAATCACAAAAATATGGCCATCCCAGGACTTGTTTCATCCAGCAGTAAAACCCATGCTAAACAGGGGCATCTCTTTAGCTGTGCTGTGCATGATCTATGAATATACAGCTATCTTGAGTAGGAATGGAGACTTTCAATCTGATGCTTTGTATGGAGAGAGTTATTTTATAGAATTCCATCAAACATATTCTCTGTTTGAAGTGGTATTTGATATTCCCACCCTTTATCTCAGTTGAAGGACTTTGCAGAAACTATATCAAATTATTTCTTAACATATTTATTATCAAGGATTTCCAATCCAAAAATACTGAACTTTAATTTTAGTGATTTAAATAAAGTAAAACTAAAGAAAAACAACATTTTAACTTTTACTGCACTTTTCTAAACTTTCATAATTATTCTACTATTAGTAGTGAAGCAAAAACAGCCTTCTGCTCACTGCTTTTTATCATTTCATAAATTTATCATTAATGTATATTTTTAGGTCAAACTCAAATTTTCACACTTATGGATATTATTTACCTGGAGTAAGTACAACAGTATACAGTGTATTATAATAGTAATATATGAATGAAAGAAATTATGTATTGAATGCCAATGAGACAGCAACCCAAAAACTGAAGTTTACCAGATGTTGATAGATCTTTGTTGATTAAATGTTTACCTATAAATAACAGGAGGTGTAGGATCAGTAAGACAGCAATCCAACAACACAATAAACCACAAAACACACCAAGGGATATAAAATGAAAGACAATTGTATTGACAATACGTCAATTGCAAGCTCTAAATGGACTAATGATTCCTCACAAATTGTGAATAAATTTAACTAAGATTACCAAAGAGCTGAAATCAACATCAATTTCTACCAATATGTCACTGTAATTAGGGTCACTTGACTTTGATCTCATTTTCATGATTAATTGATTCAAATTAAGTTTGGGTTGTTAGGTCAGTTTCAAAATTAGTTTTTGAGTTAAACTTAACAATATATATATATTATCATTTAGCACTACTCCTTTGTAAGTTTTATACCTATTGTTTTATCCTGATCTTATATAAGTTATAATACAGCCATAATAAATTACAGAGATGAGAAATGATAGCAAAAGTTTTGATATGTGTTTCAAATTATCTTTTGTAGGTACTCAGTACATGACTTAAAAGGCGAGAATAGTTACATGCTAAATGTGAAAATAAAAGTTTGCCTACAAAAAGGAGGTGGATCATGCTTGTTTACAAAGACTCTGTTTGAAAATACTAAAATACAAAAGTTTGGATGTGACTGGTCTCACAGTGAATTTAAGATACAAGGTATATATATATATATTTTCTCCTGAGCTGTACTTCATAGTTTACGAGCACAAACAAAAAACCCATAATTTCACAACGTAAAACTTAATTTTATTTAAGTGTTACTTTAAAATGATACGAGGAATAATTTGTACCAAGATTTCTAAATTAGAGAAAAACACCTGTTATTTTTATGAATAAATGCAAGTATATTCTTGAATTAATTGAATTGAGAAAATATGTTTATGGAATAATGTCATCTAATTAATATTTTTTTCAGATTTTTCTCTCCAAAAGTTTTTATCAGACAATGATGTAGTTGACAATGCAGCAGGATTAATACTGGACAAGTTATTGGAGGAATTAGGAATAACCTCAGAACTTAAGGATACACAATGCAATAGAGCACTGTCCCCCTATACTCCTGTGGATTCTAATGGCTGGAATATAGGTATCGAAATTTGAAATTGCTTTTAGTTTAGAAAATTGCATACAAAATTTAAAAAGACTTCAGTTTCTCAATTTAAAGCCTTCAACGTTTCTCCGAATGTCAGTGCTGGAGGCTTTCCTTTACTTGAAATCCTTGACCTACTTCGTTTTACCTGATAATAGAATTTGAGTAAAATTTCAACCTTTAAAAACAAACCTTTATGTATTTTTTTATGAACAAAGTATCATTTGCAAACCAATCAACAGGACTTCTATAATATTTACTTCTAAACAAAGATGGTGCCCCCACCTCATGCATGAATGTAGTTTAGCAAACAGTGATGTTAAAGTTCAACTTGAAATGGATATGTCAGTGAAATACAATTGATGTCCCTGTCATAGTTTAGATTTATTCCATGATATAAACAAATTAAGTGTTGTACCTTTCAAACTCCTTTATTCATTAAGTTTTACAAAGTTAAAAGGGGTAATGAAAATTACAAAGTTCAACAACTACCCATTTGTGGAAAATTTGACGAAAAGCAAAATCAGATTCTAACATTATGCATATCATTAGTAAATGTGCTAACATCCAGCATAATATAAAGGTTCTACATGTAGCTTCAAATTTGTAGGAGAAGTTAGCAGGAAAAACCAGAGATATAAAGGACGATGCTGTATAATTAATTATTCTTTATTTTTCCACTGAGTGGGACACCATGGCGAGAAGGAGAAGAGAAAACATTTGGATCCACCAGCTCCATACTTTAGAACCTGATGGGCTTAATGAAAAAGACGAGAAAAGATAAGGGAAAGATGAAGAATAATTAATTATACAGCATCGTCCTTTATATCTCTGTAATATTGGCCAATGGACGTTGCAAACTTCAACCACAAATTTCGTAATTGAATAAATAATCTTGAACTTCATCCAAACTTTGAATTATTCACAAGGCAGCAAAATTAATGTACAATTATATTATATACATACTCATTATTCTTTTTACCTGTGTCGCCAAAGGCAGAAGCAGGTCTAGTAACCGCTTGACTCCATTGTCTGCCCTAACCCCGTCTGTAAGAATCTTTCCTCAAAGTTTTCTTGGCTTCTATGTAAAGGAATGATTTTATATTTGGTCTGCAGCTTGATAATGTTGAGTTAAGGCGAGTAAGCAGTTTTAACATCTGCCGTTTATCCACTTCCTGTTTGCTGATAGTTTGAAATTTTACAGCAATCATTGTACAAGGAAAATTTTTGTCAAAATTTTCTTGGCTCCTATGGAAGGGAATGATTTAATATTTGGTTTGCAGCTTTTTAACTGGTCCGAGTACACAGTTATTTCGTAGTGCATTTCTTTTAGACAATAAATGAAAATAAAAAAAATCCCACCTGCGCTTTCTCAATAATATTTTTACAGTGTGTTGTACTACTTTTGGGACAAATTATATCAAAATTATAGAAAACTTCATCGGCTCTAACTCAAAATATGGACAATTCTATGTTAAGGGGGTCTTGAAATCTTTTGACAGCTTCCGAAGTGCTAATTTTTAACCTTTTTCAGCTGGACCAAATCACTACTTTACTTTACAATTCATGACCCAAATTTTTTTACAGTGTAATTTCATCCCCCTACTTGCTATTTGAGGCATAAAACATGAAGGAATACATTTGGAAGGGGTACTAAAAAAATTGGCAAGCAACACACTGTCCACACTAGGGACTTTATTCGTGGACAACGAAAATCAAAGGACGATAACTGTGTACTCGGACCTAATAGGATAGAAAAATTTGGCCAATCTTAATAAAACTTGGTATGACTAAAGCTTAATAAATTATGAGACTGCTGACAAAGTTTCATGGCAATAGGATATATATTATAGACAATATGATAAATTCTATATTCAACTTCGCGTGTTAAATTTTGACGTTTAAATTGAAAAATTTCAACTATCAACATTTGGGGCTATAAAAATTAAAATATTGCAAAAAATTACATTTTAAAGGCCTTAATATATGACATATTATGTATTTAAAGCAATAGAATACTCATTTGATTTATCAGACTTATCAAAATTATTTAAAAGTCAAATTTATATGAGCCTGTGCCAAAAAATGGAGGTTTTCCAATGAAGGGGGGCCTTACATGAAGATGTATTATTTTCCAGCAATTTTAAATTTGTGGAGTTTTTTGGTTATAAATAATCCTTACATATGTATTAAATGTACTTTAAATGGAAAGAAAAATTACAAATAGCATACCATATTAGTATAAAAGGGTCTTAAGCCAAGTAAGACTGAAAATAATTTAGGGTCAATTTAGGCCGTAGCACATATTTACATTTAAAAATGCATACTGAAGCTATAGGAAATAAAAATTTGTGTCTTTTTTATAATTTCTATACTCAGGTTACATGATACAATAAATCTGAGCATAAAAGGACTCTTGCATTCAACTTTTTTTGCAGACAGTATGGTCTGATACAAAGATTTTTCATTTTTTAGTGAAAAACTTGCATGCAATTTTAGCCTCAGCAGGCTTATATTTGAACCACTTGCTATTTAACATAAGAAAAGAAAGATACTATGTGAAATGAAACAGGTACAAAAGACATTGTGAAGTGCTTTTAATACAAATTTAGTGAAATCTTTATTATGGACTTCAACTTTTATTTACCTAGGTCCTCACATTTAACTTGATCCAAACAGGCCGTTACACGAGGGTCATTTATACAACACATTTTGCACATATTGTCTGAGATAATCTTATTTTCTGTAGATTCAGAGTTCACAAATGAGTAATACAACTGGGTTAAAGCATAGAAACACAAATATTGACACAGGAAAACCTGTCACATAGAAAGTCAGAATGCCACTTATGCATCAAAATTGAAAAAGCTTTGAAATGCTTATTTTGACCATATAATGCCAAAATGGGTAATTTTTGCAGAATTTCTATCAAATAAAAGTTTAAATCCTTTAGTTTCATGCTATCTGACAAATTGACACCATTATATCATTCAGGGAAGTTGCCAAAGTACAGATTCTATATTTACTGATTTCGCCTCTTAGGTCCGAGTACACAGTTATTTCGTAGTGCATTTCTTTTAGACAATAAATGAAAATAAAAAAAATCCCACCTGCGCTTTCTCAATAATATTTTTACAGTGTGTTGTACTACTTTTGGGACAAATTATATCAAAATTATAGAAAACTTCATCGGCTCTAACTCAAAATATGGACAATTCTATGTTAAGGGGGTCTTGAAATCTTTTGACAGCTTCCGAAGTGCTAATTTTTAACCTTTTTCAGCTGGACCAAATCACTACTTTACTTTACAATTCATGACCCAAATTTTTTTACAGTGTAATTTCATCCCCCTACTTGCTATTTGAGGCATAAAACATGAAGGAATACATTTGGAAGGGGTACTAAAAAAATTGGCAAGCAACACACTGTCCACACTAGGGACTTTATTCGTGGACAACGAAAATCAAAGGACGATAACTGTGTACTCGGACCAACTTATGCCAACACTTGGCGTCCGGCGTCGTCCATCGTCTGTCGTCATAAACTATTTCAAAAATCTTCTCCTCTGAAACTACTGGGCCAAATACCTTCAAACTTTAACTAAATGTTCCTTAGGGTATCTTGTTTATAAATTGTATCCGAAGTTTGCATCCATCGACAAACATGGCCGCAATGGCTAAAAATAGAACATAGGGGTCAAATGCAGTTTTTTGGCTTATATCTCAAAAACTAAATCTTTTAGAGCAAATGTGACATCAGGTAAAATTGTTTCATTGGTCAAGATCTATCGGCTCTGAAATTTTCAGACAAATCGAACAACCCATTGTTGGGTTGCTGCCACCGAATTGGTAGTTTTAACAAAATTTTTCAGTTTTTTGTTATTGTTTTGAATATTATTAAAGATATATATAAACTGTAAGCAGCAATAATGTTCAGCAAAGTAAGATCTACAAAAAAGTTAAATGACCATAATTGTCAATTGACCCCTAAAGGAGTTCTTGCCCTTTAAAGACAATTTTACACAATTTGTTCATCAAGTTTGCTAACATTTAAAAATCTTCTCCTCTGAAACTACTGGGCCAATTACCTTCAAACTTTAACTAAATGTTCCTTAGGGTATCTTGTTTATAAATTGTATCCAAAGTTTGTATCCATCGACAAACATGGCCGCCATGGATAAAAATAGAACATAAGGGTCAAATGCAGTTTTTGGCTTATATCTCAAAAACTAAATCTTTTAGAGCAAATTTATGACCAAAATTGCCAATTGACCCCTTAATGAGTTATTGCCCTTTAAAGACAATTTTACACAATTTGTTCATCAAGTGTGCTAACATTTTAAAATCTTCTCCTCTGAAATACAGGTGAGCGATTCAGGCTCTTGAGAGCCTCTTGTTTATGTTTATAGCGAGTTATAGTGAATAAGCAAACTTTACATCTGCTGTGTATCCACTTTCTGTTTGCCGATAGTTTGAGATTTTACAAAAATTTTACAACACTCATTGTACAAGGAAAATTTGCGTCAAAGTTTTCTTGGCTCCCATGAAGGGAATGATTTAATATTATGGTCTGCAGCTTGATAATGTTGAGTTGTAGCTTGTAAGCAATTTTTACATCTGCAGTGTAGCCTCTTCCTATATGCCAATAGTTCGAAATATCACAATACATATTGTACAAGGACATTTTTTTGGGAAGATTTTCTTGGCTTCAGAGAAAGGGAATGATCAGTCATGCTACAGTATACACGTTACCTCAATCAATAACATGCATTGAGACAGGTCCAGACCTGGTATTGGTCTTGTTCTTAATAATACACAAAAACTACCATTTTATACACTTGCAGTACTAAATACCTATACATGACTGATATATGTTCAGGTGTTTAAAATTATTAATCTTTTTTTTTACTTTTAGGGTGTGAGAAAACATTACCATTTAGTTTACCTGCAGTACCTAATACAATGAGTTGTCACCTGACTGATACCTGTACAGGTGTATACACTCATGATTATTTTATACTTTTAGGGTGTGAGAAAACATTACCATATATTTTACCTGCAATACCTAATACAATGAGTTGTCACCTGACTGATACCTGTACAGGTGTATACACTCATGATTATTTTATACTTTTAGGATGTGAGAAAACATTACCATATATTTTACCTGCAGTACCTAATACAATGAGTTGTCACCTGACTGATACCTGTACAGGTGTATACACTCATGATTATTTTATACTTTTAGGGTGTGAGAAAACATTGCCATTTAGTTTACCTGCAGTACCTAATACAATGAGTTGTCACCTGACTGATACCTGTACAGGTGTATACACTCATGATTATTTTATACTTGAAGGATGTGAGAAAACATTACCATATATTTTACCTGCAGTACCTAATACAGTGAGTTGTCACCTGACTGATACCTGTACAGGTGTATACACTCATGATTATTTTATACTTTTAGGGTGTGAGAAAACATTACCATATATTTTACCTGCAATACCTAATACAATGAGTTGTCACCTGACTGATACCTGTACAGGTATAGATTGTTGTATAGATGTGGACCAGATCAGTAGATCTATCAATGTTTACATCAAATTGGATGCCTGTAACTACAAACTGACAGCAGGAATAGAGAAACTTACATTTGATGTGCCTCTACTGAATTACGAGTTTGGTCAGAAACAAAGCTTCAGACTGAAAAATATCTTCAGGATTGAGTAAGTTGTCAGATTCCCTACCTCTATTGAATTATGAGTTTGGTCAGAAGCATAGCTTCAGGTTGAAGAATATCTTCAGGATTGAGTAAGTTCATACTTTGGAAGGTTTTACCTTTGCTGATCTTTAAGTTTGGTTAGAAACAACATTTGAAAAATGACTATTTTTTGGAATAACGGAATGTTTAAAATTCTTATTAAAGGCATTACCTTTATTGGCATCATGTGACCTGAAATGGAGTGCACAAGTTTTTTCATTCTTTAGCTATTTCAAGATCATGTAAAGGTATATTTTTGATTGATTTCATATTGAAAATTAATTTAATTTGATTGAACATTCCTCAAACACAATATGTGAATGGATTGTAATTTGCAATCAATTCAATCCAAAATGATCCACTAACAGTTAAATAACAGACTTTGATTCTGGGTGCAGTGATACTTATAGGTTTCATAACGAGCGAGAAATGGATATCGCTTGATATCAACTCGAGTTATTTAATTTTAATATAAAAATTATCGGGCCTTTGGTGAGTTTATTATTACTATTTAAATTAAATAACGAGAGTTGATATCAAGCGATATCCAATTCTCACGAGTTGTTAAATCTATTTCTCCTATGATCAACACTCTCATTGCGTTAAATAAAATATTTTAGCGAATCATTGATCTAGTCTTTTGCACATACCAGTATGATGTCATATGTCCTTTTCTGTAGTCAAACTTTAACATTAGACTTTTAAAATTTTTTTGTATGCTTCAGAAATTAATAAAATTTTATTAAAAGAAGATTTCCAGGCAAAAAGTGTGTGTGTTTTGTATATTATTGAAGAAATCACATATGTCCGATGCCATGGACGAAATGTACATCGCCTCAACCTTTGAAAGTTAACAATGACCTAAAGAATGTCCAATGGAAATATCGCAATATCGTCTCCTGATGCTGTATAAGCCAATCAAAATTAAAACAGTTTTAGTATCATTATTTCATATCACACTCTGTGCAGTGTGATACGAGAAATATCTATTCATGCAAGAAATAGATAATAGGCCACAATCATTAGAGAATGTAAATTATTAGTAACTGTTTCCTACCAATGATTTTTAGCCAAATATTGTCCCCTATTCCCAATGCAAAACTGTCTGTTTTTTTCCCAGATTTTAACCTAATTTTCCCCATTGATAATCAGCCAAAAACCTCTAACATATAGTCTACCAGATCATCTTTAAAGTTATGTTTGGATTGATTCAGTATAACAAACTATATATGCATCAGTAAATTTGTATCTCAACGGCATATACCAATTTAGTGATTATATAAATTGGCTAGTCCTTCAATGGCTTCTGATTCCTTGTGAGCCAAGGAAATATTGATGCTGTTTTTCAGATCCAAGCCAATCCGTCCATGGGCTAGTAAATACCTATTTTACAAAATCATACAGGTCACTTTTAAACATCACATCATTAGAGCAAATTTATATTACACCAACTAGATAAGGAAAGATGGTGCAATATAGACAGCCTTACAATGTATAAAAAGTGTTTAATCTTTCCTTATAATACTTACAATGACTCTGCCACACAACAGCCAGTAGATCTTATCTAGGACTCAAAAAGGTGGTGCCAAGGTACGTGAGAGTCTGACTGAATCTCAGGAACCAAAAGACAAGATACCTGTAATCAGTGTTTGTTTTTAAGACAGTTTGGCTGAAAGGCTCCAGATGAAAAATGAACAATTATTAGTAAAAACTATTAAACGAGATTCTGATTGAAGTTTGGACTTTTGACATAAGCCTTTTCTGACCCAAAATAACACCCATGAGATAGGAGCCGTCTTCTCATATTTAAGTCTAAACAAAATTTTTATTCGCTCAAAAGTTGTTTTTTTCAATACAAAATCTGACATTTTTGCACAACCAGAAGCTTGAAAAATCTTTGGTGGCCTTCGGCTGTTGTCTGCTCTTTGGTCGGGTTGTTGTCTCTTTGTCATATTCCCCATTTCCATTCTCAATTTTATGTTTATTATATTTTTGCCAAAAAACATGATAAAGGCTAAAGTACATTTTGACAAAGTATCAGAAAATTCAATCTATTTTTAACTAAGACCCCTCCCCATCTGGCTAAAATGAATTAATATATTCCAATAAAAAAGTACTTCATCTTCTTATTTTTATATGGAATTGTTTGTTTTTATATGGAAGTTTCCATTTTATTTGCATAAATATTCTTTTTTCTCAGTTATTCCATCATAGATTTATCAATGGAGAAGCAGTTTGTAGTGGACATGGATGTCAGTGTATGTTTTGAAGCTAATTCACCATGTGTCTTCACATCAACAGTCATGAACAGTGCTAGGTTACCTAAACCTATATGTGACCTGAGAAGTAATTTGTCTTTTGAAGGTACAGATTTAAAAATTTTACTCTGTATATCCATGTATATATGTTTGTGGGCAGGAGAAAAAGGGATATGTATAAAAGGAGTCAGGAATCAGCAATCAAACGTTTATGCACATGGAAATGAATCAGATTTTCATTTATTCAATAACAATGTTTCAATTGGACTATGGTTTTATTGATGTTGTAATAATCATGTAGCTAGAACTAACTTTTAAAACAAACAAAAATGTACAAATGTTTCAAAGTTCAGATTCTCATTTGATAAACCTGATTAATCTCCCATTTACTAGTGGCTGCATAAGTTAAGGATGGTCCCCTTAAACTTTAATGAGGTGAGTAAATAATACAGTCAACAATAAAGATCATCCTTGTGATATAAATTGATCAATGAAGACTTATCTGGAACTGTCAAGATTAATAACAGCAATAATTCAGTTCAATTGATGGTAAAGCAAAAAAAGCAAAAATTTGTTTGCAAGCTTTTTGATCAATATGAAGTATTTGCCACTGTGGACATTAATTAACCAATTTTAATGTATAGATGTTAAATTTTGGATATTAATTATTGTATACTGATTCCCTTTTTGATAAAGCTATGAGAGTAATGTTATGATTAATGCCTTTATATTACAGACATATCCTTTAAAGAATTAGTTGAGAACCTACTGTTGGATGTTACACAACAGTTACCATCATATGCTGCTGACATATTACTAGAGAGACTTGGTATATCTCAATGGATGCAGGATGTACCATGTAGTAGACAGTCATCACAATATACACCTAATGTCAAAGGATGGAAAATATGTAGGTTATTTGTTTTTAATATACATCCTTCTAAAGACCATATTGCTATTATAGAATTGGTGACACATGACCCTAGAAACACTTGAAATATTGATGTCATATGGCATCCACTCTTACTTTTTGGCGTCAAGATGTTTTCTTTTGTGACAACAAAATATTACGGGAATAAATGTGATGTTCCAAAAGTCAATAGTTGATAAAATGGCTATAACATATTGATCGAAAAATACAATTTAGGTATCTCATTGAGTCTTGTTGTTAATATTGGTCTTTCAAATATAATAGTGAAATAATCTTTTGATTTTTGTAGTTTTGTAAATAAACGTATTTACACTTTTGGTATTTTGCTGAATTTTGTCTCCAAATGACCTTAGATCTGCTCGGAATAACCTTCTGATGTCAAGCAATAATCACTTTTTAATTGTGATGTCAAATTTTTAAAATTGTGATGTCAAACTTTTAAAATTGTGATGTCAAATTTTACAGGAACTTGTGTAATTTTACGTAATGGCGGCAAATTTGTGTACAAGTGTAAATACGTCTATTTTACTTGCAAAGTATGATAAAAGCATAGAGTAGTTCCTGTATGGATATAATACTTACTTATTTTATAGCATGCCTGTCAGATTTAAATTAAACAACTAGAATAAAAAAAAGTTTTTGCAAGATGATTATAATATTTTGTCACTGATGTCTATCCAACATACTTTCACATAGTTGTTAGGAGATTTTGGCTCTTCCTATTAATTCCTTACTTGTAAGCACTACTTAGCCAGTAAAATTTTGACTCTTCTATTTTACAGTGTGCCCTTCAGACCTATTTATCCTCAACTCTTAAACACACTGAGTGTATCAAGATTTTTAAAATTGTATTTTACAGTGTGCCCTTCAAACATACCTCTCCAAGGTTTGACAGGAAATTTAAGCTGTACAATTCCCGATTACTGTACTGGTATAGACTGTTGTGTAGAGATCCCACAGATTGGTCGTACCTTCCATGTCTATTTGTTATTAGATGCTTGTTCACACAGACTTAAAATAGGAATAGAAAACCTGGGATTAGATCAAGCTTACTTTAACTTTGAGTTTGGTACGTACAAATGTATTGTCATTGTTTACTATACTCAAGTATTAACAAAATGAAGTAACTTCGGTTTGCATCTCCTTTATGTAATATAAATGTAATTTTCATAGAAATAATTTAACACTTTTTCTCAGGAACTATTGAACAGAATGACTATATTTTGTCAGCAGCTTAACAGTGTGAAATTTGAAGAAGAAAAAATTAAATATTTAAATTACTTAATAATTCGAAAAAAAGTTGTTTCATATTGATAAATTGATTTATTATGTCTTTGTTTATCAAAGTATTCATGATAAATATTATCAATCAAATTCATTCATAAATAAAGAAAACAACTTATTTAATTCAATGTGCTTGGTTTATGAGTTGGATGTGCAAATAAAGATGATTGATTGATTGATGGATTGTTGGTGTTTAATGCCACTTTCAGTACTCTTGGCAATATCATGGCGGCTAGTTTTTATAAGTGACCTTTTTAATTTACACTTATGTACATACATTATTTTTCAGATAAAGTCCATGAGATAAGGCTAAGCAAGCTTTTAACCTTACAGTAAGTGTGATATTCTCCATTTAGTAATACATGAACAGGATACCAGGTACAGGTAAAACAAAAAGTAGACAGTACAACAAACCACATCAACCACCACATCAGACTCCTTTGAAAAAACATGTGTGGGGTAAAATCAGTTTAACATGTGTACAAACCTGCCCCTTAACCTATCAAGACAGTATGTGCACATTGCAGCTAACGTTAAGATGATAACTAACTTTAACAAGGAAATAGAAAATGGCACATAACTTGGAAAGCAGGGTCAAAATGTGCTAACTACTCCAAGTACCTAGCTACAGCTGTAGTTTGAATACACTTTTGTAGTATTCCTCTTTTGGTCAGATTCAAATATTCTATGTTCATTTATAATTATAACATATTCCAAGTACTGTGAATTCATTTATTTTCATGGGTACCAATTTTCATGGATTGAGGAAAACTTGCATTTTCGTGGATATTTAGTTTCATGGTTTTGCCATGGTCTGCATACAAGCCTATACAAAATTTGAAATTTTAGGTTCATCTGTACCAACGGAATCAACGAAAATAAATATCCCACGAGTAATAGTGAATCCACAGTAGATAACTTTTTATGCCCCTGCTGTGACGGAGGGGCATTAAGTTTTACCCTTGTATGTCCGTACATACGTCCTAAAATTGGTTTCCATTCTCTAACTTTAGTTTGCCTCAAACAAATGTTATAAAGCTTATACACAATGCTTATTACCACCAAACACAGATCAAGTTTGAATTTGGGTGGCGTCACTTTCACCGTTCCCCTTTAGAAATGGAAAAATTGCTAAATTTGTTGTTTCCACACTCTATCAAACCTCAACCAAATGTTTCTAAAACTTATAAAGAATGCTTATTACCACCAATCACAGATCAAGTTTAAATTTGGGTGAAGTCACTTTCGCTGTTCTTGAGTTATGTCCCTTTGTAAATTGAAAAATTGCAGAATTTGGCATATATTTTTGATCTGGAACATCTGTGTCCCATTGACACATTCTCAATTTATTTTTATATTAAAAAACAATATTGGCCAATTTGATCAATTTAGATGACTTGGAATCTACACAGTATAGAAACAATTTTGATACTTGTGTTATCCATTTACAGGTATTCAGTGAGTGATCTGGATGGAAAGAAGAAGTACATTGTCAATATGAACATTACAGTTTGTTTGGAACCTTTGGGATCTTGCATCTTTACATGGGACATTCTAAAGGATGTTTATTTACCTAAACTTGGATGTGATTGGAATACAAGTATGTCTGGTAAGTATCTTTACATGGGACATTCTAAAGGATGTCTATTTACCTAAACTTGGATGTGATTGGTGTATTAACCTTAACTTGGATGTGATTGGAATATAAGTATGGCTGGTAAGTATCTTTACATGGGACATTCTAAAGGATGTTTATTTACCTAAACTTGGATGTGATTGGAATATAAGTATGGCTGGTAAGTATCTTTACATGGGACATTCTAAAGGATGTGTATTTACCTAAACTTGGATGTGATTGGAATACAAGTATGGCTGGTAAGTATCTTTACATGGGACATCCTAAGGATGTTTATTTACCTAAACTTGGATGTGATTGGAATATAAGTATGGCTGGTAAGTATCTTTACATGGGACATTCTCAAGGATGTTTATTTACCTAAACTTGGATGTGATTGGAAAATAAGTATGGCTGGTAAGTATCTTTACATGGGACATTCTAAAGGATGTGTATTTACCTAAACTTGGCTGTGATTGGAATACAAGTATGGCTGGTAATTATCTTTACATGGGACATTCTAAAGGATGTTTATTTATCTAAACTTGGCTGTGATTGGTATATAAGTATGGCTGGTAAGTATCTTTACATGGGACATTCTAAAGGATGTCTATTTACCTAATCTTGGATGTGATTGGTGTATTAACCTTAACTTGGATGTGATTGGAACATAAGTATAGCTGGTAAGTATCTTTACATGGGACATTCTTAAGGATGTTTATTTACCTAAACTTGGATGTGATTGGATTATAAGTATGGCTGGTAAGTATCTTTACATGGGACATTCTAAAGGATGTTTATTTACTTAAACTTGGATGTGATTGGAATACAAGTATGGCTGGTAAGTATCTTTACATGGGACATTCTAAAGGATGTTTATTTACCTAAACTTGGATGTGATTGGAATATAAGTATGGCTGGTAAGTATCTTTACATGGGACAAAACTTGGATGTGATTGGGATACGAGTATGGTTGGTAAGTATCTTTACATGGGACATTCTCAATGATGTTTATTTACCTAAACTTGGATGTGATTGGGATATAAGTATGGCTGGTGAGTATCTTTACATGGGACATTCTAAAGGATGTTTATTTACCTAACCTAGGATCTGATTGGAATATAAGTATGGCTGGTAAGTATCTTTACATGGGACATTCTCAAGGATGTTTATTTACCTAAACTTGGCTGTGATTGAAATATAAGTATGGCTGGTAAGTATCTTTACATGGGACATTCTTAAAGATGTTTATATACCTAAACTTGGATGTGATTGGAATATAAGTATGGCTGGTAAGTATCTTTACATGGGACATTCTCAAGAATGTTTATTTACCTAAACTTGGCTGTGATTGGAATATAAGTATGGCTGGTAAATATCTTTACATGGGACATTCTACAGGATGTGTCTTTACCTAAACTTGGATGTGATTGGAATATAAGTATGGCTGGTAAGTATCTTTACATGGGACATTCTAAAGGATGTGTATTTACCTAAACTTGGATGTGATTGGTATATAAGTATGGCTGGTAAGTATCTTTACATGGGACAAAACTTGGATGTAATTGGAATATAAGTATGGCTGGTAAGTATCTTTACATGGGACATTCTCAAGAATGTTTATTTACCTAAACTTGGATCTGATTGGCATATAAGTATGGCTGGTAAGTATCTTTGCATGGGACATTCTCAAGGATGTTTATTTACCTAAACTTGGCTGTGATTGGAATATAAGTATGACTGGTAAGTATCTTTACATGGGACATTCTTAAAGATGTTTATATACCTAAATTTGGATGTGATTGGAATATAAGTATGGCTGGTAAGTATCTTTACATGGGACATTCTCAAGGATGTTTATTTACCTAAACTTGCTTCGCGTGTCTGACGTCAGAAAATGTAAACGTCACATAAGAAAAAAGTTTGTCATTCAATGTTTATTCAAAACAATTTTATAATTTCACATGGGGAATGTTGGTATACAGGGTTAAAAAATCAAAAGTTATGTTAGAATTAATTTCAGAAATAGACCGAGATTTAAAATTGTCCAGAAGTTCTTTAGAATTTTTAAGAATCCACATATGGTAAATACCACTACGCGAGTAAAATAAATTTGTCATTTGTCGTTCAAAGTATTTTCAAATTTATAATAGAACAATAACATAATGACATATAATAGAACAATAACATAATGACAGGATCTTTTAAAGTACAGAGTCACGTTATAAGAACCACAGAAACACAAAAAGTCGCATATACAAAACACACCAGCAAAAATGAAAGATAATACAAACACATTGACAGGATGTATAAGTACCTAGCCACGTCAAATGGATATCACAGAAAACAAACCAAACAGTAAAAGTAATATTAATAATAGAACAAAGACAAATGAAAGAACAATATTACACGTTGTTAAGATGATAAACAACGTCAGTATGCAGAATCTATACTTCAAGACCATCATGTATTATGGATCTGATTGGCATAAAAGTATGGCTGGTAAGTATCTTTACATGGGACATTCTCAAGGATGTTTATTTACCTAAACTTGGATGTGATTGGAATATAAGTATGACTGGTAAGTATCTTTACATGGGACATTCTTAAAGATGTTTATATACCTAAATTTGGATGTGATTGGAATATAAGTATGTCTGGTAAGTATCTTTACATGGGACATTCTAGGGGATGTTTATTTACCTAAACTTGGATGTGATTGGAATATAAGTATGGCTGGTAAGTTAACCACAAGGGTTGACCTATAGTAAAACCCATGTGGATGGGTTGTCCCTTTTGCATTGCTTGATGTATAAATAAGTCCTCAAGTATTTTCAGAATGGAAATGCTAAATTTGATACCTTTGTGTAGGTAGAGTGTCAGGCTGACTGCATTTTATAGAACCCTTGCAAAAACGTTTTAGGAGTCTTATGATAGTCCATGGCAAGGCAAATATTTGACCCCATTTTACAGGGCAGTTGAAATCTCCTGCCCTTCTTCCTTGTTTGTCCACTTTGCAGAAGATACCAACAGAGTTGTGGTATACTGATTTACCTTTGTCTGTCAGTCAGTTACACTAATTATTTTTGTGTGATTGGATACAAATTTTTCTGGTATGATGAAATATTGGTCTTACAACACTCTTACTGGTATTGCACTCAAAGGTTGGTTGAAACACATTTTTATGCCACCGTAACTAAAAGTTAGGGGGCATATTGTTTTACCCCTGTCGTCCGTCCGTCCTTCCGTCTATCTGTCCCATTATGGGTATATAGTTATTCCACATAACCCCTCCTACAGTTTGAATGCTAGGAAGTTTTCACTTTGCTGGCTGTTTTGTACATACATTGAAGGTGTGCATGTGGTCATGGTTTTGATTTTTATTAATATTTGCTCTTGTGGGAGATAGTTGAACTTTGTCATTTTGGAGTATATACTCGCATAAGAGGTGCATAGCGTTTCCGGATAACTCCTCCTACCGTGAACCATAGACCTATGTGCTCTCAGGCTCAACTTTGTGTATTTTAAAATAACACTTTGCATCTGCGGGGGCATCATTTGTGTCTCCCAGACACAATAATATCTCAATGAAAGTCTTACATTTACTTTGTTAAAATACAGATTCTTCAGAGTGGAGCGGGGAGTTTTATAGTAAGTTTCTTTTTATGCATTATGCATTCCTGTAATACTTACACATCAAGTTATTTGAGTGTATCAATATGAAAGACTGTAATTAATTTTACTCCCTGCTTTCTAAAGTGGTAAACATTAATGGGGGAGTCTGTCCGTCCATTCCTTTGTCTGTTCATCTGTACGTTCATTCTTCTGTCCCACTATTGTATTTGCAACTGCTGAGCCCCTTAACAGAATCTTACTTATGTTATGTACTTTTACACTTCCTGTTTCATTTCTTCATTTTAATGATTTTTGGGATGACATGAACTTTGTCATATCTGCGTACTAAAGTCCATACTTGTTTCCCTTCTCATCCTAAACTTTTATGAAACTTTCTCAGAGTCTTATATTCTTATAATCAAATTGTGCACCTCCCATATTTTTTGTTTGTCCGAAATTAGTTTTTTGGTTTCCCTTACCAAAGCATGGAGTTTGTGTAGTTGACAATATTGTACAGTCATTTTGATTTGAACATTTTTATGGGAGTTATGGGACTTTTACCACATAAATTCCTCATTTATACAGCACAGGGGAAATTTCACTACAGCATATATGTATATATATAGCAATCTTGTTGAAATTTCTACATTCTAATAGGCACCTCCTATTTTATTTTTTTCTTCTGAATAATTTTTTGGTTTCCCTTAGCAAATCTTGGAATATCAATTTGTGAGTTTTGCTTGTAGTACCTTTAATCTCTAGTTTCTTCTGTTATTTTGTTTTTTGTTTAATTATGATTTCAAAGCCTGAAAGTATAAGAAAACTTGATTATTGAATAAATCAGGTTGTAAACAAAATGGTTAGAAATACTTCGGTACTTGAAACTTTATTGTTTAATTATTTTTTGCACAGATTTTTCTCCCTCCAAGCTGTTACAAGATAGTGGGTTTACAGTAACAGACAATCTACCAGATGAAATTCTTTCCCAGGTGCTAGAGAAAATGGGCATGATTGACTATCTATTAACACCAGAATGTGATCTAGGGGATTACACACCAAGTGTGAATGGATGGATAAACGGTATGTATCGTTGAAAGGATTAAAGTGATTGTACATATATTTATTATAAATGTAGTATATCAGAACCGGTTATTTTATACTTGGCCTTATATTGATACACAATTTTCTTAATCATTGTTCTAGAACTTTTGAAAGGGTGAACTTAGAGGTATTTTGTATTCCTGGCCTTCTTCGATTCTTCCAACTCTGGTTGACTACAGTTAAAAAATCAGTGCTAATGCTCATGTGCCTAACCTCCCGGAATCTAAGTGAAAACTCTCTACTTGAGTTGCCTATCAAAATAAAAGATATAGATATAGATTGTTTATGTTCTTTTAAGGCATCGACAGTGAACAACTTTATGTTCAAATTTGTAACATAATTAAATTAAAGAACTATCATTTATTTATTTTCAGTTCCTACCAGGCCAGCGGTATGTTTTCAAAATCCTCCTGCATTGTTGTCCCTTAAGTAAATGGAATGGAGTTTCGTAATAAATTCACATTTTTTTTAGTATCTCAAAAGTACCGAAATTATACTTTTAGCTCACCTGGCCAAGTGAGATTTTGTCATCACTTGGCGTCTGTTGTCCTTCGTCGTCGTCCGTTTACTTTTACAAAATTCTTCTCCCCTAAAACTACTATACCAAATTTGATAAAACTTGGCCACAATCATCATTCGGGTATATAGTTTGAAAAATGTGACGACCTTGCCTGCCAACTAAGATGGCTGATATGGCTAAAAATAGAACATGGGGGTGAAATCCAGGTTTCATCTATTATTTTGAAAACCGTTATAAATAGAGAAAATTATAAATAGAGAAAATCTGCAAGAGCAGAAATGTTCAGAATGTTGAGCTCTATCTATTAATGTCAAAACTGTCAGGCAACTTCTTATAGGAGTTATTGCACTTAAATGACAAATTTTATCATTTTTTTCATTTTTGCATATTATCTTGAACAATACAGTAAATAAAGAGAAACTTTAAGTTACAAAATGATCAGGAAGACAAGATAAACAAATAAGTATACATGATCAGTCGACTCCTTATTAGAGTTATTGCCCTTTGATGACTATTTTTACCAATTTTTTGCGTTTTTGCCTTATATCTTACAAGTTATAATAGATAGATAGAAACTAAAGTTAGACAAGATCTACATTTAGGACAATATGGAGGAATAGACCTAGGTGAGTGACACAGGCTCTTTAGAGTCTCTTGTTTCTGTTCTATTGATTAACATCACTGACAGTATTTACACATGAAAAATATTTGTTAATTCCAAAATACAACCAAAAAATAAATTTCACTTAACAGCCTCCTTTCTTTGGCTGTATTTGGTAAAATGTCACTTATTTTGTATCATACTTTTCCTGCTGTTCTTTTTTGTCACCATTTTGCATTTCTATTAAACCTGCATCACCCCAGGTTTTATTCCAAGTTCATCGAAGTAGGCCCCTAATTTTTGCGTACTAGAGTTTTAAGTTGAATTTTCATGTCATATAAATG